GATGAGATTATAAGGCAAAGCAAAAGTAAGACAAAATGACAATATTCAAAATGATTGCCACCAGTATACTACCACACCTCGTCGACTGCAATGCAGGAATGTCATCATATTGTTGTGCACTACTCATGTTACTCTAAATTTGCAGGCACTGATGGCTATGTATGTACAACTCAAATTTTTAACAGTATAGATGATCATATTTAGTAGAGCAGAATTATATTCTTCTACAGTTCGCACGGCTACAATATCAAGGTCTCATCAATTCACTGATGGCGGGCTGGCATTGCTGAAAATGGGTTCAAGTCGTCTGGTCTTGGCGGCGTATGTGAGAAGCTTCATGGCTGCCTTTTGTCGTTGAGTAAACTCTTGATGTCGCAGGCTCTCGTGGCGCATGGTCTTTCAACGATGTCTCTAACCATGATCTTATCTTATACAGCATCATATACACGCGTTTTACTATGTGTTAATAATATATACGAAATGGCCTGCTGTTCAGAGTATACGTACCGAATTTTTTCTGACTGCAAGAGCCTACCGAACAATGAGCAAGTTAGCCAACAGTTGAATCAAAAACTGACATGACTAGGGCGTCAAAAATAAGGTTGGCGGTGGGAGGGTTGTACTTTTTCAAGCCTCAGAAGTTCATTCCCACACTGGATTTATCTACAATTTTCAACATGCAAGGACAGGACGACTTTCAACTACGGTTGCAAGTTGCAACAATGATGCATCACAGGTGCGCTACTAATACTATCAACTTACGCCACGAACCTGTGTGTAGGCATCTTGCATGTAATTCAGCATCCTCTTATCTCCACGACCTGACTACCCGGTGATCAACACACAAGCTACTTCTCGTTTCCCATACAGCACCATTTGAGATCGGTGTGTCATCCCCGGACGGACTCTGGATGTTGCGAAGTTGAAAAGGATGATGGCACTGGCAGATGAAATTGGGTACTGAGCTAACGTTGCCCCAACTATTTTTTCTACATATTTGGGATTGATGGATACTCTTTTCTATTCGCTATAGGAAGGGTGATCACTGCGTAGAAATGTGGGGAGATGAGTTGGATTCGATTGATTCAGCGGCATTGGTAGGAAACATAGTGGCAGGATCCCCCTCCGTCTGCTACTGACTACTGATTAACGGGGAGATCAGGAATACGTGGCACATGGCACTTGAGACTTCGACTTGCATATCTGGCATCAAACACACGCCTTACGTTTGAGCGCTGAGCACCAGGCTTGCGCACACCTCATGGCATAATTTGCGTGATGAGCGATTGCAGTATCCAATAGTATCGGTGACTGATCGCCACAGTTTCAAATATAGCATCATCCCAGTCACTGGGTGCATACTAGTACGAATGTGCAGATAACGGCCACATACTACTCCCGCGATCAGATTGGAAAGAGGCTCAATCCATGAATGGTTTGCTACTGTGATGTCGAACCACAGACGGCGTTACGTTTCAAGTCCAGTGAGAGGAATTGTTGATCAAATTTGCTGTGCACTGATGTAATTCATTATGGTATATGAATTATAATTGGTAGATGACCTGCTAGTATTTAAAGGGCCTGAGCTGAACATCAAGCTGGGCAAGATACTCGCACCCTCATCCTCGATATACCCCAAAGAATCCACTTGCTATGGCTTCGAGAGGCATGCCACTGGATACTGCTGCTATATTTTCAACTGCGATGGAGGGAATCTTATATGGTGCGTATCACAATGGATCTGTCCGTCCCATTCCCACCAAGCTAGGGTTATTCAGGCTTTTCGGTCCTCATGTTTGTGGGTACCATGTGGGCATTGACACGCAAACGTCGTATGAAGGATATTAATCGCACAAATACTGCGGTGGCATTCATGCTGCTGATCCTGAGTACCGCAGTAAGTTTCTCGCCTCTTGCATCTGGTATCATCCAGTACTCAAATCTCCCGAGCACATGATAGTAGACATCGTTCGTCTCGAACAGGGTCTGGTCACCTATCGCGACACGTTTCCAGGGGGACCAGCGGCATTCTTTGCAGATGTTACCCAAATCACATTTGTGGTCAAGAATATAATGTATAGCTTGCAAACAATGCTTGGTGATGGAATGGTGGTGGGTTCAATTTCTATCCACCAGATTGCAACCCTCTTGCTTATGAAACGTCTTTTCCGGTCAAAGATTCATCGCTGTTACGTCGTCTGGCAATCTGTGTGGATTATTATTGTACCAAGTTTGTTGTGGATCGCTATGACAGGTCAGGTCACAATCATGCTCAGAAAGTCGTACCTCTGATGACCCTGCAAAGTGTGTGCCTTTTGTGCAGACTACAAACTTTCAAACGCGACTAGCGAGGCTGGAGACGTCTTCGCCAAACCAACTGGTCAATGGATTACGGCCTTCTATACCATGTCACTTGCAAGTAATTTATTGGCTTCAGGTGAGCACAAGTTTTACCTGAATACTCGAGGCCCGAGACAAATTTATTCAGGATTTCTGGCATATCGGATCTGGAGGATGGAACGCAATGTATCTGCAATTCGCACTTCAAATAGGTCCATGATGCCGATAGTGCGCGTACTTGCTGATGCCGCTATTCTGTACTCTGTGACGATCCTGACGGGATTAGTGTGTTTCGTCGAAGCTAATAACGGACAATATGTTATACTAGACATGGTAATTTCCACCGTCAACTCCTTTTTATCGAAAATAACCAAGCTTTGGCTACCTAGACTATGCCGATTATCTCTATTGCCTTTTACATGATTATTATCCGGATGGCAATGAAGACAACACGTTATGGTCACAACTCGACTATCGGGATGGGTACCGAGACGACACGAGAGATTTCACAACAATATCATATGAGGCGTATGCCAGTGGAGGTGCACATATCCCAGATCACGCACCAGGACGAAACCTCCAAATCGGCATGCTGAAAAATTAGTTTTGATCATCAACGTTTGGTATCGTACTGCTTCTGCGTGCTATTTGTATTTAACTTGTTGGATATGACTATATGTTTCATTCGCCAGGCTATCGTCAATGGATCGTTGAAAACGATAAGACCAGTATACGCACCAGTTCAGACCCTCAATTCTGTGCACTATTTTCCAATACCTGGATCGTGTCCGGCAGGAACCCATGTGAAATTGCTAAACAACTCAAGGACCAACAGATCGTTATGGCTGATCCTCGTGAGGTTTCCGTGTACCAAAAGGCGTCATTCCCACTGCTGTTGGGTTAAGTCTGGTTGACATCTTATGCCCGGCCAGGGCATCACTGAGCTTGTGGAACAAAACGGGCTCTCGGCAAGGCCGCTGCTCTCTCGAGTTATGTTTTATATCATGTTGCCCAGTGCTCTGCAGGGATGGATGCTTATATTGCTGGCACCACTTGCAATTACATGGCGCTTGATATCTCAGTCGGATAGCAAATGATGCTTCAAGTTTGCTTCAAGTTGGACGCTGATTGGATTCAGGTTTTAGCGCTGCCAACTTCCGTTTTAAAACTCAGCATGACCGACGGTGTCTCACACGTGTGAGGGAGTTACTTTAGAGAACTTCTGCCAAAGTGAAGGTTAATAAGACGAATTGTAAGAAAGTCACAGAACCGTTTCCCTGCATTCCATTCAGTGGCGCGTATGTAGGCTGAGTCAGAAACGTCGTTTCTGTGATAGGTTTGTCTTCAAGCTTCAAGGCTTTCGGCAATGGGCATATGGCCGATAATCATGATTAGCGCTTCAAGAATCATTCACCTTTGTATATACGCGACGTCTAAGAGAAGATGAGAGAGATAGAAAATAATATTCATTAGTTCGAGTCTGTGAGAGGAGTAGTCGTTGTTGAGGGAGAGACGTCTGAGGAGAGGTGTGAGTAGAACTTAGTGAATGAATATTACTTTCGATGAAGCCAGATGATACACGGTGCGTTGAGATCTAAGATAAACGAATCAATGGGAGGTTGCTTAGTTTAATTCGTTTTGTGTGTGGGAGGGTCTGGCTTTGCCGGACCAGTGCGTGAAGGCAGGGGTCTGGGCGAAGCGCGTGAATCCCGCGAAGTCCGAAATAAAGCAGCTTGTGCTCGGAGAGTATTTGGGATCGACGGAGACAAACCCTCGGAGCGTGTTGAGTCCGAAAAGTGCGTAGACCGGAGGGTCCGAAAGGAAACACTGATCCAGACCAAAACACACTAGAAGTAGCAGAAAGGGAGGTGGGTGGGTGCGAAAAATGAGAGAGCGACCGGCAAAAGAAGATGGGCGCAGAGAAGGAGAAGAGAATGCGGCGCCGATTCTCAGATCAAGTCCTTTTGACTGTGGTGAGCTCTGATGTGTGCTTCAGTAGGACAGAAGCACGTCAAACGCGAATCTTCATGTGACTGCTTACAAAGGCCATGTTTCGTGCGTCAACGCTCGCAGGCTCGCGATCCGCTTGAAACGGCCAACGTGTTGGCCATGCTTTGGTCAAGGGTATTTGGTTCACGCCAGAGATTCTCTTTTTCTCCCACTTACTTCTTACACCCTCACTTCCGAGTCGCTTACAGTAATCGTGATGAGCGAAGACCATAGACCAGATCCTCCTCCAGAAACCTGCGAGGCACCCGTTCGTGAAAACTCGGTATGTAGTCTCAAGGGCTTACTCAATGTACATTGGATGAACACTCATAGAATTCATCGCTGCTTCTGACGCTTTCTTGTCCAGAGCCGACCCCGTAGTCGAGTCAAGCAGACTATTCGGAAATTTGCATAAGGCGTGATCAAGAAACCTTCTGTGAGTAGGCTGCTAGCTTGCCTGATTCTGAATATGGCTGACATTGTGCAGAAACCCTTCAAGTGTCTCCGCAACCGCATTCCTGCGAACCAGAATGTAGACCTTCGAGATGCTTCAACCACTGTGGTCCAGAACATCGAAATGGAAGGGGCTTCAAGTCAGAAAATCGAGGTAAGCGCTTGACTTGCCTCTATTCTTACAACGACAACAAGCATCTTGCCACATCTCAGATTCCAAGTGAGGTGAGCACATGCCCATGAGGCAGGGTCGGACGAACAGCTCATACATCTATACAGGACCATTCTGGATACGAAGATTTGCGGTCCGCCACGATGGATGTACAAAGATTCATGCAAGTGTTTGGCAGCATGATATTGCACAGCACACCCCATCTGTATTTATCAGCACTCTCGTTCTCGCTCGTCAACTCTACGATGGCTACCAAATTCACGGCTAGGTTTCCGAATACCCTTCGTCTGGCATCCGGCCGCGATTTGAAGGTTGTTCAGGCCATAATCAGGGGTGACACTGACAGGGTTTTGTCAGTCTCGTTTTCACCGGATGGTACTCGCATCGCGTCTGGTTCAGAGGATAACACCGTGCGGCTGTGGAATGCAGCGACGGGACAGCCATTGGGTGAGCACTTGAAGGGGCACACTAGCCCAGTTCAGTCAGTCTGGTTCTCACCGGATGGTACTCGCATCGCGTCTGGTTCGGAGGATAACACCGTACGGCTTATGAAAGTATCGTCATTCCACAAGTTCACAGAGTCGGATACCTCTGCATCTCCATTGCATCGAAGTAACGCGTCTCCTCCTCAAGAATGTCGTATTACCCCAACCAACACTTTTAACCATCCCCCCATTTCCTTCTCGCCCTGCCTGACACACGCCCTGCCCAAACCCACTGACTTGCTTGAACCCACCTTTAATCATCGTTCTAATTCAACCCCTTTCTTGCTGCAGCCTGATGGATGGCTCATGGGACCCAAACATGAGCTCCTTTTCTGGGTACCTCCCGGGGCCGCTCCCCGACACCTGTTTTGTTCTCCTGACACTGCAATGGTGATTCCGAGAGGAAGCCTTGAGCTTGATTTGAGCTGCATGGCACATGGGGCGCGCTGGTCGAGTTGCCGAGATGCGTGAGTTTTTAATCTTTACCATATGTCCTCGCAGTTGCTAACATCAATCCCTCCAGCTCCACGTAACGATGATTTTATTGCTGCAATATTGAGCGTAGCCATTTGATTCTACAACTCCCTTGCTATGTATATTTAGCACCGATCCTGAATTTATGGTTGTCCGACTGAACGGTGCACTGAACAGCAGACTGCAATGCTGATCCGTAGCGAAAACTTATTTCATCAGAGACGCACTGAGACATCATGCTGATGTGTGACAGGTGCTTCGGTATCATCATCAATCTAGATCGAAGTGTATGTGATGAAGCGGCTCCAGCTCCGCACGTACAGAGATATAGGGACGTGCTGATCGACTCATTCTGACGAGATCTTTGAATTCAATAGCTCTTGCTTCCCAAATGTCGACGCAGCTTTCGAACTGATCGGGTGCTTCCTGGTAGACCTTCTAGACAAAACTAGGACACTAGCCACCGCGCTGGAGATGGTGAGTGACTCAGAGCCGATACGACGAAGACAAGAATCACATCGACGGAAAGATATATGTAGCACTAGTAGTACACAATACAACGACCTCAATAGTACTGTATCATACACAAAAACTGATAATCAATATTCAAAGTCTAATCAGCGAGACAGCAAGAAAATGCCAGAAGAACATCATGATGGCGGATCGACACTCTAACTATATACCTATGGAAGCTATCACACCGTGAAATCAGAAGAATGTAAACTCCAGGTACTGCAAGTGAGAATTTTCCCACTCCCTGCAGACTATGCAAACAACCATATTGAGAATGCTCTGCGCTATACGCTACTGCTAGTTTCCACATGGGCGCTCTCCTGGAAAACAATCATTGAAGTCATAGCGCTTGTTGTATCAGGGTCGGCCACGAGCTTGGCGTGATTTTCTCGAACGCTGAGGATGAGGCGTGGTCCCAGCACAGACAGCTGCGCTATCTCGAAGATTTGAGCGAAACCAATATAGATCTGAGTGTCCAGGGAATATATGTCCTATAGAAATGATGAATCATGGTCGCACGTAAAGGTCGATGAGAGATCAGCATACAATTGAGAGCGTCGAAGAGAATAAACCGATCTGGAAGCAAGAAGCAGCCAAAAAACTAGCACGTGCAAAACTTCAGCGGAGCAAGAACCACATTCACATTATGAGCTCACCTCGCAAAGTAAATAACATGAGTTTGTATTAACACCGTCAAACAGTCCCTGACAGGACCTGTTCTTGAGTCTCTTCGCAGTTCACGGAAGTGCTTTACAGCAATCCAGACCGCGAGACACAGTGCAATGACCTCCCATACAGTGCCAAGTATCCAAGTCATGGAAACAAGAAATATGGAATCTCCCGCATAGTCAATCATGCACTGATGTGTACCGGAGAGAAGGAGTTCTTCTGGTGCTTGTCGGTGAGCCTGATGCACTTGAACATTTCATACATAGTTAAAGTTTACCTGCTGAAATCTGCACCGTCATTATTGCAATGATCACTGCACTGGCAATTCTGATGGCCAGAAATATGACGACAAGAAATGTCAGCACCTTTCTAGATTGCTGATACATGACATGCAACCGAATTATCATGATGGCTTGCATGATGTTTCAGTCAAGTCAATATCACGAAAGTGTATAGCTCACCACCCAGTATTGCATTTACAATCTCACCCATCCAAGTAAGTACGTTGTATATGATAAGGCCTGATAAATTCAGCATTAATTATCAGCTTCGGAGGATCACAGGCTTGAAACAAACTCACAACTGTGGGAGTCGTTGTATCGAACCAACGAGTTGTTCAAAAATCTCACTCACCCCTACATTGTAGTTTAATTGTTTGCACGGGAATAGAAAGCAAGGCATCTGTGCCAAGTACTCACTGCATCTGTTGTCGAAATTGTTGGAACACTGACTGTATGCCGCTCGTCACAGGAAAGAAATAGAGCTCATGCGAAGAGACATACTCAAGACATTCATCCTGATTGCGAGAGATGGGTAATGAGCACAACACCGATGGCCTAAACGTCAAAACGAACGTACACAACAAATCCTATTGCAACATATCGTGCCTTGGATATGTCCGCGTCAGTACCACTTGCTAACCACGCTTAAAAACACAAGCTACGTACAACGAGATACAAAACAGTTATCAGGAACCAGCGTTGCTTCTGCCGCAAATTAGTTGTGGTATTTTCACATCGGTCTTTTGATGTGGAAGTCCGCTCACCCAAACCAGTTCCACCTATCAAATTATTGTCAGCGAGATAACTGCTCCTGTCATAGTGTCGACCTACCTCTTGTCCGAACGTTAGTCCTAAAAATCTCATAATGTCAGTGGTCTTTTCATATCCAATATTGCTCACCCCAATCGTACATTACCGCAGCACAGGCGGCAACTGCAAAACCGCAACCAAGGTTAACCGAATCATCACGGTCATCATGCGGCTGGCTCTGAACAAACCTATAAAATAGCTGATGATAAGATTCTCATTGACGGCTGGCCACCATATGGGGTCGTTCGAGACTAGGGTCATACTATTAGAGGATGGGAATGAGATAGCGGGGGACTTGATGGACGTTTAACGATCGCAATCGTGCTTGATATACCACCATCCAGTACTTACATCGCCGAAGTGAGATTTGAGGGATGAGCATCTGATTGATCAAAGAAAATCATGTAACCTAGTGACTCGCGGGAAGTGTTTGAACGCCACAAAAGACTGAACTGTTCGTGGTTATGGCAACGTGCCAGTGCGATGCGCACAGTGTTCTTGTACTCTAGCCAGGGCCCCATCTTGATGCAACGAAACCTCAGTCAGTACGTCATGGGGCCATTCACCAGCCAGGAAATGCGCCAGAATATCGCATTCTTGCAGTTTGGACCACACAGGACAGCTCTTGAAATATCTCAGCTTGCTCAATGCTCGGAGAGGACAGTATACAAGATGTCGCATACCTTGACCCAACTAGGGTGTAAAAGTGCCGATTGGTAGGCCCGGGGCCGAGTTTTGAAAAACATGTACTGCAATCTCATGTGCAACACAGTACTGTAATGACGTTTCAGCTCGGCTCATACCGAACTTCGCAGTCCGATGCCCCCATGTTACCGAAGATTGAAGCAATTCAACAGATCTGAAAACAGCGTCGGAAACGCAGCTTTAAACATCTCTTCCCTACGACCACTTTGCGTTCTCCGAGTCTACCAGTCATACATTGCGAAGGCCCTTCTCTTGCACTGTGTTTTATCTAACGATATAAAATATAGGCGTGGATCCAATGGGGGCCACATCTAGTACCCGGTACTCAACTGCTTTGGATCTTTCATTTTTGCCAGTGTTCTAGTATGATTACATGTGCCTATTTGACCTGTGTAACTACATATAAGGGAGCCACGAGTAAGTGCAAAACCGGCATGAGATATCGCTCAAGGACATATCGGTAGTATCGACGAGGATGAGCATCAACTTCTTAACTTTGTCGCTGCGCTGGCAGGGTCACTGCAGGTTTTGCCGAAATTTCTGCTATCTGACAGCCATAACAAATTCTACCGAATCGATCAGAATCGTACCCACAAGTATACGCAGAATATAAAAGCTGGCTGTCATCCTCCTGAGAGATATTCGAGATCCCCCACCAGAATATTCCGCCCAGAAAATGCATTTCTCCTTGCTCGCCATTGTTGTTGCTTTGACAGCATCTATGTCTGTCAGTGCATGCACAGCCCCCTTACATACTTGCACAAGACATACAGTTTGCTGCGGAGGCTTGGTTTGTTCATATGATTCTGACGTGAGTATTAGCATGTCGCCGGGTAACCAGGATTCAACTACATGACTCACCTCCACACCTTAGACTGGAGGTAACACCTGCCAGTCGCCATTTGGAAATTGAGCTGGCAGCCCGAGCGGCACATCACAACAGTGAGTCATGCTTCTACTTTCGCTTTGGTATTCTGATGGTGCAATACTTAGTTCGGAGCCAATCAGTACAGCTGTTTTTGGACAGATGTTCATACTGCTAACCCATGCGGATGTTTGAATTAATCCAACGTGCATAGTCTTGTTCGTGGTCTTCGAGAGACTGTCGAAATGAGCGGTTGTTGCTGTTGCTGATTGATATTGAGAGGCCATACGAAGATGGAATGCCCTGCGCAGGTTGAATCTGTTCGTCTAACGTTGGCCTCGAAGGCTAGCTCATGAATCTCTCTCTTGATCGAGCCAACGAAACCCCGATCGCTGTTTGTGACAGACGTATTATCTTCTAGGATGAAGTCAAAGCCCAAGGTCATCCAGCGGGCCATCAGTGAACCTGTGAACAGATGAGATTGGTATTCAAACCAATATACTGTCGACCATCGCAATAATCAATGTAAAACTACCAACCATTTTCAATGGGAATGTTTTGCATTGTCGAGAAAACACAGATTTGCAAGCACGCGTGCCTAGGAGTCAAATTACAGAACTGTGAACTTTTTCAGTTGAATGGGTCCAAGAAAAATGCACAAGCACAGATACATGAAGCCTAATACATGGTGGACCCAGCCAGACTCCTACCCATCGGCGGGTGTGTAAGAGAGCCCCCGACATCCGACACAGACCAAACACAACCAAGCGCTATTTCTCCGACGATTTACCGAAACTTTTGGGGCTACTTACACACCCAGCCGACTGGCAAAACTTGCAGGTGGCGCGATGTTTGCCTCTGTTGATTTCGCCTGTTATCACTCAATTCGGACTGACTTGTGTGAGTGACACGCTCAGTGTGACAATACCGAGTTTATGTAGTGTTATTTAATTTTTTGTCAATGCTATTTTCATTTGCTGCAATACGCATCAGTGATGGCTTCGCCCCCCCTAAACTACGACATACCATCTATAGCTACCATACGCACCGCGGTCCACGAACGTTTCGGCTTCGTACCTTGTAATTGGCAAGTGCAGTCTGCCCAAGCACAACTGAAGAAGAGAGATGTCGTCACTTTGTCACCTACAGGCTCTGGCAAGACACTCACATTCTGGATTCCTTTGTTATTCAACGATGGCGGCATCACCATCTTGATCACTCCGCTGACGATCCTCGGAGACAAAAATGTCATCGAGCTACAAGAAGTCAATATACCTGTTGTGAATCTGTCCGCTGCAACAGCAACAGACACAATATTCGAGGTGAGATATAATTTAAAGCTCGAATCTTATGACTTACCTTGTACATCAAACAGGAAATTGCCACCCGAAAGTTTCGGGTCATAATTGTTAGCCCCGAGAGAATACTGTCAGACCGCCGCTTCGATACCTTGTGGAAGACACCGCAATTCGTCAACAAACTCTTCAGCATCACCTTTGACGAGGCGCATTGCATTAGTCAATGGGGTGGTGACTTTCGCCCTTCCTATGCTGAGCTCGGTCGACTTCGTTGGCTAGTCCCTCCGCACGTCGTGTTTCATGTAGCATCTGCCACACTGCCGCGACACGTGCTACATGATGTTAAGTCCATCCTACACATGCAGGACCATCGAACAACAGAAGCACGACGCACCAATGACCGTCCGAACATCCACTTAATGGTTATCGAGATGCTGGACCCTTTAAACAGCATGCATGACCTAAAACGCGTCCTCAAGTTCAATGGTGACCCACCTCCTCCAAAATTCATGGTATTTTGCAATGAGCGCAAAGAGACAGAGCGATTATGCGAATTTGCACGGTCAGAAGCACCACCTACTGTGGCTAAAAAGCTGGTCTGGTTTCATTCAGGCATGAGTACTGATTTTCGAGCTGAGACGATTGAGAACCTTCGGAAGGGGGAGATATGGGGTATCTTCTGCACAGATGCGGCTGGTATGGTTAGTCATTACATTAAAATATATGTGTGAAGCTCATACCTTACAGGGCCTAGACCTTCGTGACATTGCGTTAGTAATCCAGTGGAAATACACCTCGTCACTTTGCACGCTTTGGCAACGCTTAGGCAGAGCAGCGCGAGATATTTCTACAGAGGCAACTGGGATTTATCTAGTTGAGCCACAGTACATTGATTATCAGAAAGAGAAGGCAAGAGAAAGAGCCAATGCACGCACCGCAAAACGAAAACAGGTCGACGATGGTGGTGGAGGTTCCCGAAAAAAGCACAAATCAACAAGTATCGCACAAGTGCCGAGTGTTGGGAATCGGACGGAAAGTGGCGAGGATGTGAGAAATCCGCAACACGCTATTCAGAGGATTGTTCCGAAGGATCTCAATGACGAAGAGTACGAGGCTGCTGCAATGGATGCCTACATCAATGCTCGAGCTCGTGGATTTTGCCGTCGCAATGTCTCAAATGAATATTTTGACAATCCCCAGATTACTGGGCTCAGTCTGAGTATGTACCTAATGTATGTAACTGCTTCTGACGTTCATTAACAATTGTATAGATGCCAGCAGCATATCACCAGTGTGTCATCCCGACTGCGCACGGTGTATTATCAAACCTTCCCGCCTATGCTGCGACTCGTGTCACATTGGCTCCTTCATCCTTCCTGCACCCACCACACAAGCACCTAAGCAAACCCGAGCACCGAATAAACTCAAAATACCCGACTATCAAATGGGCCCTGGAGACTTTGCATTGAGAATTGAACTGCAGGAGTGGCGAAGAGAGCGGCTGATAGAGATTGGTGCAGGTGGAGATGACTTTTTCGGTGTGCAACTGATAATGGCCGATGAAATTTTAAACCGCATCGTTGATTTAGCGCATTCCCGCAAGATTGATGGAGTTTCCTCAATTCGCGATCAAGCCAGCTGGCGCTACTGTGACCGGTGGGGCTCTCAAATATTCAACATTGTCCAAAAGTACTACCTGCCATCTGCCGACAATGCACCACCCTCTATCGCAGAGAATCCAACTACCTTTGCAACCAACCTTGATATCAACGCACTTCCTTCGAACAAGCCACCACGTCAAAAAAAACCATCAACGTGCCGTGCATGTGGTCAGGCGGGGCATATTGGTGAGTTCATTGTGTTTTTGTACTCATGCAACTTCTGAACTGTATTCTAGCATCAAACCGTCTCTGTCCCAAGTATGTACCTAAGCAGCAAAGAGGTAGCAGGTTGAATGATGAAAATGTGGTACCATCTGCAGGTTAGTTATTGAAATCCTCCGCCTCTGCTTCATAGCGGTCTTCACTGGACATTGTTAGGCTAACTTTTTTCTGTTGTATCAGCTTCATCCCAACCGCAATCTGGTCTTCTATAACTCGCTTTGCACTCCTGTTTTGTGATATCATATACGACGATGTTGACTGGATATGCGATCGAAGCTTCTCAATGGTGGCTGCCATGTCTGGGTGTGTGTGCCGGATGGTTCGATTTTTCAGGTAAAACGCGTTCTCCATGATGACATGGCAGTTGCGAAACACCTCAATCAATGGTGACTGTTTAATGATGTGGTCAATTGTGCGGTTTGGACCTGTACCTGCAAAGATGACCTGCCGCATACATGAGGACACAACACGCTGATATTATCATCAAAGTCTGCACCTTTGTGTAGAGATTGTTTCGCTCTACTAACCAATCCACAGCTCGAAACGCATTGGGTTTTCCTGTCGGATTGCAAAGTAGGTTGAGACGTATTATGCGACTGTCTCATTGTGATTAACATGTTGATTTCAGGGCGCAATGGTACAGTTTGCTCACCACAGGTCTTGGGGATATACACTTCGTAAGTTCATTGAAAACTTGTTGATTTGCGCTGCATACTTATGCTTGCCAGTTGCACAAAATATATAGATCCACGGCAGGAAAGATGCCTCGACTCGTCCAATGTCCCCAGCATTCATGGCCTGGCAGAGATCTATGTAGAGTAACTGATCCCGATTCCGAAGACATTGGTTTTCAAATTGTTTGTCCCGTTCGCTAACTGGTCTGGTGCGTAGGTCACCAAGCTTGTCTGTTGTTGCGACATACTTGTTGACAATTGCTTCAGACATCTCCACGAGCTGATCCCACTCCAAGTCCGACTTTCCGAACTTCTCTAATGTTTGCCATTCAACTGGCTGTCTCGACTGCGCTTCAAGGCGCCAGCACTCGAGAATCGAAGCATGCAGGTCATGGTGTATGACATCATGCATGCGTCTAAAACCAGGTTTCGTGGATATGCGCCCTGTTTCTTGTGGTCGCAAGATGCCTACATGTTGGAACATGCTGTTCGGGTCATCTCGGCCTTCTTTAGGTTGAAGGTACGTCCTCCATATTGCATCCGCGCATGCCATTTTGTAGTGAAACAACCCTGGCAGGAAGATGATGTACTGGAATCGGTTTTTTGGCGTGCTCTCGATTCTCCGTGTATCACGAACTGTGTCGAGCCGTTCTTTGGTGAGTAAGTCGCCGTGAATAAGCAAGACATGTTCTGACATGTCAACGTCTCCTGCAGATTCGAACTCTTTATCACTAGGATCTCCGATTCCTCCTTGTCGCAGCAAATTCTCCATCACCTCCATATTCCCATCAGCAGTCGATTGCTTGATCCTCATGGAACGAAAAGGTATTTGATCCGTCTTTGTGACAGGTATCCGTAGGACTGATTCTGGCTCTCCAAGTTTGTCCACAAATGATCCAAAATACCGGCCATGCTGGACAAGAATGTCTCGTACATGCCATGCAAAGGCAGCAAGTCGTGGGCTGAGACGCTCGCCTTGTTTGGGCCTACTGTAAGTGTCATTGATGTGATGTTGTAGCATGTCGAATTCATCGATTTCGACAGCTGTTGTTGACGGTGTAGGGTTACGAGAATCGGCAGCCCATAATGCTGCTGAGCAGCGTAGTGCCTCGGGATTGTCAATGCCTACAAGTGGCAATGAGGTAGCGGATGTTGCACTAACAAAGGTCGAACGATGCCCAATGGTAGGTTCCGAAGTTTTGAAGTCAATGTCAAAGTTGTCATATGCAAAGGACACTTTCAGTGATCGAATACCTTGCTTGATGTTAGCTGCAATTTCTTTGGACATCGAGTGTACTGCATTGTGTATTGATGTGACACTGATAGATAATCCCGCATGTGCCAGGACATCAATCACTTTCTGCGGAACACCTGTCGAGTGGAAGAATATGCCGAGGAGACCCTGTAAGTAATTGCATCTTTCGTTTGAGCTCTGCAAAATTATACTGATGCACACGACAGTTTTCTGTACAGGTGTGAGTCCACGAGCTTGAGTGCAACGTGATAGAACTGACGATTATCTGCAGTGTTGTATTTCTGGCCTCTACTTGTACATGGGTCCGATGCTCGCGTGAGTCGTTCCTTTGTTCGTCGCTTGTATCTGACGTAGATTCATCTACACCATTGTCACCCCCAATCTCTCCAAGGTCACGCTCCGCATCTGCGAACACTTCGGTCATCACCATCTCATCAACCATGGCTTTCCCTGTGCTCCGTCGCTCATCAGATGCCTCGAGAAGTGAGTAGATTAATCTCCAAATAGTTGGTGCATGCCTTCTGATCTTTTCCGCGACTCGAGGCATAAATGAATGTTCTAACTGCTCCGTCGTTGCAGATTTGGCACGGAAATGCAATCCGTTCTCCTTCCGCACCAGGTCTTTGATCTCAGCGCCAAGCACTTCCCTCACGACTTCATATGCCCACAAAGATATTGATGTGCGAGTGTCAGGATACTGATAAAGGTGAGTGCAAATCTCCGAGCCTTGTTGCACTAAATTTTTCTTTGCTGAGTGGTGAATCTTGTCCGTGCTTTGGAGCAGTTGTTTTATGAAGTCTGAAATGGTCATCCTGTTGACCTCCAGGCACTGTAGTACATTGTTGAGCTTTTGTGATAGTTGGTAGTCCATCAGTTGAGGATTTGGGTGTCAGTATGTAGCATTATATTCCACAGCATGGGTATGTAGACGAGTACTTCTCAATTGACACGCCTTTCGAGCATGGCGAACGTCGACAATGAATTCTCACGAGCATTGACAAAAAATTAAATAACACTACATAAACTCGGTATTGTCACACTGAGCGTGTCACTCACACAAGTCAGTCCGAATTGAGTGATAACAGGCGAAATCAACAGAGGCAAACATCGCGCCACCTGCAAGTTTTGCCAGTCGGCTGGGTGTGTAAGTAGCCCCAAAAGTTTCGGTAAATCGTCGGAGAAATAGCGCTTGGTTGTGTTTGGTCTGTGTCGGATGTCGGGGGCTCTCTTACACACCCGCCGATGGGTAGGAGTCTGCGTTCCCACATAAGGTCATGTAACCCCCCCGCCACATTTTCGAAGATTCTTGTGATTGCTATCAATATATAGTCAACTATGACATTTTAATATGTTCACAGGTTCACTGATGGCGGCGCCCGCCCGCCAGCGCCAACAGATGAAACCCAAATATTGGCTCCACCCTCGCCAATCGCACTCAGATGCCTTCAGCAGTATCCATCCATTGTTGAGGATGGCAAATGCGAGAAAAACGAATAGTGAGGTTCAAGTCCAACAGTGTAAAACGGCACATTTCTGTCATCTTATCTCGTCAATATGAGCAGGTTAATTAACTAAGTAACGCGCCACTATCTATCAGTTAGTACTTATTCCTGAGTAATGAATCATGAGCGATTTATGTGAGCTTGGCACCAGAGAAAGATGATATCCAAGGGTTCAGAAACGAGAAGAAAACAAAATATCATGATCAGTGCCGGTGACTCAAGTACTCATGCCACGCCTTTGGAACTTCCCGAGCTGTTTTTTGCGGTTCGATGACTCATGAGTATACATAATAAATTGTAGAGGGCGCCTACATTGAAGGAACTTCTGATAGGCCTACTGTTAGTACTGATCTCTGAATTTTCAACTCACCGGCGGGTTTGATGGTCGCGTTTCAAAGAGCTCAAGTTCTATTCGCCACAGAGTAGTGTGGTGCCGATGCCACCCACCGAAGAACTTACAGAGAGGCTGTGAGTATGTGAATGTTTATGTAAACAGCTGAAATAAAATTTGAATTCAACCCTAACCTCCAATTGGTCGGCAAACCCAGTTTCTCCCACTGCAGAAGCATCATGATACGAACTTGATGCGACCATGACTCGGATCATCATGGATATTTTAATCCTGAGATTTGAACCAACAAAGTTTTGCGGTAAGTGTAAGTTAAGGTTTCTGCCCAACCTCTTTCGAATAGGGCGGTGTATATCGATATATATATCTTTGACAGTTTCGCAATGATAGCTGACTCGGAGCGCTGACTCGGAGCTACTGACCACGATGAACCACCTTGAATTAGACAACCTCCAAACCTCCCTAAACAATGCGCTAGACAGTTTACGTGTCTCGATGGACGGGTCGAGGTTGCCGCCTTTGTCTTCACAGTATGGAACCGACGCGCACCCTTTGGATAGCATGGACCAGCCCACACCAGTTGGTGTATACGAAGCCCGCAGAGCAGCGCTAGGTATGTTAGAATGCAACAGGGTCAAACCACGTACTGATTCTGCCCTTCTAGCATGTGTTGTAAGTTCAAATCCGGCATGCTCCTGCTGTAACATGTACCAATTGATTCATTCAGGTAGAGCTCAAGAATCTTCTACAACATCCCTTTGAGAAAGCTGCTGAGAGCGCCTTTTCCATGTATGATTTTCCTTCCGTTCAAGTCTTTATTGAACATGGCATCGTGGACCGCATGGCGAAAGAGCCATCTGGCATCTCTGTCAAAACTCTCCAGTCAGAACTGGACCTTGACTCCCATAAGCTCACCACGGTATTACGCCATCTGTCAGTTTATGGTTGGATTCGAGAGACTCAGGATGGTATTTTTGCCTTGAATCGCTCCTCTCGCATTTTACTACAAGGCCAAAGAGGTCGTGCAGTAATAATGTAGGATTCCTTTGCATACCGACTTTGCACGATTAATCTTGTTATAGGGCTCCCAACTACATGAGGATCGCAGAGGCTCTTCCTCGATGGCTTGTGCATCCCGAATTCAGGTTCTCTAAGTCTCCAGATCACACCGCATTTCAACTTGCGAACAATACTACAAAGCCATTCTTCGAATGGGTGAAAGATGATAGGAATTATCTTAGTCGATTTTCAGCGGCTGTCGAGGTTTGCGTCATCCGCCTTGAACTGGCAATCCTATACTTATAATTCTCAGGCAATCGGCGAATATGTGACCCCAGGAATATTATCGGACTACCCATGGCAAACGTGCTCAGAATCAACTATTGTTGATTGTGCAGGAGGTAAAGGAAGCCTATCTATCGCCCTCGCTAATAAGTCAGTGAAAAAAACTTAGGAAGCAACGCAACTGAAACATAGTATCAAGATTTCCTGCCCTCCGTCTTGTTGTCCAGGAGAGGGAAGAGATGGTCGGGCCTGCTGAAGCTAACATCAAGGCCCGTTTGGATCCCAACTTAGTTCATGGCACAGTAGTTGCTGAAGCCAACGACTTGTTCTCTACTCAACCACGCACTGGGGATAAATATACCTTCATGTTACGACATGTTCTGTGCGCTACACCTTCGTGATCCTTAGTTATCCACTGACGTTCTTTCATAGGCACGATTGGCCCGAGGCTCAAGCTGTAAGTCTTTTTTATCATCGACATCAAATCTTAGTTGACGTTTCCAGGTGAACATCCTAGAGAAACTTGCTGCTGCTGCAGGACCAAAGGTTCGTTCTCGACATCACTTTGTGGTTCCGAGAGCACGTTAAAAATCTTTCCAGTCCAAGATCCTGATCATCGAGAGAATCTCTGGGCACTATCCCGACACTCATGTCGAGCTTGAACATAGCCCAGTAAACACAATGGATAGCACACTTCCTGCTTCCCTCATAACCGAGCAAACCATTCTCAATTCCTCATTTCGCATGCCACAGGCACTCGCCTTGCATCTCTTGTGTATTTTGAATTGCCACGAAAGGACATTGGTACGCCTGCCCCGTCTTGGCATGAACTTTGCTCACCATTCTTTTAGGATCAGTGGCGAACTATAATTTCCCGGGCTGGCCTTGTCATTACAGGGGTGTACAAGCTTAGGACTTACGTGTCTATCATGGAGTGTCGCGTCATTCATACAGACGAGAGTTGAGATGACCTTATATTGACAACTCGTTATCTGCTATAAAGTGTACAAGGACACGCCTTCGGTCGTCTGTTTTCCAATCAACAGTGTCTACAGTAGAAAGTCACTGAATGCAATGTTTGCACAGTCTTGTCCTTCGTTCGTCTCCGCAAACAGACAGCGTGTCTCTTCGCGTTCTGACCTCGACAACGCCGTATACAATTGACCGTGAGCAAACGGATCCTTTCGCAAGTCAACCTTCAAGGACGGACGTCAAACCCTGACAACCATTGAATGTAGTTGCATACGCGGGTCTGAGTGGAAATTGTCTTCCATTTACTGTCCACCATGAACAGTCTGGATGGAACGAAAGGAATTCTACTATCAGCTAGTAACACACATTATAAATTCTACAGTCATCGTGGTCGAATAAGCTAGTAAGCGATGCGTCTATCACAGCTCCGTCTGGCTAGTCACCAAACCCAATCTACCTCGCTCTAAGACAGCTTTGAAACCAAAGTGTTCCTCCACACCGAAGTTCTCCGTGGGGTTGTACATTGTGTGGATGGGCTTCCGCGCGTTGATCTCGCTCAAAACGATCTTGGCTTCCTCATCAGCACCTCCAAGCACGCGATCGATGTCGCTCTCTGTCATGACGGGTGCGTCTGGGGATGTTAGAGAAGGATCCAGTCTATTCAAAGTTTAGTATGAGATAATGTGGTTAAGCAAACGATAGACCCTCACCTAGCTTTGACCGCAGAATGCATCTCGGGATCGGTTGGTGCGAATAGATGACTACAGAAGTCCATAGTTTTCTGTTAATCGGAATGAGAATATCCCGGAAGATAGTAGCAGAACACACGCACCTGGAGTTCGTCTTCTGTTAAGGCCTTACCGACATCTGCTGTTCCTTGTATCACTGCACTCGAGTATTAGATTTTGTAGTGATAGAAAAGACATCGATCCTCACCCGGCCTGATGAGATCAAAGGCTCTGTCAAAATTGTCCTCATCCACATCACTCATCACCGGCATAGATTGATTTCTGATCTGTTTGTAGGTGCCCAGGACGACAAGAAGGAACCTGTGCCATACATTGCATTAGATCTTAGTTACTATCACTCCAATAACCGAATTTACATGCCTCGTGTAAGAGGTGGCGATTTTTGAGGTGTGCCAACGCTGGGCATCATCTTCGCTGCAGAGTCCTCGGATCGACGCAGAAATCGTGAGAGCAGCCGAAAGTCCACCTGTGAAAGCCAAATGGACGCCAGAGGAGAAGAATGGATCGATGAACGCTTATTAATTGTCAGCCGCGAGTGCCACAACATGTCAAGAAAATTACCTCCAGCATCCCCAGCCAGTCGGTAATGATCCCCAGCATAAGAGGGGGTCGAGTAGCTAAAATCGCCTGCAGATTTCACAGCCATCGGTGTACCATCGTTTCGAAGGGTGGCATTTCCCATCAACTTAAGGACTCCAGGAGCATTGCTTAAAAGCTCTTGCTTGTAATGAGCCAGAAGGTTTGAGCCGGATCCTCCTGAGGCCGCACGGGAAGCCTTCTTCTTGCGATTGCTTGACTCTTGATCCATCACAACTCCCACAGATGTGGATCCATCGTGAAGGGGAATGAACCAAGCCCATCCAGACTCGTCTGTAGACAGTGAGATTACTGAAACCCTTTGAGTTGTTTTCATACCTTCAAGTGCTTCAACAAAGATAGCATTCTGGCGAGTGGTACCCGGCATGTAAGACCCGGTTCCATCCCAGTACCCCCAACATGCGACATTGTTGAGAGCCTGATTAAAGCGTCTGTTCTTGAGATACTTTGTGGACATGACCCCTTTCTTTCCTGATGCATCGACTAGGTAGCTGAAAGAGATACGGCCCTCGGTTCCAGTGTTGGCATCCTTCCAATTGGCTGAGACAGGTCTTTCGCCCTCGAACTGAAACTCGGTGACTCTTATGTTGTCGAACACGTTTGCGCCACTCTTCGAAGCATGACGGAATAGCAAATCGTCAAACTCCGACCGAATCTGCAAAACAATGAGACGGTGAGCATATCCCCAATATATTACATACCACGTTCCAAGACCCATTGTCTGGGTTCAGCGCAATGAAATCTGTATCTGGGATGGACGATCGATATCAGTATGACGATGAACTATGAACGAGAGTGACTGTGGCTCACATCCTTCTCGTTTGAACTGGTTCAGCTTGACCGCAGCACCAGGCTATAAGAGGGTGAATAATGTACCCGGACGTTGAAGACTATCCAAACCTTGACTGTGAATCCGTAATTCTTGATGGTTTCTTCCGCATCAATAAATGCCAAGAAGGGGCGGATCGACGGGAGCAAGCTCTCGCCAATATGATAACTGGTACAACTATGTATTAGTGACTCCGTATACCAATGCTCATGTATCATATGTACTGACCGAGGGAACTTGGCAGCTTCGAGAAGAGTGACGTCAAAGCCTTCTCGAGCTAAAGCAGCAGCAGCGTAGCTTCCGGCGGGTCCGCCGCCGACGACAAGTATTTCAGTTGCAGTTGGCTACCTAGTATCTCAGCCAAATTCACTGTAGCAGAAGAATCGATATCAGCCACTTACAAGTGTTCGAGTGGCCATTTTTGTGAAGGGGGTTGTAGGAAAGGGAAAGTCGCCATGCCTTTATATACATACGAGAAACTGTGTCTTGAATAATGCAACGTAGTGATATTCTTGCACCCGAGGAAGCCGCTAGATCATCTCGACCGAGTTAATAAGTCAACTGGAGTAACTTGGCGACCGCGCGCGGGTGTTCTGCAGGTCAAAAATCATTCGATCAGAATTGATGAATGTACGTACTGATGGGCCGGTCGACATTATTACGGTACTGCATGAGAGCATGACATTTAATGCAGATAGGCTGACTTGCTGTACAATGTAATGGGACAGCTACTTACTTGTACTACAAATCAAGAAATCAGATCTCAGACGCGGCGCTTGTTTTTCTATATGTCATTACGATGTCCGGGATTGCTGTGTGCAGCTGCGTGTTTTTTTATTTGTTAGTCTATCATATTCGGCACTTTCTACATGCCGACCGGAGGGGAGTACTACATCTACAACTTTAGCCGCTCAATGAGCTGGTCATTGAACGCTCGGTTTGGGATAGTTCAGGGATTGGTTACGGCCTCAAGTTTTTTTGGAAAAAATGGACTAGCCGAGGCATGTCACGATCCGAAGAACCAATTCGCCGTGCGGCAAGATAGAAATACCAGATTATCGAGTTATCGAGTTATCAAAATCCAGATCAGTGATCATGATATGATCATATCATTGATAATATTGAAAATCGTAGATTGAAAAACATGACTATGCCAGTAGAAAACTAAGTAAAGCTAGATATAATCTGCGTGCAGTGTGTGGTACCACTCTTTATCAGAGAATGAATTGAGATAAAAATCATCGTAGCGTTCAAGAGATGTCACTGAGGTGACAGAGCGATCCAATGTCGTTCCATAGATTGGTATCAGTTCTACAGCGTGTGTGACATCGACAAGGCGTACTATCTTCCCGATCCTTGTGCGAGAACCATCAGGCGCTGTATAAAACGAACGTCGAACTCGGTACATGGCAATGTGCGGCTCAGCTTCAGGGAGCGCAGTTACTTCGAATAGCTGAACATACAGAAAAGGATCCTTGAGCTGGACCGGCAGCTGCGACCCTCGTGTTGACAGTGCGAAAACCATTCTAACTTGAGCAATGCATGGCGCTAAAGTGATATCAGTACCTGGAATTGAACAGAAATTTGAAAACTTACTAGACTGCGGGTTAGCACCCGTAGGTTGAAGAAGGACAATATCGCAGTATCCATAAGGATAAGTATTGGACGGTGGAATGGCCTGAACCTGCTGGCTCGGCATGATATTACATGGACGGAGTCGAGAATGGAGCTGCAGTCTGAATTTGAACCAGACTTTGAGCAAGCGACTATGAAACGGCGAGTTGCGACCTGAGACACCATCGAGATATTGTGAAAGGATATGTGGAAAATTTGGGAGATGGTATAGTTGAGCAAGAGCGGTGGCAGAACGATCTGCAAGATCGTGGGCAATTGTAACATGGAAGGCAGCATTGGCTTCATCTGAAAGTAGTCCCTTGAGAAAATGATTGCGAACAGGACGAATGGCTTGAAAACGTTGCATTTCCTGTGGCGCAACACGCGCTATCCAACTGAACGTCGGGTCCATATCAACGACTTCATCAAACTCGTCATCCATAACGTTGACGAGAGACATCCCCTGTTCACGAAGGAGGGTGTAGAAGTTGAATTGTCGCATCACGTCCTGGCGATGAATGATGTTGACAACCTGCTGAGTGAATGTGGCCCGTTGGTGACTTGTCCGTTGGAATGGTGTCTTGCAATGTGTGATCAACAGCCGTTCACTGACATCTGCGGAATATTGGATTATGGCTCCTGATTTACGAATAGAACGTGCGAAGGAGTTGAAGAGCTCGAGTTTTGGGATCCGAAAATGAGCTATTGGACCAGAGGTTCCCGTGCGAGCCTGTGCCTCTAAGATGAAGTGTTTGTAGGTATGAAATTCGCGCAGGGAGTCAGACATGCTGTTAATGGACGAGTCGGTGAAGGTAGGAGCCTGTGCTTTGTATATGAAATCTATAAGCGCACGGACTGCGCGAGTGAATCCAGGGGATGTCACACCCACAATAGTGGGGACAAGGGTTCGCTGGATATCGCGATGTTCACGTCCAGTCATCTGGTTAACATGAGAGACGCCATCAGTGAAATGACATGTGCCAACACGTTTATGCTGGCTGCGGAACCGAGCATCCAGCTCATTAGCGCCTATCACCTCCTTGCACCACTTCAGTATGTGATCAAAGAAAAATTTGTGGCCTGTGTGCAGTATCTCGGGGACAAGGAAAACCGCAGGGTCAGCAAACTTCCAGTCACGCCAAAACGGTTTGTGAACGCCGCTGAGGGACACCTTCTTTGCTGCCTCCTGGAATTCCCGGAACTTCCAGGGATCGAAAACCTTGCCAATCTCATGCAGCTGCAGTAATGTAGACATGCCATTACGGGGAGGGTGTGTGATGCCGTCGTCAAATTGTGCAAGTGTGGCTAACGTCGTTGGTGAGACACTTTTCGAGATGCAGGAGATCATGAGTTGTTCAGGAAGGTCGGCAACGTGGGCGATGAGCGGCGTGAATGCATAGCGCTGGCATCCCATCGGGTCTACCATTAATTCACCCATATGAGAAGCGATCTTCAGCTTTTCGAACACCATGTCCATGCAACTATGCCAGAAGCGTGCTTCCAACAATCCTGCATAATCACTATTTGTGATGTATTCCGGACTCGGGATATATGCAACGCACTCCCATGCATGCGAGGTTGCCTTCATACGGATCTCAGAGTGGATGTTGCTGATTGTGAGAAACGTTGGGTGCATCTCAAGTGAGCCGGTGTGTCGAGTTACTGGAGTCTTGTCCGAAGCGAGAATTATAGGCACTATAGTTGCGCCGATTGGCAACTTATCCTAGAAATAAATCAATTTAGTTAGATGTGACCACATTGACGAGGATGTATTGAAGTCACTTACTTGAATTTCAAATGCGTGTTCACACGACATCCATTCTCCGTATTCACGCTCACCATCATCGTTTATTTCGTAAGGGTCGTATTCCATGTGGTTGGCGAAGATCGGATTGCCAAAGATATGGTGAACAACTTCGAGGGCATCTCGCCAGATGAGATTCACAGGATGAGTAGTCGCATATGTTACGACTGGGATAAGTCGAGCTATCTCTGTCTGAGTAGACAATCGGCAGAATGCCAGATAGACGTGAGTCTGCTCTCGATTGAGAGATCAAGGGTTTTGGCTAAGGCGAGTGTTGCTGACTCCCTTAGAATAGTGGTTCTTAGACAGTAAGGTTGGAGACCTTACTGAAGGACAATGTTCCAGGTAAAACCCAGTAGATTAAAGTAGAGAATACAACTGTAGGTAGGTAGGTTTATATACCAGTGTTCAAGCGGAGCTTGTAAATGTGTTTATCAAGATAGAAGCAAAAAGAGGCGGACAGCCCGCTTGGCGAGATAAGAGTCAAGATAAGAGATAGGCATGATAAGAGATAAGCGTGGTACGGACGGCCCGTTTAAGAGGCAAAAGGGAAATGAGTATAGGGGCCTCTCTAAATGTTATTGTAACATTACCCCTCTGTTACGGTTGAAGTCTCCGACTTCAATTATTCTTCGGTGTCGCAGTATTCGTTCATGTAGTCGTAGTGGATGGGATCCGCGTCAGCGTTGCAGAACTCTGGTTCATTATACCTGGTGGCGTAATCCCGGTTTGCCCTCTCTATCTCTTCCAGAAGTTCTTCGTCTTTCCTGGCCTCCCATGCCGCTAGTGCTTCATAGAAGCCTTCATCGGTGTAAACCAATGGGAAAAGTTCTTTCTTCGCGGCGTAAGGGCAATAGATGGATAAGTGGCCAGGCTTCTGGGCTTGGCATATGCGGCAGTAATATTCGGGGCAGTTCTTGTGACGGTGCCCAAGTTTCTTGCAGACGCGGCAGACGAAATTGTCTGCGGAGAACTGGGGTTGTTTTACAGTGATGACGTCGGGGGTTTCGGTGAGGTCAATGACTTCACGCTTCTTTCCCTTAGAAGCTCTAGTCTTCGACACTCCGTGCACGGTAGCTCCTCTACGGGTCTTTCGTTTGAAGACGACGGTGGGTTCGGGGATGGGGAGTGGTTCTTCAACTGGTGTCGGTTGAGCAGTAGGCTGAGTCTCTTCTCCAGCCGTAACTGCAGCAGGTATGTCGCTGGGGGGAGCGCTAGTAAAAGGGCTTGGCGGGCGACCGACTTCGGTCTGGTTTCGCTCTTCAACAGTCCGTATAACTGACTTGCAGATAGTGCTAAAAGCAGAAGGAAGCAGCTGAATCTCAAGGCTGCGTATTTGTCTCTGGAGGTGCTGGCAGGCGAGTCTGAGGGCATCGTTTTCAATTTCTTTGAACCTAAGTTCAAGGGCGGCGGTGGCGCGTATGATGTGGATCTGGGATATGACGGGGGCGGCAGCGGACGCGGGTGCTTCAGCGAGCTGTTTCTCGAGCTCAACTGCGTGGGGAAGGGATAACAAAGTGGTCTCGACGATGGCGTCGTCGTCCAGGTTAAGGATGTTCGTTTTGTACGATGAGTTTCCGAGGGAGTGCGAGGATGATGACGATCCAGTAGGAGAAGGTGTCAATGGTGGAGTCATGTTACTTGGGATTTGTTTGTGGGAGAGAGAATGATTCGTTCAGTTCAACTTGTGTCTCTTCTTATACGTGCTTAAGAGTTCTTTCGAACTCCGCAAGTTTTCCTCGGGTATCCATTCGTTGCTTCCGGAGGAGTAGCCTATCCATGATACCAGATAGCGTCTTCGTTTACCCGTGCCCTTATGGCTAAGAATAGCTTCTACTTCGTATTCTTCTTCGCCATTGATAACGTCAGGTGGTGGTTCGGCGTAGTTCGGCCCGTGTATCTCTGTTTCGCGATAGGAGGATAGTTCAGAAGCGTGGAACGTGGGGTGGACCTTCCATTGTTCTGGAAGTTTCAGGGTGAACGTGATGGGAGATAAGACCGCGGTGATAAGGAATGGTCCGTATCTCTTGGGCGCAAGTTTCCTAGATGGTAATGATGTCAGGAGATTGGTGGCCGAGAGCCATACCTTATCTCCCGTCTTCCATGGTCGGTACTTTTCATGGCGAGACCTTTCTGCCATTCGTTGCATAGCGATGTTATGGCAGGCAAGAGCTTCTTCTCGTATCTTCTGGAGGTTCCTGAGTCTCTCTTCTGCTGCCGGTGTGTCTGATACTGATAAGATGTGTGGGATTCCTCGTGGTTCGTAACCCATCATGAGGAAGAACGGGGATGTATTCCTGGCATCGTGCTTCCGATGGTTATGGACGAATTCGGCGATAGGAAGATGGTTGGACCATTCTAACGGATTGCTTCTACAGTAGATCCGTAGGTAGGTTTCTAGTTCCTGGTTGAGTCGTTCTGTTTGTCCGTCTGTCTGAGGGTGGTAGGCGGTTGATGCGGCAATCTGATATCCGAGGAGCCGGGCAAGTTCTCGAGAGAATTTCGAAATGAACTGCGGTCCTCTGTCTGAGATCACCTTCTCGTGGAGGCCGAATCTTTTGAACACGTTTTTGAGAAATAGTTTGGCCACTCCTTCGGAGGTGATGTTTTTGTTGCATGGTGAAATAATTACCCCCTTCGTAAGCCCATGGTCTACCACGATCATGATAGAGTCAAAACTGCCCGATACGGGTAGGTCGGTGATAAGGTCGACAGAGACTTGCGAGAAGGGGCGAGTGGCGATGGAGGGGATCGGGCGCAATGGCGGGGTAACAGGGTGTGTGTCAGCCTTCATCTGCTGACATAAAGCGCATCCATCGACGTATTTACGGATGTAAGTTCCCATGGCTGGCCACCAGAAATCTCGTTTGACGAGTTCTTCGGTCTTGAATCGGCCGGGATGCCCCGCCGTGGGATGATCATGGTGTTTAAATAACACATCATGCCGTTGGGCGGCAGGTACGTAAGCTCTATTTTTATAAAAGAGGACGCCATGGATGCACGTCCAGTCGGAGAGGGCGGATTTCATTGGGGGAAGGCATACTCCGTCCAATGCCTCCAGAGCTTTCTGGTACACGGGGTCTTTGGCGGAGTTGCGTGCAATATTTTCTGACAAATCATTGTCAATTAGTCGCACGAACATGGTATCAGGGAGGAGAACGCGATTTTCGTTATCGTCTTTTCCGAGTGAATGGTCAGGGCGTCGGGATAGGGCATCAGGGGCGGCTAGTTTGGTCCCTGCGACGTGATGCAATTCCAACTGATAATTGGAAAGGATGAGCTGCCAACGTGCCTGTCTTCGTGTCAGCTTTTGGGCGGAGCGGAAGTATAGGAGGTTCATATGATCCGTGAATACTATCACGGTGTGGGGGCTTCCTTCCAAATAGTGGCGCCATTCTGAGAGTGCCCGAATGACCGCCAGTAGTTCTCTGTCAAAGATTTCATAGTTTCGTTCTGCGGGGTTGAGGGATTGGGATAGGTAACCGCATGGGTGGTACATTCCATTTTCATCAGTCTGCAGTAATACTGCTCCGGTTGCTGCTAACGATGCATCGGTAGCAATTGCGAACTGACGAGTCGGGTCCGGGTTTCTTAGTACTGGTTGCGATAAAAAGGCGTTTTTGAGGTGGTCAAAAGTGTTCTGGCATTTGTCCGTCCAGACGAAAGGGTGGTCTTTCTTCGTGAGGTCGATAAGGGGTCGAGCGATATCCGAGTAGTGAGCGATGAATGTCCGGTAGAAATTGCAGAATCCTAGGAAAGACCGTGTGTCTTTTAGGTTTCCTGGGGTTGGCCAATGTTTAATTCCGTCTACTTTGGCAGGTTCCATCCCTACTTCTCCTGGTCGGATCATCATTCCAAGATATTCTACTTCTCGTGCATCGAAGGTACATTTTTCCGGTTTAACGAATAGTTTCTCTTTTCGAAGGATGTCGAGGATTTCGATGGTTCGTGCTTGGTGCTGCCGAAGATCCTTCGAGAAGATCAAAAGGTCGTCCATGTATATGACTAACCATCCCTGGTTTATCTGTTTCTGGCAGAGGTTGGTCATGAACGCCTGAAAGGTTGCAGGGGAATTTGTTAATCCAAAAAACATGACTGTTGGCTCGAACAGCCCTTCCTGAGTGGTAAACGCCGCTTTCCATCGATCTTCTGGGTGGATCCTCACGTTATTGTACCCAGATCTTATGTCGATCTTCGTGAAGTACTTGGCGTCATAGAGTTGTTCAATGAGGGATTTTGGCAAGGGAAGGGGATATTGATTTCGTATGGTCCAATCGTTGAGATACCGATAATCTTGACAGGGACGTAGTTCTCCGCTTTTCTTTCCTACGAAAAAGAATCCGCTGGCTTGAGGCGACTTGGAGGGGACAATAAAACCTTTTCTGGTGTTTTCTTCGATAAACGTTTTGACAGCTTCTCGTTCTTTTCCTGATAACGGATAGACTTTCGACGTTTTGGGCACGAATCCTGGTTTGAGGTCGATACGATGATCTACCCCGGGTCTTTCCGGCAGGAGTTTGTTAAGACCATCCTTGGCAAAGACGTCTTGATACTGGTGGAGGAAGTGAGGGACGAGTTCTTCGAAAGTTTTCTTTTGTTTTTCTATTTCTCCTGCAACCGCGAATTCTTGGGCTTTATTACTTGTTTTTCCATAGTTTTGTTCTCTTTTGATGTTCCGTCTCGAACGAGTGGGGTATCGAAGGTTATATCTTCTATGATGCGTACGGTGGATCCATCAGTGGCATACTCGACGAGTACTTCGTCACTGGCCAATTGATAGGCTAGTGGGTCTACGACTGGAGTTTTGAAGTTTTCTGACCAGACGTCGTCCTTCGTGTCATAGTTGGGTATTTCTTCATCAACTATTTCTTCTACAGAAGCGGTATAGGGGGAGGTGGTTTCGTTAGTTGCCACCTTCACCTGTATCGGCTTCCGTAGTTTGGAATTTGTCCAAGTTCGGGTTGTTTCTTTTCTGACTTCTTTCTCTTTTCTGAAAAGCGGCGGGAGTGACTTCTTGCGTCTCTTTCTGTCGATGTTTTTTTCTATGGCAAGCGACCTCTTCGTTGATGGGAGTGATACGGTCTTGGCTTCCCAATCGATCTGAGGTTTCAGTGCAGCAAGCCAGGGGAATCCTAGGAGGATTTTGTCCTGTTTGGCTAGCTTTGCCACATTGAATTTCCCGATCATAGTTCGTTGATCGATTTTGATCGTGAGTACGCAATAACGAGAGATAAGTCCTCCTTGAGCGTCCGATCCATCGGCGGTGATAACAGGGAAGGGTCGTGAGAGTTTATGGGTTCTTATTTTGTGCCTTTTACAGAAGGTATCGCTGATAAAGGTGCCGGATGCTCCGGAATCGATAACCATGGATGTTTCGACGGTTTGTACGCGTTTATCGGAAAAAATGGATGCAGGAATTCTTAATTCATTTCTGGTTCCGATAGAACGTATTAGTCGTACATGAGCGGGAGTTACTGACGTCGAGGCAGTGTCCCTTTCTAAAAATCCATCTCCACGAAGCGGTGTTCTACTTCAGTGAAGTCGCTGTCTTCTTCTTCTTCGACTTCTTTGGCTTTTTCTTTCATAGTCTTCCTTCGGACTGGTGCTTTCCTTCTCGGAGTTTCTTCTTCGTTCCTCTCCTTCTTCCTTCTGATGGGGTTCCTGGAGGAGGAAGCGCGACTTTCGACTTCGTCGTCGCTGCTACTTTCTTCTTCCTTGTTTCTTCGGATCTGTCCTCTTTCTCTTGGGTGGAAGGAGGTGTCGTTGGCACGGTGTCCTACTTGGTGACATTTGAAGCATCGTCCTTCTTTGAGGTGCTTCTTTAACTCTGCGTCTGAGAGACGGCTTATGCGGTCGACTTCCATGTCATCGTCCCTCTTTGGAACGTAGTGTCTATTTCCGAAGTTCTTCTTCTTCTGTTGCTGGGGTCTTTCTTTCTTCTTGATGGCTTTCCATCTTTGGAAGGCGTTATCGAGATTAATGCAGGAGTTGACGACGGTGTCGAAGTTATCGAGAGTTTCGCCTGTCCGATGCAGGTTGTCCTGAAGCCCGTAGTCTAGGCCTTGTCGAAAGAATTCGATGAGGGGGGCTTGTTCGGTCATTCCTGCTCGGTGTGCGAGGAGTTTGTAATTGGAGATATAGGTGTGGAGATCTCCTTTCATCTCTAATCCTCATATCTTCATCATGGCAGTTCCGGCGGGGTCCATGGGTTTAAAGGCTTCGTCGAAGTCCTTTTTGAATTTGACCCAGGTTCCGTAGCCGATCATTTGTCCAGAGGTGTCTTTCCTCTTGGGGTCTAGGGCTGCTTCCATGAAGTCTTCTGCCCAAGCTGCTGCGTTTCCTTTCGTCATGTAGGATAACACAAGGATGATTTTCTTCTTATCATCGACGTAGACTTTGTCGTTAATGTCGAGGTATGCGTGACATTTCATCATGAATCTCTTTGATTCTTCTCTATCTCCATCGAATTCGGGAGGGGAACCGATCTTTAGTTCTATTTCTTTGTTCTGGGTCGTCATGGTGTTCAAAGGAGGAATGGTTGGTAGAGCTCCTAAGTTCAAGGCTCCGATCAAAGGAGTTAACGAAGTCGTGGTGTCGGTTTCGTTGCAGATGGCAACGGTTCAGGTGATAAAGACTTTAATCTTTTGTTACGACTGGGATAAGTCGAGCTATCTCTGTCTGAGTAGACAATCGGCAGAATGCCAGATAGACGTGAGTCTGCTCTCGATTGAGAGATCAAGGGTTTTGGCTAAGGCGAGTGTTGCTGACTCCCTTAGAATAGTGGTTCTTAGACAGTAAGGTTGGAGACCTTACTGAAGGACAATGTTCCAGGTAAAACCCAGTAGATTAAAGTAGAGAATACAACTGTAGGTAGGTAGGTTTATATACCAGTGTTCAAGCGGAGCTTGTAAATGTGTTTATCAAGATAGAAGCAAAAAGAGGCGGACAGCCCGCTTGGCGAGATAAGAGTCAAGATAAGAGATAGGCATGATAAGAGATAAGCGTGGTACGGACGGCCCGTTTAAGAGGCAAAAGGGAAATGAGTATAGGGGCCTCTCTAAATGTTATTGTAACAGCATATCCATCAGTATGCATGGGTGTACACCGCCATTGAGGAACCTTTGGTAATGCGTCCATGAATGTGAAGAGTTGCTTTGCGGTCTTAAAAGACAGTGGCCGCTTCGCCTCTGCGACCACCTGGAAGAGTAAAATCAGCCCAGCCAATGTGAATTGATTGACACGAACCCAGAGAAGCTTTAAAAACCTGGTAATCTGCCCCTGGTTCAAGTTGTCACATAGAAATTTTGCGAGCTCCCACTCTGCTCTATCTGAGAAGGGGTAATAGACATTGTGTTTACGCATCGGCTCGAAATCGTCCTGCTCCATCCGCTTGAATGTATTGGGCTGACCAAGCTTATGAATGTAACCTGACGAATGATGGAATCGCCCTTGTCGTGGCCGATCTTCTGATGCTTGGGGGATGCGGAATGCAATTGGAGGGGGGATCAATCGGTGAGAACATCCTGGATAGAGGTACTAGTAGTCAGCGCATTCAATTTTGGGAGTTAGTTGGCTATTTACCTGGATCATCAGAAAGATGAGCACAGATATCCTCTGCGCTGTTGAAAAGATTAGAGCAGATTGGACATTGGACTGCTTGGCCGAAACTACTATGTGCTGGTCAGTCTGACTGAATCCAAAGCGATATTACTTACTCAATGCTACTGAGTCGCTCAGCAGCATGACTGTCACGACCAGGAGAATTGTGTGGGTTCATAGCAGCAGTAATGCAGAGTGATGTTGGTGGACGGTGCACTGTGCACCGTGACGGTGTTGAACTTCCTAAGTCTTTCAAACACCGCTGCCACGCCACTTGCTCATACACTCACAGCCAGCCGTATATTCATGAGTAGATTCGCTGTCAAGACTCCTTCAAACCGTTCCTCGAGCCCAGCCAGCTCTCTTACCTGTGTGGACCTCTCGTCCTCGTTTCATAAAGACCACGCCGAATTCAAGGACATGGATGTCTTTGGCACAGTACATGAAATTTCATTGTCCCCCTCCCAAGCGCAACACTCTCTGGACCCTCCCTCTCCACCATCTGGCACTAAGTCCCCTTTAAACTTACCCAAATCCCCCGTGAAATCCAAATCCCCCGTGAAACCCAAATCCCCCACAAGATTCGAGCCATATTTGAAACGCAGGGCGACTGCAGCTGCCACAGCTGACTTTGCTATGAAATCTCTGCGAGGCCAGACTGCCAGAGAGATGAATCCTGGAGCCGCTCTGATGGTGAGTTATTATTTACTGTGCAGTGTTAATTAAATAACCGATATCGCATATACAGGCCAAAGATATCTTTACTCGCGGCCTTGACGATCTACCAGATGAGATGATACGTGAAGGTGCAAGGGCACAGTATGCTACTTGTGAGATATCCAGACACCATCTCGCTTCCTTGACTTGGGAGCTTGAAGCAAGCAGCCGCTGGACCAGCTTCCTGGACCTTGCTAGGAAGTTCTTGAAGGAGAAGCATGCATACTCCGAGAGAGATCTTCTGATCTGGGAACAGACCTGTACCAACCGTGGGGTGCAAGATATTTATGAAGACAGGCCCTACCACGAGTACGCAGCTACTGAAGAGACTCTTACATTATCGGTACTCCAGGAACAGGCTCGTCAGTTGAAACAGTATGTCGAGGAACGAGGCGTAGATGATCTGTCAGATGATGTAGATGATCTGCCACATGACGGAGCTGACTCTGATGGCTGCTGCTATGATTTACCCAAGTGGGGTAGTCCTACCTTGAGCCAGGGTATTACGTTCGAAGATTAAACACTGTGAGCATGAAACGTATCAGCCATCATTTCTCGTACTTATTTTCCGGTGATTGTTGAATTACATATTATTTCTCGCAGCATCATGATGTAGCCATGCTGTATACACTCTTCGTATGCGTTTTCTTGTACGTCTCATACCAAATCAGTATATCGTTATCGTTATCGTGATCATGGCCAGGCCATCAGTTCTAACTTCTCATGTTGACCACGATCAAGCCCTGTTCACGACCATCATGCCACCCAAAGCCACGCAAGCACCCAAGAAACCGAGACGTAAACAACCACAAAACTCGAGGGTAATGTTTCTGGTATCTTTCGGTGTCCGTCTTACTAAATCGTTGATGTAACAGCAAGTGCGGAGGCCTGCCAGAGGTAGCAATGAGAATCCGTGTTTAAATAATGATGAAAGTCAGGTTGGACGCCCTAGTGAACAAACCAACGATCCAACACTTGTGGACGACAGATTATTGTCGACTATGTATGAGGAGGAGATGTACTTGTCTGATGAAGATGGTCCAGAGGTAGAGCACTCGCCATCGCCACACGATCAGCCCCCTCCTTTCGCGCAGCCTACCCACCAGCAGCACCTGCCTGAGCACAGCTCAGCCTACAGGCAGCCTCTGAACCACTCCTACCAGCAGCTGCCAGTCGGGCAGACTCATACCCACTATTCAACGCCCAGCCAGTCATCGAATCCTCTCTTCCAGCATCGACAACCATATCAACAACTCCCAGCGCACCAGCCGCAAGGTGGTAATATGTATCGATGTTTAATCGACGCGCCACCTCCTCCCACTGTGCGTGGTGCAGAGCGTCTCAGTAGCCGCCTGTGTGATGATCAACAGCCCATGGAGTACCAGCAGCCGCCAGTCAGACAGGCTCATCCCCACTATTCAATGCTCGGGCAGTCATCAAACCCTCACCTCCAGCATCAACAACCATACCAACAACTCCCAGTGCACCAACCGCAAGTAGGCAATGTCATGGGTATCTAGCACCCACCGTGGGTTGTGGGTGTGGGTACCCAGGGGTATGGGTGGGGGTAGGCACTTAGGATACCCACACCCCTACCCACACCCACACGGTGGGTATGTATGTAAAAAACTTACTGATGTTGGGTTTTTATTTAGCTTATATCTCTCTCAAATGACTGCCAATTAACAAGGTGAGACTAGCAGTATATTTGTCTCCAGTACTACTACAACATTCATTAAGATATCTAAGTGTGTAGTACCAATCATTCATGTCATACCCATGGGTATACCCTCTATGGGTGTGGGTATGGGTAGCCATCCCTGGTACCCATGAATATACCCACACCCACCAGGTGGGTGTGGGTTTTTGGTGGGTGTGGGTGGGGGTATCACCACAGATACCCATGGGTATACCCATGTCATTCCCTAACCGCAAGGTGGTCACATGTTTCAATGTTCAATTGACGCGCCACCTCCTCCCACTGTGCGTGGTGCAGAGCGTCTCAGTGGCCGCCTGCGTGATGAGCAGACACGACCTATGCGCACGTCACCGTATCCCCTCCCAGGATTACGCAAAGTGTCAGTTTTTGGCCCCCGCCGTATTGACGAAGGTTACCGTGGCCAGTGGCAGAACACTGGCGTTATCTATGTGAGTTGAGGTACATCTCCACCCCTGCCACTGATCTTACCTCGAACTAGGCTGGAGCAGATAAGAACGTTGCACCGAAACGCCCAACTGCCAGAGATCTTCCGCCCATACTGTTGCCTCCATTGGATATCACCGTCCCTGGTCCACAGCAGCCCACCCCAGCTCACCCTCATAATGACAGCGGTTCTTCCGGTCCACAGCAGCCCACCCTACCACACTCCCACCCAATCCAGTCTAGCAATGCAACACACTCTCATAACGATACCGGATCTTTGGACGCTGTTCCCCCCCAGCAGCAAGAGCCTATGCCCGTGCCTGCCGACCTGGTCAATGAGATCAGCAATAGCGCGAGGTCAAAAATGCGACGTTCAGTACTTTCAGACAATGGCATGCCCACGAACGAGGAGAATATTGCAATGGCGCGCGCTGCGCTATCAAACGCTATTGCAACTCACGCAACTATTCCCCCTGGCCGATACTACCTCCCAGACGAGGATAAATTCATTACCTCGCTCACCAAAATCACGAACACCCTGCGAAATGTATTCAAAAATACTGCACGCACTGTCGTACTGTCTGCCTATGACCTCGAGCTTGACATATGGGATACATCTTGCGAAATCACACACAAGCGAAACATCGTGCCTATGCTCACCACACATTTACAGTGTTTATTCAAAATGCAAGAAATGGTGCGTCCTTTGTACAGATGCCTATTCATAGCAGTGTGTAGTATTGACAAGTAGCCAGACGATTGGTGGTGTTTTGAAAAATGTTCCAGTGCTCGAACACACTGGACTCATCCGCGTTGTCATGGATATTCTTTGGGTCAATGGCTTTTACAAAGACCTTGATCTCCAAGATCTTCAATCTCTTGATGGCGCCATTGCCCTCGCAGGTGCCGCAATTTGTTCGGCCATTCAAGAATACGAGATGGGGGTTTGGAAACGCATTGATTTTTCTACAGCGAAGTCAAAGTCGACATATACATCTATTAAGACGTATATGACAGAGACGATTTACACATGCGTTGAGCTTACAGAGCGTTTCCACTGGATCAAGGTGAATATGAAAAACCGTGGAGTATCGAGGACGGGCATTGTACTGTAGTGTATCATGTATCGTGCATTGTGTATCGTGCATCATGTATCGTGCATTGTGTATTGTGTATTGTGTATCATAGTGTATTGTACTATCGGGGCTTGATGATAATGCGATTGATAGGCTGATCTTCAAATCTTTGTCGATTATCATAATCAGTGCGCTGATCTGTGCATATTCAAAATCTCCGTAGTTTTACCTCATTGCCACTAAGATTCCACCAATCGGCAAGCTGCATCACTGAGTCGTAAACGTTCGTAACACATCAAACTTCTTCCACTACTAAGCGAGAACTTGGGTGTTTTACAGATGTAGAAATGAACGCTTAACTTACACGCGTTACAGACACTTACGAACGCTTACGACTTCACTGGTAGCGCACCTGAAGATAACATAGGCTTGATTTGATCTATAGACAACATGGTGCAGTTGAGCCGCAACGAAACAACTAGTGCAAGTCTGAGCGCAATGCATGATATGATACCTGCAGTGGTCACAAAGTGTGATTGTACTAACTTATGTAACAAAAAAGGACGTTACGGACGCTTGACCTACTTGGTCACATTTGCTAATTCGGGCCTAGTACTAGTAGGCTCGAGAACTGACTGGGGACCTGATATCAATCTCGGTTTTAGATCCATGATACACGAGAATCAAAGTAGAGGCGCAATTATACAACCAAAACATTCACTTTGTAGGCACACTCACACCTACTAGTACTCAACATTTGACTGCTCTCCATGAACCTTGAAAATAGCTGTCAAACCGATATGCATTGATGATCGGCCACCAAGTGGGACCATTTAAGACTATGGCCATATTGGTAGAGAATGAGGGTGGGTGAGAGGCGAAATGGATGGACGTATGAAAATGGCATTAGTGCTAGTCATACCACCATCTGGTGCGCAGATCAGTGAAATGAGATCAGGATATTCGATGATGACGGTTCCTCCTTTGGTTGGTCGAAGTAGATATTTCTGCATGAGGAAAGATGAAAAGTCAATCCAGGGGATCATAGTAGATGTTGGTCGTAAAACATCAGTGAAACACGCGAACTCCACAAAAGATCGAACAACATCAAGAACTGTTCGTGATCTTGTCACCTTGTTTCCGATGCCATTCTGGAAATGTTTTTGCTACACGTGCATCAGGTCATCAATGCAACCAAGTATTACTTCATCTGTTTGATACATACTGATCACGGTGCGACCATCATAAAGCCTGTCATCTCATCTGTCTTCGTCTCTCTAGCACGGACTTCTGTATGGGTTTGCTTAGCGAAAAACAATCGAAAAAGGATGGGACACTCACCGTAAATGTAGATGTACTGTGAACAAAAGTCGAGCAGCTGTACGATTTCATCAGGTGGCCTTGGTTAGGCTTTGAAAGAGTGGGATGCCATGGCTAAGGACTAAGGACTTACTTCGATTTGGATGTTGGCGTACCCGGGTGTGGACCGGCGTGTGAATAACATTCAATATCGCACTAGTCGTCAGCTGGTTTATGATGATAAGCGGGCATGGGCATTTGGGAACATGAATAATATATGAGATGAGCAGCCTCAGCGCTTGAACTAGACACTCTAGACTCCACTGTGGGCACAATGAATCACAAGTGTTTGCATTCGCGCACCAAACATAATACAACAGTCTCCAAGCTTGCTTTAATCAAAGCCCGTGGCGCTACCTTCGGCGTTTGAGGAATCAAAAAATGAACCAACTACTGTTGATGCTTACAGCTCTGCAAGCAACAGGCTGAAAAGTCGTTCCGGAACTCACACCTATCCCACTCTCTCTTGTCGCCCCACTCGCATCGGTCATGGAAGACGAGAATGGACCTATGCGTCAAGTTCGTCGGACAAGCACTATACCATCGAAACTACAAGGAATGACGATCGTATTAGCTCGGTTACGCCCTGGCCATGCCTGACAGATCATCCAGACTTAACCCAACAGCAGCGGGAATGGCATGGAACCCTCACGATAATCAGCCATAACGATACGTTCGTCCTACATGGGCTACTGCCGGACATCTCGATCCAGGTCTCGTAAAACAGTGCAGAAACTACGAGTGTGATGTAGATGGGTGCATGAATGGGGTCAAGGAAGCTTGATGAGGGGGGCGACATGTAGCCTGCGAAACTAGATACGGCACACATCTGAGGGTGTCAAAATGTTCAAACACAACTGACACAGGGATCAGTGGACCGTGGTGAGGTGTGACGTTGCTGTCCTTAGTCAACTATGAATTGCGGGTCTGAGCTGGTGCGTATATTGATCCACCTAGCTCTTAATTTTCATGCGTCGGTGCGGTTCTGGCAGATAGAACAGTAAGGTGAGAGGTGTGCTGTAAACGACTTAGGTCACAGAATCCAAGAGGTCGAACCGAGTATGTGCACATAAATCATTCATCATGATCGATGATAGCCTGGCACGACCTGGCAAGTGAAACATAGTCATATACAACAAATTAAATGCAAATAATACTTAGAAGCAGTACGTTTCCCCTCCACCGACTCCGCCATGGTTGAAATGTTGATGGGTAATCCTGATTTTTCAGTATGCCGATTTGCAGGTATCGTTATCGTCCTGGTGTGTGATTTGCGTTATGTGCACCTCCACTGGGGTACGCTTGACATCATATCGCTGCTGGGTTTCTCGTGCCATCTCGTTGGCTATCCTGACAGTCGAGAGGTAACTATGACTTGAAGTTGTTTTCCTCATTGCTATTCGGATAATAATCATGTAGAAGGTAATAGAGATGATCGGCGTAATCTAGGGAGCCAAAGCTTAGTTATTTTTGATAAAAGAAAGTTGACAGTGGAAATTACCATGTCTAGTATGACATATTGTCCGTTGTTCGCTTTGACGAAACATACCAATGCCGACAGGAGCGTCACAGAGTACAGAATAGCGGAATCTGCAAGCACGCGCACTATTGGCATCATAGAGCTCTTCGTAGGGCAAAGTGCGGCGACATCGCGTTCCATCCTCCAGATCCGATACGCGAGAGATCCTGAACAAATTGGTCTCGGTCCTCGATTACTCAGGTAAAAGGTATGCTCACCTGAAGCCGATAAATTACTTCCAAGTGTCATGGCATAGAAAACCACGATCCATTGACCGGTTGATTTGGCGAAGATGTCTCCAGCATCGCTAGTTGCTTTTGAAAAACTGTAGATTGCACCAAAGCCGCATACTTGGATGGAACATCAGAGGGACGACTTCCTGAGCATGATTGCGACCTAACCTGCCATACCGAACCACAACAAACTCGGTACAATAATAATCCACGCAGATTGCCAGACGACGTAACAGCGATAAATCTTTGGCCGGAAAAGACATTTCATAAGCAAGAGGGTTGCAATCTGGCAGATAAAAATTGAACCCACCACGATCCCATCACCAAGCATTGTCTGCGAGGTATATAGTATATTCTTGACCATAAATGTGATTTGGGCAACGTCTGCAAAGAATGCCTCTGGTCCCTCTGGGAATGTATTACGATAGGTAACCAGTCCCTGTTCAACACGAATGAAGTCTACTATCATGTGCTTGTGAGGCTTGAGTAGTGGATGACGCCAGATGCAAAAGAGGAAAACTTACTGCAGTACTAAGGATCAGCAGCATGCATGCCACCACAACATTTGGGCGATGGATCTCGTTCATACGACGTTTGCAGGTCAATGCCCACATGGTACCAATAAACATGAGGACTGAAAAGCCTGAATAACCCAAGCCTAGTGGGGCATGGGACGGACAAATCCATTGTGATACGTACCATATAAGATTCCTTCCATCGCGGTTGAAAATATAGCAGCAGTATCCAGTGGCATGCCTCTCGAAGCCATAGCAAGTGGAGCCTTGGGGGTGTATTGAGGATTAGGATGCGGATATCTTGTCTAGTCTCATGTCAGCTCAGGCTCTTTAAATGCCAACATGTTATCTGCCGATTACATGCCACGATGAATTGCACCAGTACCTTTTCACCACAGTAAATCCGATTGGCTTGGACTTGAAACATCGCAACCATGATGCCAACCATCATAGTACCAAACATTTCATAGCCTCGGTCCAATTTCATTGCGGAAGTAGTGAGGCTCTTGGCATCTGCGAGTTCATAATTATATAGCATTCGTACCAGTAGTATGCGCAACGTACGCACCCACTGAAGCCTGAGGACTCGGGATGATGTTATATTTGAAACTGCGGGGATCAGTCATGTATACCATTGGATGCTGTAACCGCAATAGGCGGAGGTGTGCACAAAAGCGCTCAAGGCATGCGTTTGATCCCATAGACGCAGTTTGGAGAGATCTCAATTGCTATGTGCCACACACCCGATCTCCCCGTTAACCAGTAGACGGAGAGAGATCCTGTCACTGTGTTCCCTTCTAATGTTGCTAAAATCGAGTGCCACAATCCGACTGGTCTCCCCGCGCTTTTATGCAGTAGTCACCCCTACGATAGCAAATAGAGAGTGATATATATCATACTCAAATCTGTAGAGAAAGTAGCTGGGGTGACATTAGCTCAGTACATAGTTTCATTTCTCACAACTTCGCAGGATAACGTCGATTTCAAATGGCGTTACATTGGAAACGACACTATCACTATCTTGCATGTTGATCGGCAACTCAGGTCGTTGGCCAATGCCGATTCCCGAATGACCAGGAGAGGTCGATGTGTAATGGATTTTCTGCGAGATGCCTACTGGGGCATACCTATCAAAAACAAATGAACCTCATTGAAAGTGGCCAATAAAAAACTGTCGGTGTTACTTACCGCCTACCAAAACCAAAAGTCAAGGACTTCATGTCGTCCTTAGATGACCTTCTGAATTGGGCCAGCGCAATTTGTCCCGGTCTGGAAAGGCGATAGCGCCACGATATATTGCCTTTGAAATTGACGGATTCAGTTAATGAAGCTATGCAGTGTTAGCACCAATGATACCCATAGACCGCTGCACCCTCAGGAATCCACATACTATGATAAGAACGTGGGTCACTGGTGACAGTTTACGGATCCAAGTCTGTGTATGGAGGCAACCATAACGCGCTACACCTAGCGCTCATGGCAGCCTGTCATCCGATGGCTATGTCCTATTAGATAGGTCAGCCGGTGGATGTCCGGCATACACTAGGAACCCCACATTAATAACCTGTTGCTGTACAAGAATAATCCATACCATGGCCGTGTACATGTCCCACAATGACACCCTCGTTTTTAGTGACCATCAAAGTGGGGCACATGAACCTCAGCTACCGCATCGTCCTTGCTCCCTTTCCCACTTTCGTGCCTATATCAGTCGCGCCCTCGGATCCCCACGCAGCCGCTTATCTCCTTCACAGAACAATCAGTGTCTTGAAACCACCCTCGTCACTGAACAGGTAGAATTGTGGAGCGTGTCACTGATGCCATGCATTATGGGGATAGTAGCTTCATTTATGCTAGCTGTGGGCACTTGCTTGTAAGTCGTGGATACAGCCCAGTACTTTCTGAGGGTCTGCATTGGTTTGAGGCCGTGGTATCCATTTCAAAGACGAATGAACTTTGAACAACCTAAAGAAATTGATTTATTGCAGCAAGAGGCGTGCGATCGGGAAACTTCCAACATGCCAAAAGTTGGAATACCCTCCCTGGTGTGACAGCGCGCAGTCAATTTGTGAGAATTGTAAAAGAACGACATGAAAAGCGAGCAAAGTGCAACGTTGTATAAGAATGACATCTGGATTATATCAAGTTCTGTTCCGGAATTTGACAGTCACGTGTCCCGGACAGTGTAGAGTGATACAACGGTGTAAGTCTCACAAGAGATCCTTACCCTTCTGCGGAAGAACGGAGTCGACGGTGCTGTTGTGGAATGGCGCGAGGCGGCCCCGATGAGGCTCTTGTGATTAAAAAGTACCAACATTTCTATAGTAGCAAATCTTGTCCATGAGCTTTGGTAGCTTCACGTAGTAGACGGGTATTCCTTCATCGTAATTCTTGTTCCACACCATTGACCAATGCCTTGGAATCATTTCCCCTCCGGCGTCTCCCACAAACTCCATTGATCAGATTCGTCCGCAGGCGCATGGTCTACGACCATCGAGCGCTCGACGCGTACACGTATATCGAGCTCCATGTCATTGGTATTCCCATTGCGAGGCGATGTGGGCGCGAACTCTGCATCTTTGGAGGTTTTTTTCGACTGGCTCTTAGATTCGAACTGGGAGCGGAGACCAGACAACACTTTTTTCCGTGCACTGAGCGTGGGACGCGCGATGATCACTCTTTCCGAATGTTGGGGGTCTGACTCTGTCATTTCTTCAGGACGCGAGGTGAGCGGAGCAGGAGTGGCGGAATAGACATGGCGAGAGTCAGCGGAATAGCAGTCAAACTCTGGAGTGATGTGTACCTTGTACATGGATGAGGATACGTTGGCTCATGATCCACGTCACAGCATAGCCCATCGATGCCCTAATGATGTTATTTAAACAGTCTGAATCTCAGATGCATGCGAAAAGAGTGCGACACTTACCCTGCCGACTAACAATAGGAGCAGGCCAACATAATTGTTGAGTTTCCACGGTGCAGCAGTGATTGAGCCTACGTACCTGAATCGAGACATCGGTCTTATGATAAAGGATGAGGTTCAGTACGTTCGACGCTGAGGGAATATTAAGAGCGTGATTATCACAAGGAGGACGTCACTTGCCAGTTAACATGACGAAATATCCAATGCCGTCATATATCAGGCTAAGTACAATGAGGGATGCGCATCATCTATGCCAGGGATTAATAACTTACACCCGTATCAGTCGTTCTACTCTAGCAACAATGGTTTAGCGACCGTAAAGAAAGAGAGAAAAGGCGCACCTGCTGCTCAATGGATTATAACGTAGAAGGCTCTTGGTAGAAATAGTCACTACCACAATGTCATACAACATAGCGGCGAGGTAGAAGAACCAAGTTGACAATGTTTTGGCAGCATCTGCTGAGGTGCAGCTATAGTTGATGGAGATATCAACCGAATGCCTCATACGGGTGACAAAAGAACCACATACTTTCCCTAAAAAGAAACGCTATTTGTGTGAGATCTTGTTATGAGGAACATTAACGTACATTAATAACCACAGCTGTTAATTTTGATGGTCAATGCGAGCCCAGGATTGAAATATAGGCCAGAACTCACGGGCCCGTCCAAAGATATCGGTGAACCACTCGACCTAAAACGTATAAGCGAGAAACGTCATGACTGTGTTTGAAGAGCCTACCACAACTATCAAGAAGTATATCAGCAATAGCGAAATTCCAATACCCCTATCTCTCCTTGAAACATTGAATGTCCTATACAGTATTTCAGTCTGTGCAGCTCATGTATGTCCCACAAAAACACTGCAGGACATACCTGACACCTAGGATGACCTGTGATATCATCATTTGTATGACTGCGGTATGATCAATTAGGCCCTGGTGGGTAGACGCCAACAGAGCAAACCTTTGAAAATAGGCGGAACAAGATGATATTGTTGACACGCTTGTTGGGTAAAGTTGGTGGAGAAGTATCCGTAATTGCTGACTACTACGGCCACGACACTGACATAGCTGCATTAAATATGAGCGAAAAAAACCACATGTGAGAGAATCAGAGCAAAAAATACCGTATGAGAATGAATAAGACGCAGGATAGACTGTTGGGAATCAAGCTCATCAACGACTGTATACGAATGCTCGCCTATACATGCCTCATATGAAAAATAGACGATTGGCTTTGGTAAAGGCGCCATTCTGCAGGGAGTGTGAGGATATAACTGGACGTAATCAGTTAGAATACCGCGACAACCACGGGAACGCAACAGGGAAAAGAAAGGCTTACTCGTAAAATGCTATGGAGATAGATGCTATTCGCATATACTTCTCCGATGTTGTACTGTCTATAACCAAATCCCGTTCCATGGTATATATGTAAAGTCCGTGTTGATTCTGGTATGATGGCTCTACGTCAGACAGATCGTCCTTAATTAGGGAGGCAGGGAATGGGGTATATTCTTGATGTAGCAGGGCTCCGTGCTTATGGCAAAGGCTTCTGAAAACGGGGCTTTGTGATCCGGACGCTTCGCTTTTAATAAGAGGAAGCAAGACAGAAAGAGGTGGATCGGAGGATCACGGACTCGGAGGGCATCATTTTTCTAACAAAACGACGCTTTGAAATTGAAAATTGATTGGACATGTTCGAATGTGGATTTCTGGACTTGTCCGAGGGTCGGAAATATTCAGGCCCAGTAAAACTTTCGTGCAAGCCAGCAAGCTTGGCATGCATGTTTTACTTTAATCCACTTTGCTGATGTAAGCAGGGGTTTATGGAATTCATTTATCCAACTTCCCCGAGGAACATTCAGCATCAGTTAGTAACGAGATGATACTGTCCGCTTCCTTAGGCGCGGGTGGTGAGATATGGGGATCGGCGAATTCCCAGTGATCAAACTCTGCGGTCCTGCAGAGTGAGACGATATCCCGTCCCATGACACTGTCTCGATGTGATCATCCCTGCCCCTGTCATACGTAAAAAGATCGCATGCGAACCGGCCTTCAGATGATTCATGCTCTCGTGGACACTAGATAATTGACTTCAGTAACTGGATTGGGAGAGCGCTTGTCGACATCTGCATTACCTTCCGCAACGAAATCTAAGCCAGCGATGGGTGTAGATAAGAGATGTGATATGCACACACGAAAATTTCCGTTTCTTGACAGCGACAGCACGCCTATGTTGTTGAACCACGTGGATAGTTCAGTCGAGTAACAGATATACGGGAGATTTTGATTATTGAGGACGAAAGACGCCACCGTCATTTGCAACAAAGAGATGGTGGGAAAAACAAAAACAAAAAGACAAAGTGGGTTCCACGGTAGTTAGATGTAGGAGTGATTGTCGACTTACTCGGGACGCTGAAGGTGCAATCGATGCAAGAAGTGGGTCAATTAACATATGCGAGCTTGATTGATTTGCACAACTCACTTTGGCACTTGGTATCGTTTCGTCGAGCATATCATACCAGTGTGCTTTCGCAGGCTGCTTAATGAAGACCGGGAAATTTTGTGAAGCATCTGCTTAGGCAAAATGTTCTTCCATTAGACAGAAGGGGGCGTAAGTTCATAGTAAGAATGGAGATGGCTCAAAATTTGCCCTGTTCAACGATTTAGTCAGATCTCTACCCGGTTGGCTCGATAAAAGTTCGATCTGCGACAAGGACATGCCACTGCGGAATTTATACGTGGGTACTCTGCTACTGACTAGTAAAAGAGGGATCAAATAATTTCTCAGATACACCACGCACCTTCATGGCGTCGTATTCGCCTCTCCAAATGCATGATCTAGATCATCAACCTGAAGACACTGAAGGTGATATTCTCCTCCCCGACAAACACACCCCTGAGCATAGCACTGCGGACCCCTCATCTAAACGGCCTGCTTGGGCAGCGCTAGTGCTACAGGTCATCGCAGTTATTTGCGCGTGCGCATTGTATAACGTTGCCTCTGCCTCTGTTTCTGGGCAGCACAATGTCCAAAAATTGCGTCAGCCGAACCAGTTTCCAGGCATAGAATTGGTGGGCAGCCCTCAACAAAAGCAAAGGGGTACGTGAGTTCAGTGATTGTGCACATTATGATTATGTCCTGAACAAACCTGTGTGGCTAGCACCAAAGTTGTACTTTCCAAGCGCCATAGTACGGGTGAACAAAGCATTACCTGACCAAGTGTATAATTCAGGCTCGCACGTCATACTGAGCGACAGCGTAAGTGAAACTCCGTGCCCTGAAGCGACTTAGTTATTGATATTGTTCCAGGACTCGATGTTCTTTCAGTGGCACCTCGGCCAGTCCAAATTCACCTCTTGCTATATCGACAGCATCGTTCCCACTGTTGAAGATGGTCTTGCAGCCAACAAGTCCTATACTTCATCTGGGTCAATCACCGAAATCCAAATTTGGAATGTTACCACTCCTGTCGAGGGCATGACGAACCTCAGCTGGAAGACACGACCCCAACGAATTGCACTAATGGGCACTGTCGCGTTCCTTCCTGAGAAAGACAAGATTGAGCAGCTAGGACTCGAAGATGGCTGGCAATCACAGCTGGCAACGCGGTTCTCGTGTGGTAAGGAAGCGGCTGTTATTACCGTCGAGGTTGCATGCAATAGCTGTAGACTTGAATTCGAGCAAATATTCTCGGTTCCTCCGTTGGGTGAGTACGGCGGTGTCACGGGTTTGAATTGGCAGACTGATCTCATGATGTATCATAGCTTTCGACCTGATGGAAATAGGATAAGTATCATTCAGCAACGGAAAGGAATGAATTTCAAACTCCGTCGGCACTTTTCAACATGGTTTCTATTTCCTATGTATATCATTTAGCCCCGAACGAGAGAGGCGTCTGTAAGATAATGGCGGAGCCTGGCGAGCAAAACGTCGACAAACTCGTTCGCCAAATTGCTAGTTGTGAAAACCCTTCCTATGTTGCAACATGTCTACAAGCTTGTACAAAGTGTTAATCATGTATCGTATGAGGGGCATAAAAACGGAAAAGTACAACGATGAATACAACAGTTTCTGAACACTTTTGCGCTTCTCATTATTGAGTCTACGTACTCTCAGCAACCTTCTTCTTGATAACATCAACCACACCAGGTTCAGCAACAGTGCTGAGATCACCGAGTTGATCGCCTTCACCAGCAACGATCTTGCGCATAATGCGACGCATGATCTGCACCAACATGAATCATTATATGATCGCTTAGGAAGAAACAGGTCTGGACTTGCCTTTCCGGAGCGGGTCTTGGGCAGATCACTGACGATGAAGATCTTTTTAGGTGCCGCGAAGGGGCCAATCACCTTCCTAACTTGGAGTACGAGCTCCTTAGCAAGGGAAGCCTCGTCATTGCGGTCGTATGTGAATTCCCTAATGTATCTGAAGTCAATCGACATTCAACAAAAGGGCAAAAGACTAACGGTTTAAGTGTGACGAAGGCAAATACGGCCTGTCCCGTCAACTCATCAGCAGTACCAATGACTGCAGTCTCGGCGACACCCTTGTGCATGATCAAGGCGGACTCGATTTCAGCAGTCGACAAACGGTGTCCAGAGACATTGATAACATCTACAGAATGGTCATTACAGGCGGGACATCTTCCAAGGGACGTCCTCACCATCAATACGGCCCTTGATCCAAATGTAACCATGTTCATCGCGTGCGGCGCCGTCTCCTGTGTAGAAAGCTCCACCGTATGGCTTCATGTACGTCTCCAGGTAACGGTTGTGGTCGTTGTATACGGTACGGGCAATTGAAGGCCAAGGTTGCTTGATGACAAGAACTCCCTCAACATTGTTGCCCTCTAATTCCTGTGAAACTTTGTTAGTATCATAATCGAACAGAGTGCATTGATTTGAGTACCTTTCCACTGACAGGGTCCAGAATAGCGGGCTCGATACCGAAGAAAGGAACGGTTGCAGAACCAGGCTTAGTCTCAATCGCACCAGGGAATGGAGTAACCACGATCGATCCAGTTTCAGTTTGCCTTGAAGAGGATACTGAGCACGGCCACAAATACTTCGTGAATTCACTTACCAGAACGTATCAACGATAGCGCACTGCTTCTTGCCAACATGTTCGTTGTACCAGTTCCAGGCTTCGGGGTTAATAGGCTCACCGACAGAGCCAAGGACACGTAAGCTACTGAGATCATGGCCCTCCACGTGTTGAGCGCCGAGTCTACGAAGGAGACGAATGGCAGTAGGAGCAGAATAGAACTGGGTAAGCTGATGCTTCTGGACGGTCTGCCAGTAGCGGGATGGCGAGGGGTAAACTGGAGTTGATTCAAAGACGGTAGTGCTGACTCCGTTTGCGAGTGGTCCATAAACGATGTAGGTATGTCCAGTAATCCAACCGATATCAGCCATGCAGGCGAACTTGTCGTCTGGGTGGACATCGAAAACGTATTTAACAGTAAGGGCGGCGCAAAGGAGGTATCCGCCGGTGGTGTGAACGACACCCTTTGGTTTCCCTGTAGATCCAGAAGTCTAAACATAGTTAAAAATCAAGAATAGGTAAAAACACATGGAAAGGAAGCCACTGACGTAAAGAATGAAGAGCGGATCTTCTGAGGACATGATCTCGGGTGGGCAGTAATTAGGGACTTTGGCAGTCTCCTCGTGCCACCACATGTCCCTGCCATCGACCCATGGCACCTGGCCACCGGTGCGTCTGAGAACAAGGACATGTTCAACGACAGGGCATTCCTTGAGAGCAGCGTCTACAATCGCTTTGGTTGCAATTGACTTGCCACCACGCCTGCCTTCATCGCTGGTAAGGACAACGCGCGACTTGCAGTCTTGAACACGATCACGGAGAGACTCTGCGCTAAAGCCAGCAAAGACTACAGAGTGAATAGCGCCAATCCGCGCGCAAGCGAGGAAAGCAGCAACCGATTGCCAAGTCATTGGCAGATATACAGAAACGGTATCGCCCTTCTTGACACCAAGACCCTTTAGGACGTTTGCAATAGAGCAGACCTCGCGGAGCAGCTCCGCATAAGTGACAAGGCAGCCTTCATCGGGTTCGTCGGCCTCGTAGATGATGGCGGTCTGATAGATAGTATAAGATCATGAAACTTGAACAAGAAAGGCGGTATTTACTTTGTTTGGATGTTTAAACGCCCAGCGATCGACACAATTGTAAGATGCATTAAGCCCGCCTTCTGGGAACCAGACGATATCACCGGTTTCAAAACTACCAGCCCGCACAGTATGGAACGGACGGTCCCAGTGTAACATGGTATGGGCCATCTAATGCGTCCATCAATAAGCACGATATAAAAAGAAGTCAATACGCAAACTAGCCTTTCTCCACCAAGCATCAGATTCGTGGCCGAGGGTTTCCGCATGAGAGGACCTATATGCTGCAAGATCAGGACCGACATGAGGAACTTTCAAGCCATTCTTTAGGCGGGGAGCGACGGGATGGATTGGAACAGCGTCTTCAGACATGATGATGGGCGGGAGTTGATGATAGATTGATCACAAGCCCCTTGCTTATAACATACGGGCATCCGACCCCCCACAAATCGTTATTTCGGTTCCTGCACAGCCACGACCCTTTTCGGCGTTAAAAGACATACCACTAGTCAAAATCAAGTTTAATACCATCTGTTTGATCATCGAGCCAAGTTCAACTGACTTTTCGACTGGAAAGAAAGTAGTGCTTCTTCGGGCCTCTTCTCCATTCTTTCTCCCTCTTATGATTGGAGTTCATCATCCCTGTGACCCGTTTTAACTCCTGGGTCCGCACTGGGTCCGCACCTATACCATGAATTTGTAGAATGAAACTCAACCATCATGGCACCATACGGTAAAAATTACACATAACTCAGTAAGCCGATTGAGAAACGACAAACTTGCTGACCGTCAGTTAACAGATGACGCACGAGCGATATATCGAAGGATTAAGTCAAGTTGCACGATTATGCTAAATCATTTACAGTGGCACCCGATGGCTCCGCATGCGAACAACGAGTGTCTGACATTTAATTTGAACATGATTCTGCCTAACGGTTGCCGATCCAAGGTATTCATCAAATGCCGGTGTTGTCTCGAGCTTGGATCTATCACAATCACTAGGACTCGAGGAAATCTTGGAGGCTTTAGATCGGACTATGTTTCTGCCACCCTGCGGCAGTTACATCCGAGTCAGCGACTGATATATCAAGCGTTCGATCTCTATATTGGTGTGCTTATCTTACAGGATTTGCCTGCCGCCCACTGTGACTGTGACTTAAAGTTGACATCGCTATATAGCACCGATACTTACCGGTACTTACCCCTTGATACCCTTGTGTTTCAGATTACTTACTCCATTGTTCATAATCGGCTTGTCGTACGTATTTTCTTGGCCTTCAGTTGCGCGCGTGCTGCTGTCGAAAGCGTTTCGTAATAACTTTAACTTTGTATATGTTATCATGATCAGCTTTGACCCGGACGGCGTCAGTGTTTGTGCGCGGTCCATCATGGATTGTGGACGTTGATGCCGAGCGGCTCGCTCTTAATAGGTCGGGTGATCGATAGTCCTCGTAATTTCTGCATCATCTCCACTATCCCTCAGCCGACTTGAGTTGATGGCTTGGAAGTGCTTGGAGTGGTTCTATGGAGTAAGCGCATGGATCTCTTGGCAACATTGTAAGGCGCAAAGCCGTCGACCTTTGTACACTGGCGACCACTGATATTTTGGCCTACAACCTACTAGTCTTTTGATAGGATGTCTCAGGGCAGTGTGGAAGGCAGACCCTTGCATATTTCGGACGACGGGTCGAAACGAACCACACGGATCTCCGCCGCAGGTTCCCCACTGATATGTCCTACCCCAGTGCCCCATATTCAACCCCGGAATAATATCCTGCTAATGCCGATGTGAAATTGCATAGTACATCTGGACAGCACCGTGGTCAAACCGCATTCGTGCCATGTTTTATGTTTTGAAAAACTGGGACAACCGGAAAGCATTTTTTGGGGCTCAACAGATCATATTGGCACAACAAACACATAGCACGATTTACAAAGCTGGTTGCCGAAATTTGAGGATCAGCTATGCATTACTTCAACGCGCTCTCGAACCAGTGCCGGTGCCGATGATAATACCATTCTAGTTATGTGCACCACAAGTTCACGAATTGCATGCTTCGATTGAATATGGGCCGGCAGACTCTGCTACAGTAAACGTCGCAGATCTGGTCAATTGCCAATTTGCATTGTTAATCCCACAAATCGACCCACAGATAGATGAATGTGTAATTCAGCCCGCAATGTCCAGATTCGCATCATTCTGCAGGGTATGGTTGAAGAATATTCGATCGTTTTGAGAAATGGGTCAACGTACGGACGATAAAAGTAAAAGTCGATATGTTTGGTTGGATCCTAGATTTGCGACATGTCTTAGTAGAGTCAACTGAGGACTACAGTCAATATCTGAAGTACTCGTCGGTCAGAAGACAACGCACCCTCGCACAATATTTAGCAAGTAGGCTGTAGTTGTTAACCTGGGCGCTATTCTCATATACCGTTTGGTTGCGCCCAATGGCCCTATCCTCGACCTTTGCGAGGTTCGTGATCACGAGCGCATTTGGATTTGTCTTGGAAGTTTTGGTTAAATCCCAAATGAGGAAGATGCTCGTTAGATAACTGAATCGATTATTGCTCCCTCAGCTCCGCCACGACCGCAAGTAATTGTATTTTCAGTCTTGCGTCCTAAGGCACATTACTCGCACAAACCATGGGGACTATTCATACCAATGAGCATAATGTGAACGGTCATTGCAAGGCGGAGCCAAAAATAGTTGATGTGATATACGGATGGTCTTTTATCAACTTTGCACGATCGGTGTCATTTCCGGTTTGCTTACACTGTAAAGTCCATGATAACGCTTGCCTTGTATTCGAGAGTAAGTACATTTTCGTGACAACAGAAACCCACGATAAACATTCACCTTCGGATATTCCGTCGCCACTTGCCCCCAATCAAGGGACGGATGAGCATCGTTGGAAATGAAGTCTCGTTTTGTGCAGCAGGTGAATTGTGCAACGGAGATGACACGCATCTATAGTATTTCCACGGTCGCGACATCTATGTGTCAACGGAAGTTATATCTCTGGCTTGTGCAATGATGTCATGGTCCAACGCGATCCTCTTGTAAATATTCTCCGACACGCTGCAGCGCCAGCAAGATGAACCTAAAGGCTGTCCAAGACGAGCGACCGCAATGCTCGTGAGTGAGGCTCTTTTCTTTTTCTACAGGCCCCGAACCTTGTCAGAGTGTCCATCTGGGAGTCGTCCATCGGGCATTCGGGCTCGGTCTATCATCTGCAAGGTCAGGCACCTCGAGGAAGACACCGATCACATGGATGAACAAACGAGAACTTTGTTGAATGTGCTTTAAAATTGCGCGCAAAAACTGAATAAGGACCTCTTGATTGGTGACAAGCAAGTAGTGAAGTCCGTCTGTTTTGATTTGATACGTGATGGACCCTAGGCTAGACCATGCCTCCATCCGGCTTCTGTGACACGGAATGAAATGCAGGTATGCAGTCCGCGAAACCAAGAGTTCTCAGCTGTTTAAGCTGGTGATAAAATTTCAATGCCAGACTTGCAGGCACAGTGTGTCGCAGGCTGCAGCGTAGACCTGTGCGCGAATATGATCTTTAGACAGGGTGTGTGGCGATCTCCTGTTGGAGCCGCTTGAGCATGTTCTGCCTCGTCTTGCTGTAGATTACAGGTAGGGGGCATTGTCGAGCTCAATCCAAACTGTCCTTCGAATAGCCTAGCAGCGTCGGAAGGATAAGGATGCCGACAATACTAATAGAGTAAACACCGTTCGGACTTCCAAATCAGTCGGGGTTCGTAACCTGGATCACGATAGTAATAAGGTACGACTAAGTCATTCATCATCCAGCGACACGCCGGGACCCAGCGCCAAGGTCACAGCTCAGTGCTTGATTAACGTCAACTCTTCATAATAATCGATATATATATACTGTGAGTTGCACGTTTCATCACATAGCTCGGTCTTTGAACGCTGTGTTTGGAAGATTCTCCGACTCGATACACGGCATTAATGGCGCGTCTGACGGAAGAAGACTCTGTCAAGTGCGAAGTTCGCGCACTTGCTATTTGGATCTAGAGCTTATATATTGGCATCACAACTTATCATAAACATCCACCCAGTCTACGAGCCAGTCCATGCACGTACTATATACCTTACATGTGGTTTTGTCGCACACTGCGGCACAACAGACGGTCAAGGTATGAGCGCTTGACGCCTGATCTTTCGTTCTCCGAACTAACTCTCGTACTTCGTTCACAGTATCTTCGAGGTTTGTTGTTGGTTTACTTCCCTCATTCTAGTCTGCGCTCAAAACATTGAAAAAGTTGCGCCGGTCGCGATCTGGGTGAGTGAACCACGTACTCCTCTCGCGAGTGAATGCTGAGACTTTATCATCTTCATTAGGTACTCGATTATTTCTTGACTTTTGAACATGAAGTCCGTCTGTTCAGCAACATGAGCTGCTGGAACATTGTCACTGCCATGTTCATCCTAGCTAGATATACTCCCGTATTATGGATCATCACCGAAATATATCGTGAGTCATGCACTTCGTTGTTGGGGAAAGGTTCTCAGGGACAGTGGTCTGCCAGTCACTCTTAGCCCATATTCAGCAGAAACGGTATGGACTTTCTCTGAACTTTATTCAACGTAATGATGTTAATGCCAAGCAATACAGTGCGTGACACTATATCGAACTAGTGGGGGTAGGTCTCGCGGTCGCTGGTTCTACGTCAGCTAATACATCCTAGCATCCCTCTTTTTTATCATGTCCGCCGCAGAAGGTTAGTTTGTTGATATCAACAAAGAAAGAAAAACTCATATTTCAGGTCTGCTTCTCGTGCGTATACTTGCCTTATGGCATAACAACAGGAAGATAAAGCTATTTTTATTGGCGAGCTACTGGGTAAACGCTTTGAACGTTTTGCCATTCGAAGTGGTAATCTAACTGAGCTTGAAGCTTATTGTTATCGCCATGGTCATTTGCGATGCACTTGTGTGGTCTCTGCTGGAAAGCGTATGTGTGACCTCATCGACTCCGATCGCTTCAAGGTTTACGAAAGTGGAACGCCTGATAACGGGCAAGTTTGTTAGCGCAGCACTGTTTGAACTCAGTGAGCAATTCAAGACGCTGCCTCGAGTTAGCTCTACTCACGAATCATGTTTAGTAGTGATCACTCTTACAATGTATCATTCAATACGACTACGCTTTGATGGTATACGCTCCATCGGTAGAGTGGCGTCAACCTTGTTAAAGGGAAGTTTGCTATATGCACTGTCGCTCCTTGGTACGTCATCCGGTCTATGACTCGTTTTATGTCCCACTTGACTGTGTTTCAAGCAATTTCGATTATAAACATAGCTTCTTTTTCTTTGCCGGTACGTGGTTTCCATGCACCATGCCAGGGTAATATATGAATACTTGGTGCAGGCCTCATCGCGGGGGCAGGGTGGAATTGTATATGTGTAAGGGGGTGCACATTGTAACCGGAGATAACTGACAAATTCTCTGAACCAGGTTCCAAGGTGTCTTGCATGGTGTCTTGGCTTTGCGTGTTCTTTTTGATCTAAGGGATCTAAGGAATACAGGTCAAGATGAAGAACAAGACTATTTATTCACCTCGTATATATCCCTTCCTCGCACTCAGCGCACATCACAAATGATACCAATGACTGTCTTACATGCCGAAAGTAATGCATGATCATACCTCACTGTGTACAACGTCAATATCGCACGCAACGCATGTCGCAATCCTACTAACCGCTCGAATAATCGCACCCTACATATCTCGTTCAATAGAGGATAAATTGAATAATACAGGATGACGTTGTATATTCATGTACAATCGGATATGAGTATGTTACGATCAGATGTATTTGGTGGCGCGGAGATTGATGCGTCCTTTCCCCCTAGGGTTCTGATCACATCATGGCCCGTTGATATTGTAACTTCTGCATCCGCACTGGGTCCGCGGGAACGAGAGGTATGATCGGAAATCACCGCTGTTGATATCGAGGCGCACACCTATCTACGTGTTAGTCGCGTCGCCTTAAGATGCCGCCAGAACAGTACCAAATAACTGCGGAAAAGAATTAGCTGACCCCAGAAGATGGCAGTGTACGTTGTCGGCACTGTGGATAATGAAAGCAGCCTTGAATTCAGGGAGGACCTGATGGCGACGTGACCAGTGATCTCAGATTAGTACACTAGTAGTACTTACTACAGTTAACGTCTGGTGCTTGTGAGGTCCTCGTCCGGGCATTTCCGACACGCAAGTTCTGATTTTCCGGTAAGATGACGCCGTGCCCTGCGGGCTGTGCCGCGGTGGGGTATTGTACCGAGTACATATACTAGTAGCACCGGGTCGCCCCATGATACTAAGTAAGCTGTACTCACTGGTCGTCATCAGATTGCTGAGGCCAGAGGGCAATGCGTTCCGGGCGCTCTAGCCTCCTGCCTTCTGCCAGTTGCTCAAGGGCTTCCTCCCTGGTAGATCCTCCTGCAATGATAGCGTTAAGCTAACCTGCGTATGCGGAGAACTCGAAGTTCGGTTGTGCTTCGAGCGCCAGGTCGGCCAAGATGCATTTCATGTGGGGCCAAGGTATGTCGGGAGTTGTTGAGATAGGAATACACAAACCTAAGTAAAGGGAGAGGAATAAATGAAGGAGATACGAAGTCGTCGAGGACGACTGAGTACTGAGTACTGAGTACTGAGATCTGAGAGCTGGAAGACGATGCCTGCTAGTATAAAATACCAATAGTGAACAGGTGCATATGATATTACACCATCCAATTAGTAATGCGCTTACTAGTACTTCTCTGCGTCTTCCTTTACCTCGTTGGAGTGATCCGAGCTGCACCTACAACAAATACAACAGATACTACTAGTGACATTTTTAAAGCCCCATCGTTCACCACCAGAACCCTATGGAGCATCATTTCTAGCTCCGTTCTCACTCTTTTTGCATGCGTTTACAGTGCCATCCACCCTAATATTCCGAGTCCTAAGCACAGCGGCTACCCTCATACTCTATGGCGACAACTTGGCATGATGATAATGGCACTGATCCTTCCTGAACTGATCGTCACATGGGCTATGCGCCAATGGTTCAGCGCTCATCAAGTTACAAGGCAGTTCGAGAATTCGGGGTATCCCAACGTTCGTCCGGAGTCTGAAGGTGCGTTGTGCATTTGGAAACCCTACATCTCATAGCTCACTATACACGTCCTTAGAAATTGGTTCTGCTAAAGTATTTGGAAATCGCTTCCTTCGCTGTATTCTCTTGCCTTTCGTTCACCTCTTTCACCTCCTTGCTAAAGGTGTATTATCTATACCGGTATCTCTTTTGCGTGTCCTTTGTGCTCCTGTGATGTGGGTCGCAAGGCGGATTAAGTCAGAGCAGTCCGAGTCTGACTTGGAAGGTAAGCCCCATTCGTGCTCACCCAAACGTTGGCTCATGTGCATCCTTAGATTATACGTGGACTCAGACGCACAGCTTCTTTGTGCTGATGGGTGGTTTTATGCTTTATGTGGACGGGAAACCTTGCCTTACACTACGTCCTGATTACATTCTCAAACTGATACGTGAAGGGTGTATCGACGTCCCTACCCTAACGGCAAAGCAGATTCACGACAGGAGTAAAGGCAATGTGATATCGAAAGGATTGGTCATTCTTCAGGTGGCCTGGTTCGTTATACAACTCCTCACCCGCGCCATCTACCATCTCGAAACCACCCAGCTTGAAATGGGGACACTCGCTTTTGCGGTTCTCAATTTCCTAACCTATGCTGCGTGGTGGAACAAGCCTCTTGATGTGCAATGTCCACATCCAGTGTACTGGAAGTTGACCGAGTCAATGCCAGAGGATCACATTGAGTATGTATGCGCCTTAACAGTTATCGCTGCTGATCATGTCAGCCTTAGTGTCAGTGACAGAGACGAACTCGCTCGGTTTGGGATCTTGGCACCATTCTTCCGCCCAATTCTAGAATTGTTGGGCATTCCTGACATACCCACATCTCGAAAGCTCCAAGTCCCAACATTCGATGGCAGCATCAATCTCGAAGATTCGGACAAGAACGTTCTTAAGATTGCTGCATTACTTATGGCAATCATTTTTGGCGTCATCTATTATATGGCTTGTATTTTTACCCTCTTCACAGGCCAGGAACAGTTCTTATGGTTCATGAGTGCCTCCGTTATAATATGGATACCCTTGTTTTATGTCGTTGCTCTATTTCGCTTGGTGCTCCTGTCCTGGCTGTCCACACCATTTTACATCCTGGTCTGTTCACTTCAAGCGATATTGTACATCACGGCTCGTACAGTCCTTCTGGTACTGATGTTTACCACTTTACGCGATATTTCTCCTGACGCATACAAAGCGGTGTCGTGGACTAGTTTGGTGCCACACTTATAATTCTTGACCATGATACTAACTATACACTCCATACTTTTCTCATGATATTCAGATACAGCATTCGTGTGACTGACGATGGACTTAGCATGACACAGGCCGAACAAACACTGCTCGAGTCTTGCTCATCACCATGGACGGCAGCGAAATAGGGCTGTTTGGTACGCTGCGGCTGATGAAACCGACGACTGATGAGCAGGTAGCAGCATTCCTAATCAACGAGAAGACAGTTAGCTTTGGGCGCTGCAGGGATCAGGGTATGGTATGGTTGAAGAAGATTCAATTGTTTTAAAAATAGATCGACGTATGGACGGTTAACCTGAGCCCAATTTTCATGCAACGTTGGCCTGACAGCCAATTGAGAGGCAGGCTATCCTTGACCGTTGTGAGGTTCGTGATCATGAGCGCATTTGAATTTGTCTTGGAAGGATTGGCCAGATCCGATATGAGGAAGATGCTTGTTAGAAAACTGGATCGATGGTTGCTCGTGAGTGAAGCTCTTTTCTTTTTCTACAGGCGAACCTTGTCAGAGTGTCCATCTGGGAGTCGTCCATCGGGCATTCGGGCTCGGTCTATCGTCTGCAAAGTCAGGCACCTAGAGGAAGACACCAATCACATGAGTCATGGATGAACAAACAAGAATTTTGTTGAATGTGCTTTAAAATTGCGCGCAAAAACTGAATAAGGACCTCTTGATTGGTGACAAGCAGGTAGTGAAGTCCGTCTGGTGACAGTCCGCGAAACCAGGAGTTCTCAGCTATTTAAGCTGGTGATAAGATTTCAATGCCAGACCTGCAGGCACGGTGTGTCGCAGGCTGTAGCGTAGACCTGTGCGCGAATATGATTTTGATTTTCAGACGAGGATGAAAGGGTGCGTGGCGATCTCCTGCAGGAGCCGCTTGAGCATGTTCTGCCTCTTCTTGCTGTAGATTACAGGTAGGGGGCATTGTTGTACTCAATCCAAACTGCCCTTCGAATAGCCAGGTAGCGTAGTGGCGTCGGAAGGATAAGTTGGATTATTTGACGAAATTTACGCTTGGCAGGTAAAAACCGTAAATGGGAATCTGCCGCGCCCGCCGCTGAGTTATGCAAAGTAGTAAACACCGCTCGGACTTCCAAATCAGGGATTCGTAGTAACCTGATCATGATAGTAAGGTACGACTAGATATCATAAGTCATCCCATTGCATCATCGAGCAGTGTTCTGCCGGTCAATGAACGTTTATTAGAGTTAGCGTACGTTCAGCGATGAACTTTCCCATGGATGCAAGTGAACTGAACCCGTTCAGTGCCAGAAGTCCGGTCTGGATATTATATAATCACTTATGATTGGACGATGAAGAAAGAGTGAACAAACATCAAAAGACGTTGTAACATATTCCCTTCTACATATCATCTGCTACGACATATTTGCGATTGGTATTCTCGGTACAGTACACGATGTACATTGTATGGTACACAAAATCCGTAATAAATCTATTCAGCGAGGACATCATCAACTTGAGGAAACTCCGGATCTTCGATTCCTTCCACATCTAAGTCGAGAAGCTCGTACAACTCGAGCTCGGCATCTAAACCTCTAATGGCCGTTTTGTAGAAAGATCACAGCCATTCCTCAGCGCGAGAATAATCAAGCAATTCACTGATGGCAATGGGAGTGAATGAATCAGTAGTGGGCACTGAGTGCATCATTTCTGTGGCGGAAAAAACTTCCTCTTCATCAACAGCTCGGATGAGGTCTCATGCGAGCTCGCTTATCCCTTGCCTCTCGAAGCTGCACTGCTCTCGTTCGCCGCTTCCTGCCAATGGAGCATCCAAGTCATCCACTGTTTCAGTGGACTCTGCTTTCTCATCACAGTACCGGCACTTAATACAAGTGCCTGCAATTGCAGCTTCATCTCTCGGTGCATCTCGCTGACCTGCGTGGATTTGCTGTTCATCCAATGCATGCTCGTTAGCCATGCGCTGCTAGTAGAGCCTCGCACATATCACTTTTGCCTTTCCACTGACCATTGAAGCACTTTCTTTAGCAGCATAACCTGGATGTTCGACAAAGTGATCCCACCACCATCCTCGGTTTGATTTCTTGCCGGTCTTCGCCATCGAGTCGGTTTCGGTGTGTCCAACGTTGAGAGTAGTGGCTGCGGCCTGCAGGTTCTTGAAGTGTGCCCCCCAGCCGAACAGGCCTAAACCGCATGCTTACAATCAGACTGCGTGAAGATATCTAATCGATAACCATTGATATAGTATCAACCAAGTATGGTATAGTCTAATGAGGTAGGACCACAGAACCGCTCAAAGTCATGTTCAGGTGAACGACAGTAAACTTCACCGAATTTCCCACGAATCGCAGTCAATGACTGTGACCTTGGTTCACTGACCGGCAGAACACTGTCATCGAGCGACACGCCCGAGCCGAGCGCCAAGGTTACAGCTCAGCTGTACTCAGTGCTCGATTAAGCTCAACTCTTGATAATCATCGATATATATACATACTGTGCTTGCACGTTTCATTACGGTCTTTAAACGCTGTGCTTGGAAGATTCTCCCGCACGGCATTAATGGCGCGTCTGACGGAAGAAGACTCTGTCAAGTGCGAAACTCGCGCACTTACTCTTTGGATCTAGAACCTATATATGAACATCGGAACTTCTCATAAACATTCACCCATTCTACGAGCCAGTCCACGCACGTACTGTATCCCTTACGTATGGTTTTGTCGCACACTGCTCATCAGACGGTTGAGGTATGAGCGCTTGACGCCTGATCTTTCGTTCTCCGAACTAACTCTCGTACTTCGTTCACAGTATCTTCGAGGTTTGTTGTTGGTTTACTTCTCTCATTCTAGTCTGCGCTCAAAACATTGAAAAAGTTGCACCGGCCGCGATCTGGGTGAGTGAACCGCGTACTCTTCTCGCGAGTAATGCTGAGACTTTACTATCTTCATTAGATACTCGATTATTTTTTGACTTTTGAACATGAAGTCCGTCTGTTCAGCAACATGAGCTGTTGGAACATTGTCACCGTCATGTTCATCCTAGCTAGATATGCTCCCATAATATGGATCATCACCGAAATATATCGTGAGTAATCCACTTTATTGTTAGGGAAAGGTTCTCAGGGGCAGTCGTCTGCCAGTCACTCTTAGCCCATATTCAGCAGAAACGGTATGGACTTTCTGTGAACCTTATTCAACGCAATGATGCTAATGGTAAGCAATACAGTGCGTGACACTAAATCCAACTAGTGCGAGTAGGTCTCGGGGTCGCTGGTTCTACGTCAGCTAATACATCCTAGCGTCCCTCTTTTTTATCATGTCCGCCGCAGAAGGTTAGTTTGTTGGCATCAACAAAGAAGAAAAACTGATGTTCTAGGTCTGCTTCTCGTGCGTATACTTGCCTTATGGCATAACAACAGGAAGATAAAGCTATTTTTATTGGCGAGCTACTGGGTAAACGCTTTGAACGTTTTGCTATTCGAAGTGGTGATTTAACCGAGCTTGAAGTTTATCGTTGTCGCCATGGTCATTTGCGATATACTTCTGGCGCTTCTGCTCGAAAGCATATGTGTGCCCGCATCGATTCCGATGGTTTCAGACCTCACCAACATGGAACAGCTGATAATGGGCAAGTTTATCAGTGCAGCACTGTTTGAACTGAGTGAGCAATTCAAGACGCTGCCTCGAGTTAGCTCTACTGACGAATCATGTTCAGTAGTGATCACTCTTACAATGTATCATTCAATACGACTGCGCTTTGATGGTATACGCTCCATCAGTAGAGTGGCGTCAACCTTGTTGAATGGAAGTTTGCTATATGCACTGTCGCTTCTTGGTACGTCATCCGGGTTATGACTCGTTTTGTGTCCCACTTGACTGTGTTTCAAGTAATTTCGATTATAAACATAGTTTCTTTTTCTTTGCCGGTACGTGGTTTCCATGCACCACGCCAGGGTAATATATGAATTCCTGGTGCAGGTCTCATCGCAGGAGAAGGATGGAATCATGGATGTGTAAGTGACTGTACATCGTAACCAGAGATAACTGACAAATTGTCTGAACCAGGTTTCAAGGTGTCTTGCATGGTGTCTTGGCTTCGCGCGTTCTTTTTGATCTAAGGGATCTGGGGGATACAGGTCAAGATGAAGAACACGACTACTTATTCACCTCGTTTATATCCCTTCCTCGCACTCAGCCCGTATCACAAATGATACCAATGACTGTCTTACATGCCGAAAGTAATGCATGATCATACCTCACCGTGTACACCGTCAATATCGCACGCACGCATGTCGCAATCCTACTAACCGCTCGAATAATCGCACCCTACATATCTCGTTTAATGGAGGATACATTGAATATCCAGGATGACGTTGTATGTTCATATACAATCGGATATGAGTATTTTACGATCAGATGTATTTGGTGGCGTGGAGATTGATGCGCCCTTTCCCCCTAGGACATCATGGCTCGTTGACGTTGTAGTAACTTCTGCATCCGCACTGGGCCCGCAGGTATGATCGGAAATCACCGCTGTTGATATCGAGGCGCACACCTATCTATTACGCGTTAGTCGCGTTGCCTTAACATGCCGCCAGAACCGTGCCAAATACTAACTACGGGAAATAATTGACTGACTCCAGAAGATGACAGTGTACCTCGTCGGCACTGTGGATAATGAAAGCAGCCTTGAATTCAGGTATCTGCCACTACATGTCCAGTAAGGAGAGAGTTTCTGTCGGAGGTCTGCGCGTTAGTTGAAGGGTTCACATTCTAATCTAAGAAGTAAAGTACGATGGTTTTCGGAAACGCACGGGCGCTCGCATGGCTTTCGCCTATTTCGCCTATTTCGCTAAAGGCCACATGGGAACGCTTAGCTCGCTTAAACCTCTTTTTGGAAACTCGCGTGGCTTTGTCACGTGTTTTCGAGCGCCGACTCAAATAGCGTCGCCCTTTGGGAAGTTAGCATGACCTTGGTATCTGTATATGTACATGGCATTAAATAATGAAAAAAAGATGTGTTTGAGCAGGGTCCAGGCAAGGCAGATATGTGATTATATTTGAGTTTTTTCCCTACTGTAATTGTTATGATAGTATTTGTATACATACAGCAAATAACAGAACAACATATAATACAATTACAGATGGGAAAACAAATATGAAATAAAAGAGATTGGGGGATGAATGACAGAAGGTAATGAAAAAATAATGGAAGGGAGAAAAAGGCCACTGAGAGACTCAAAAAATGGAGAATGGGAATGGGAAACTGGGAGAACCAGAGGACGGGAGACGGGAGACGGGAGACGGGAGACGGGAGATGGGAGACGGGAGACGGGAGGCACAGAAAAATGGGAAAATGAATACATTCAATGATACTGTTACATATTTTGTAATTTTATGTTGTGTAGTAGATTGTATTTTTACTTTTGTCAAAATCCTGCTCAAATAATGTAGAACTGACTGATCTTATGTACAGTAATGTACTATGTACTTTTACATGGTGTGGTAGATTGTACTTTTAGTTTTTTCAAATGGTGCTCATAAATGTGCCTCTTTTTCAAAATACACTATTGAGGTGTGATCTTATTCAAAATACACAATTTATTAGGATGCAGCCTGAGGCCAGGAAGCCAAAGGAGGGCGCAGCCCTCCTTGGCTTCCTGTGACAAAGGAACAATGCTCATCAGGAGCCTTCTGAATTATTGGGATGAAGCTGAGGCCAGGAAGCTAAAAAAAGAGTGCGAAGCACTCTTTTTTGCTTCCTGTGCCGAAGGCAGAACGGGTGTGGACTAGTATATATAAGCACAGAGTGATTGATCCCGCGGAACCAATTCGTGTCTACCCCACGTGCGAGCTCCTGGCAGCTGAGCGCCACCCGTTTTGCAATGGTTCGATCTCTCTGTCTGCTATGATCTCCTTTTGCTAAATATTATAGAACTCGTTCGGTGTCCGGGTTGGTATAATACGACACACTCCCTCCATGCATCTCCTTCCTCCCTCAAGTTCACCCTTTGCGCCCTCCCCTCTACCTCTTCCATCCTCTCTTCCTCTTCAGCTTCAGACTTCTGTTCCTCCTGTCGCTCCACCCTTCCCTCAAAATTGTCCTCCTGTTCTTGTATAACGGCCTTCTTGGACGCATCGAGTCCGAGAGCTACAGCAGAGATACGCACTAATTTCAAGTTGGCACCTTTAGCAGGTGCAACCAACTTCGAAGGTGTGTATATCAATACAATACTCGCTAGGCGTAGCAGTGACCGAGGCCGGTATAATATGATCAGGACTCGGAGTGAGGACTCGTGAGTATCATGACAGAACATTACCATGATTTACCTATGTCCCATATTAATATGAATCATACCGCTCAGAACTCGAACAACAACTGGTATACCCGGCAGGCAGTAGCGTCGTTGGATGACTACAAACTCTCGGTATGTGTGAATAAGGACCTCTTGAGTGGTGACACGCAGGTACATAGTCAAGTCCGTCTGTCTTGATTCGATACGTGATGGACCCTGGGCTAGACCACGCCTCCGTCCGACTTCTGTGACACGGAATGAAATGCAAGTCTGCAGTCCGCGAAACCAGGAGTTCTCAGCTGTTTAAGCTGGTGATAAAATTTCAATGCTAGACCTGCAGGCACGGTGTGTCGCAGCGTAGACCTGTGCGCGAATATGATCTTTAGACATGGATGAAAGGGTGTGTGGCGATCTCCTGCAGGAGCCGCCTGAACGTGTTCCGCCTCTTCTTGGTGTAGATTACAGGTAGGGGGGCATTGTCGAGTTCAATCCAAACTAGCCTATGTAGTACTAGCGTCAGAAGCCGATAATACTAGAGTAAACGTAAACACCGCTCGGACTTCTAAATCAGTCGGGATTCGTAACCTTTCCGTGATAGCCTTAAGGTACGACTACATAGGTATCACAAGTCATTCATCATCGAGCGACACGCCCGGACCGAGCGCCAAGGTCACAGCTCAGCGCTCAGTGCTCAGTGCCCGATTAACGTCAGGCTTCAGCCTCAGCTCTTGATAATCATCGATATATATATACCGTGAGTTGCACGTTTAATTACATAGCTCGGTCTTTGAACGCTGCGCTTGGAAGATTCTCCGACTCGATGCACGGCATTAATGGCGCGTCCGACCGAAGAAGACTCCTTCAAGCACTTGCTCTTTGGGTCTAGAACTTATATATTAAGCATCAGAACTTATCATAAATATCCACCCAGTCTACGAGCCAGTCCACGCACGTACTACTATATACCTTACATATGGTTTTGTCGCACACTACACAACAGACGTTCAAGGTATGAGCGCTTGACGCCTGATCTTTCGTTCTCCGAACTAACTCTCGTACTTCGTTCACAGTATCTTCAGGGTTTGTTGTTGGTTTACTTCCCTCATTCCAGTCTGTGCTCAAAACATTGAAAAAGTTGCACCGGCCGCGATCTGGGTGAGTGAACCACGTCCTCTTCTCGCGAGTGAATGCTAGAACTTTATTGTCTTTATTAGATACTCGATTATTTTTTGACTTTTGAACGTGAAGTCCGTCTGTTCAGCAACATGAGCTGCTGGAACATTGTCACCGTCATGTTCATCCTAGCTAGATATGCTCCCGTAATATGGATCATCACCGAAATATATCGTGAGTAATCCACTTTATTGTTAGGGAAAGGTTCTCAGGGGCAGTCGTCTGCCAGTCACTCTTAGCCCATATTCAGCAGAAACGGTATGGACTTGATGTGAACCTTATTCAACGTAATGATGCTAATGGTAAGCAATACAGTGCGTGACACTAAATCCAACTAGTGCGAGTAGGTCTCGGGGTCGCTGGTTCTACGTCAGCTAATACATCCTAGCGTCCCTCTTTTTTATCATGTCCGCCGCAGAAGGTTAGTTTGTTGGCATCAACAAAGACGAAAAACTGATGTTTCAGGTCTGCTTCTCGTGCGTATACTTGCCTTATGGAATAACAACAGGAAGATAAAGCTATTTTTATTGGCGAGCTACTTGGTAAACGCTTTGAATGTTTTGTTATTTGAAGTGGTGATTTGATCGAACTCAAAGCTTATCGTCGTCGCCATGGTCATTTGCGATATACTTCTGGCGCTTCTGCTCGAAAGCATATGTGTGCCCACATCGGCTCAGATGGTTTCAGACTTTACGAAAATGGAACACCTGATAATGGGCAAGTTTGGTAGCGCAGCACTGTTTGAATTGAGTGAGCAATTCAAGACGCTGCCTCGAGTTAGCTCTACTGACGAATCATGTTCAGTAGTGATTACTCTTACAATGTATCATTCAATACGACTACGGTCTGATGGTATACGCTCCATCGGTAGAGTGGCGTCAACCTTGTTGAAGGGAAGTTTGCTATATGCACTGTCACTTCTTGGTACGTCATCCGGGTTATGACTCGTTTTATGTCCCACTTGACAGTGTTTCAAGTAATTTCGATTATGAACATAGTTTCTCTTTCTTTGCCGGTACGTAGTTTCCATGCACCACGCCAGGGTAATATATGAATACCTGGTGCAGGCCTCATCGCAGGAGCAGGGTGGAATTATAGTTGTGTAAGTGGCTATACATCGTAACCAGAGATAACTGACAAATTGTCTGAACCAGGTTTCAAGGTGTCTTGCATGGTGTCTTGGCCTCGCGCGTTCTTTTTGATCTAAGGGATCTGGGGGATGCAGGTCAAGTTGAGGAACACGACTATTTATTTACCTCGTTTATATCCCTTCCTCGCACTCAGCCCGTATCACCAATGACTGTCTCACATGCCGAAAGTAATGCATGATTATGCCTCACCGTGTACAACGTCAATATCGCACGCATGTCGCAATCCTGAAAAACATAGCAACGGCTTGAACAATCGCACCCTACATATGTTCAACGGAGGATGAATTGAATGATCCAGGATGACGTTGTATATTCATCCATCGGATATGAGTATTTTTTGATCAGATGTATTTGGCGCGAAGAGTGATGCGTTCTTTCCCCCTAGGGTTCTGATGACATCATGGCCCGTTGACATTGTAACTTCTGCATCCGCACTGGGTCCGCAGGAACGTCGTAGGTATGATCGGAAATCACCGCTGTTGATATCGAGGCGCGCACCTAGTATTAATAGCCAAATAACTGCGGGAAAGAGTTGGCTGACCCCAGAAGATGACAGTGTAGCTTGTCGGCACTGTGGATAATAAAAGTAGCCTTGAATCCAGCCTGAGGTATCTCCAGGAAGGAACTGATGGCGACGTGACAACATCATCTTTCAGTGATCTCAGATTAATATTACACTAGTAGTACTTACTACAAATGTATCACTCAGTGACTCAGGTGTCCTTGTCCGGGCATGTCCGACACGCAAGTTCTGATTTTGCGGGCAAGACGCCGTGCCCTGCGGGCTGTGCCGCAGTGGGGTATTGTACCGAGTATACTACGACAATTCTAACTGCAGTATGTGTTAAAGCGTATATGATTGAACAGAAAGAGAAGTGATACTAATAGTAATACATGAGTATGCGTTCAGTATAAATATGCGTTAAGGCAAATATAAGTGAACAGTACGCGCGCGGTGTCCAATCATTGTCAAGGACGCTTTGATGACGTCTTTGGTGACGCGTCAGTGATGTATGCGTAAGCCATGCTCACAGTATTCTTGTAGTCGACGATGAAGCTAGTTACATGAGCTATTTCGCAACCGCTATGAACGATGAGATTGATGACCCGACGACGTGTGGCATGACTTGAACCAAACAAACTCTGCCCAAGTCTTGCTCGAACTGATCGATGCATCATGGACGGCAGCAAAATCTGTTTGGACTGTGATCAGCCATAGCCTAATGTTCTAGCCAGGAACACTGTATCTCCTCAAACTGACAAGGCCGTGCAAGGAATGTTTCGCTCGGATAACGGTCCGTCCAAAGTCCAGTAGTGTAAAACGGAGATCACATTTTTATGCTTCCCACAATTCACCGCCGCCCTGCTTTCCCTCTATGTTGTTCAAAGAGATTTCGTCCATGTTGTCACTTTTCAGCGCACTGGGACAAGTTTCAGGGAGATTTGTCAACCTGATCGTGGTGGTATCAATGCCTATCGCAGTCGTAGCGAGAGGGTCATTGAAGCGGTGACGCCTGATAGGCAGTGATCCGATGGTTATAACGGGTGAAGATTGCCACGGTACTGGCGAGGGTGTATCATCTTTTGCGCTCATTCTCAAGAAGAATGCCACGACCACGCTCAAGTTCGCGACAATCAAGGACACGGAAGTCTAAAAGGTGATCAATGATATACGCTGTCTGAGCACTGATAGTACTATACCTCGACCATAGCAGCCATTGCCTCATTCAGTCCTTCATCCGACAAGATGTAATATGCATGGACAAGACTAACAACGGTGGTGGTTATTGATGTCGAAAAGATGGCAAGTATTCGTATTTTCTGTGCCTTCGTCAATCTGACTTTATAAATGAGGCGAAATGGGGCAAGGATAAGAACAGTGTCTCCAAAAACATCAGCTGAAATGTCAATCAGAAAATTATTGCATCGTATGGGCTGTTGGCTCTCACTGATGATCTGCGCTATTGCAACGTTTTTGCCGAGACTACACTGCGGGCGTGGTTCTGTTTTCCAGTTGGGCTCATCTTCACAAGTCCACAACACCTGTGCAGAGAGTACAGCCCATAAGATGAAGAAGACCGCTGTAGTACGCATGAGGATCTTCCTGAGGGTTCCTGGTGCTGTGAGTCGTACAACTGTTAACAGAATTGATATCCTGGAGCACCTATTATAAACGTGCGTGTCAGTTGTGTCGCCTTAACATGCCGCCGGAGCCGTACCAAACAACTGTTGGAAATAATACGACGAGCCTGGTACCGAAACAGCTTTAATGTTTCTGAAGCATCACGATATATGAGAACATACATGTAAAACAGTGCTACCCTCGTGTCCTGGGGATATTTTTCTGGGTGTCTGTAGGCAATGGTATGTACCATACACAAGAAAACGAGGCTCACCGTAATCTTCCATGTATATCCAATTGGCAATTGTTAGGGTAAGAATGGATAGCATGGCGAAGGTCGCCCATAAGTCATCGATCCACAAACGTCCTTGCCGCGCGCGACAATACAAGCGGAATGATGTGACAGTGGCCGCGACAAGAGGCATGGCCATGTTTAAGACTTGAACGAGCATCAACTGCAGCGACATAGCAAGTCAAGTCGATGAGACTTACCATCTTTCTGAGCAGTGGTGAGCGAGGATGACATTATGCAGTTGTTGTTGCAAATACAAAAGGCTGTTGAATAGCACATAAGTCATATATAGTTTTGTGCCTCCGCCCGGCGATCTACGAGGCAGCCATGTGGATAGAACAGCATGTAGAAGGGCGCAAACCATATCTTTCAAAAATAGTCAATTATGGCATATATCTTGCACTTAGTATGGCTTTAAAATGATAAAGTTCGAAACACAATGGAAGTAGTAGCGAAAGCGTAGCTCAGTGCTCACTAGTCTTGATGCGGTGCTTTGGCGTGGAAAAACTTTCATTCTAAAGCCATTGGGGTAAACTAGTAAGTGCAGCTCACCAACAGCCCATTTATGACTTGCGAGCGCTTCAAAACATATAGAACAGAAGATGACAGTGTAGCTTGCCGGCAGGTATGTGGATTTTTCTCCTTGGTTTTCGATTTCTTGGAGCTGACATGATCCGAGGAGCTACAAGAGAGAGTTCCTGTATTGCAAATATGTGACATCACTGGCCGATAATCAAGCTGATGATGGCCTCGGAATTCCTACACAGCATTATGAATCATGATCGGAGCTGTTTGTATCAGAACGCAACATTGCATGTTTGTTTCTGATATTCTCTAGTTACTCTTCGAGTTACGTCTTCAACACGGCGGACTGACCCCAATTGAGCTTGATGCAGATGTTTCATTCCACTTCTGTTGATGCGGCATGGAGAGACCGCGGTGCACTGGTTGTTTTTGTCTGATAACTTGATGTGACTCTTCCAAGGCACGTCTTCAACACGACCGACTACTCTTTAACTGTCCATGACAGCACTTCTATTCCATCTGTTGTTCATTGACGATTTCAACCTCCATGAAGGCCGTGTGAACGCGAATCCGAATTCTGTACAAATACAGAAGTGTCGAGGACTGGCGCGGCCGAGCGCCGTTACGATTCAATACTAAATATTATACGGTGTCCGGGTTGGTATAATACGACACCCTCCCTCCATGCATCTCGTCGAGTACATCAGATATACTAGTCCAGCCAATGGGTAATGGGCGCTTCAAAACACATCTTCGGCAGCTGCCTGTTTACCATGCGTACCATCCATTACCTTCTCCAAGAAACCTCTTAAGACTCACCCAGCCGTCCTTCCAACAGTAACTTACTTGATGAGTGAAAACAACCCTCCTCGGAAGAAGTGTCAGGGATTCCTGAAGCGAAGTCGTTCAAACCCTCATTTGGCAGAGGAAAGAGGCCAGACGGCAACTGATGATGACGTATGAACTTTTGCCATTATAACCACGCCATTGTTTCTAACTATGTGATCTGACCACAGGCATGCCCAGTGATGGTGGAGTTGGACTCCGGATCAACAAGGGCGCATCAGTAAACTGGTGAGTTCTTGCTGGGGATTATGCTGATTGTGGTGCTTTTACATAGTTGGATATTGCTTTATATTCCAATGTGACGAAAAAATGACGATATCTTCTTCCCACAGGTTCTCTGATAGCCCGCCGCCGCCGCCGCCTTCAAAGGATTAGATATTTTAGCCGCGAATTAATACCCGGAATTCGTGTTAGCACAGTAGTATAAATGATACACGGCGACGAACGAACATCTCGACTGAGATGTGAGTATTCTCTCATATTAGCCACATATTTTACTAACTCGTTATTAGTATATTTTCTAGGTATAAACTGAGACTACATTTTTTAGCTCTCGGTTTCGCCCGCCGAGCTCTCATAACCGCAACCGATGACTCGTGCTGCCCAACGTCTCCTAGCCATACAAAATGCACTCACAGACATTTTTGTTAGTGATGACCAGAAGGTGGACAACTTCATTTTGCCAGATGGTGCGGTCATGACCGCCAAGGCAGACTCTGTATCGCCGACGAATTTCATTCACATCGATGGATTGATTGTGTGTGAGTATCATTTACTCGATCGGACCGCGCAGCTCGTCATTTCAGCTGTCGGCACGCAGTTCGAAAATACCGCATCACATGTACCAAGCTTTCAGGTCATCGAGATCCTTTCTTCCTCCCAGGTCAGCTCGCTACAGGACGACATATCCGTGAAAGATATGTGGGCGACTGTGTACGCACTCTTTACGCTGTACCACAATCAAGAGACCATCCCGGTTGTCCTGTCTCAGAAAATCAATAATAGCGAGGAGCTACGCTCGTATTTACTTCGATCCGGTCTCGGGCGTACAGCACATGCGCCTACAGCTTCAACAGAGGAAATATACTTGCACAGAGCCACGTTCTGGCAGGGTGCAGGAACACAAGGATACCATAATCGCGGCTGGCTACCTCCATCATCATTTTCAGTTGCACCTTTTCCCTTCATCCCGTCATTCACCCGTACACCCACTGTCATTTCCGGGCACCCCCTTCGTCCACCAAAGCCTGAACCAGGAGAAATGCTTTTTAGGCGATTTTGTCCATCCATAGGGGAGACTCTAGAATTCACGTACTTTGATCTCCGCAGCGGATCGAATACTTCAGAGCATCTAGACTTCTTTCATCGTTGGCATAATTCAGAGCGAGTGAAAAAGGGGTGGGGAGAACGCGGCTCGCTGGAGAAACACCGAGCATATATGACGGAAATAATGGACGACCCTGGTGTTCTGCCTGTAATGATGAGCTGGAACGGCAATCCCATGGGATATGCGGAGATCACCTATCTGAAGGTGGGCATCTCGGGCTTTCTTGAAAATAGGCTAAAATGGTATGCAAGGAAAATCATGTGGCACCCTACATTCCTGGTGGTCCTGGAGACTGGGACAGGGGCATCCACGTCCTTGTCGGAGAGGATAAATTCCGTGGTATTGTGCGAAGTAAGTCGTGTATTCGTATTCCCGCATGCAAGCCTGGTCCTACCGACAATATTCGTGCAGCCAGTCTATGGCATCGTGCTCTGATACACTACTGCTTCTTGGCGGACCCGCGCACTGAAAGTGTGATGACTGAGCCCAGAGCTGATAATTCCTCCATAATCAAAGTGGAATTTGACTCTGCCATGCATATTAGAACAGTAAGTGGAGCGTAACTTATTCTATTGCGACTGTTTGCTGAAGTCTAGGTTCAGATTTTTGATTTTCCCTATAAACGCTCTGCACTCTTCCGCGTTCCCAGGTACCGTTTCTTCAGGCTGGACTTGCTGTGACAATGATACGTTTTGTTGGTGGGGAAATACCTTGTAGATAGCGTAAACTGGAGTGTTGAATAGACGATGTTTCTTCTTTGGAGATGAAATGTCACTCGATTCGTTATATGATGGCTACGTGATAATGTCCCAAATCGCGCTCCTCTTGCCTTCTGAACTCTCATTTCGAATACGGACATTTCCACTATGTCGATGTCTGCAACTTGTATTGAGAAAAGGCGGAACTAGCAAGATGGCTGTCCGGACTTCGTATACTTGTGAAGCGCTTCAAGGGATTCATTGAAGGAGAAGGATACGTTTTTTCCTTGTGCGGCGATAGTGTATATATTGTCAATTTGCATGATTTCATTATCTCTGTAATACATTTGTAGTCCTACTTCATGACCCTTAAATATGTTAGTTCACCAAGATAAATCTGGACTCCGTGTACTAGGTCATGAAAAAGCTGCGAGAGGCAGTGGAAGGTGTAGGAACCTGCAGGAGGCAGTGGATCGAGCATTGAAAGCAATGGGAAAGTCAAAAGCTGGCGGAGCGTTGAGAATGGATGTGTGTTTGTGGGGAGCGGTTGGTCTCAACCGGGGCTCTATTTCATGCATTCATGATCGAAAATCGGTGCCGAGGTTCACTGTTGAAGGGTGTAAGGCGATGAAGAGGTGTGAGGGTGATCGTACGGGGCGTGAACTGCAGGCGTGATAGCTGGCAGAGGTGTTGGTGGATCGCGTTTGCTGTCGTGAGGTAGCGGTAGGTACTGGGACATGCGTTGGCAGGCGCCAAAGCATGGGAAGAATGAAAGCAAGGAAGGCAGTGAATGGAAGATGAAAGCGGGTCTCGGTTCCTAGAAAAACCGGAGTGATGGGCGTTGTAGGATAAATCTACGATAGCGAAAATTAACATACCATGTCACTATGCCGCCTGAAAAACTCTATTCTTCTCCTAGGCTCCTTCTGTCTCGGAAGTCCACGGTGCTGCACACTCGGTTCCTTATTGCGATAGCGTTTGTTGGCCTGTTCGTGGTCAGTGATTTTCTATAGGGTGTGCCAATAGCAAGAGTGTTGTGGGCCAAAAAAGGAGTTGGTAGCGTTGGGAGAGATTTGTAGTAGAAAGTAACTGATAGCAAGTGTCGAAGGAGTGAGTTGCAGAGCAGAGTAAACAATAATGTGGTGTATTGGCAATAGCTGAGTAGGTGCAAGTGACGGCTATGGGTACAGCTGCCAGTAGGCGTGTGGGTGACATGGACTCGGTGAATAGAGGTACAGGGATGGCGATGCACAGGTTAGTAGGCACCGGAAGTCAGGAACATTCAATTAAGAGCGCCTGGCCAAACGTAGCGTTACGACGCAATTGCAAAAACATACAAACTTTAAATAACAGCGTGGGAGTGCTTTGAAGCCCCAACCTGCCGTTTTTATCCAGCGTTTCATCGGATGACGGTTCTCTCACCCAGTCAGTACTTATCTCGCTCAGCAACATTAACTGCGTCTTCTTGTCGGGCCGGCAACTGGAAGACTGACACCTAGTAAGTACATTTTCTGCGGCAGTCTCAGACTTCAAGCCAAGAGCGCTGGTGGAAGGTACGCAGCTCAGTTTCCTCGTTCACATTTATCCGTTTACTCAATCAAGAACTACAATGACAAAGTACGCAATTTCGTAGGTTCGTTCGTCGTCGTTTCCATCACTGTTCTTATTGATTATTTCCAGGTTGACGGGACAAGACTACTACTCGTAACGCAGGCCTAGTTCCGTTCCCCCAACCTCGATGCACTCTGATGCTATTTTCGACACGTTCCTGGTTACTTCGTCGGTTCTTTTCTTCGTAAATGTGCTAATTGAACCGTTTCGTATCCAGGATCCAGGCTCATCAGTGCTTTTTCCTAAACCACTAAAATGAGCGTTTCTCAACTAGCCCAGCTACTTCCAGCACAGTCAGACCTTACTGGGTTTTACCTCTCGGTATTAACAATTCCCGGATGCCCTCAGGGGTTTAGGGGAATAACAGCTTCCGCAACTCTCGGTCTTCCTGAACTTAAACGCATCGCTCTGATATGATTTATATGCACCAATGTGCTATAAATATGACAACCGAAGAGAGAAAGCGCCATATCACAATCGACAGTATTCGGATATCAGACTGTCCAACTTGTGTCGAATGATCTTCAGTCGACAGGTAAGAATCGTAAGATTTTCCGCAGTGAATACTTTTGAACTATCCTACTCACTGGCATGGCGCAGATATTACCTGAAGAGAGACGATCTATGTGACATGACTCTTCTCTGATAAATACCAGGTGAGCCTCACCTCTCATGATTGTCCATCCTGCCATGCTCTCTTCTTACGACGTACTCATCGTCGGTGCCGGTGTAGCAGGCCCAGCTCTTGCCCATGCCCTTGCCACACAGACGTCTGATAAGCATCGTGCTCCTTTGCGGATAGCTCTACTTGAGCGTTCCTTGTCGAAGCCAGACCGTATCGTCGCAGAAATGCTCCAGCCTGGAGGCGTCACCGCGCTCAAGCAGCTTGGTCTGGAGTCATGCCTTGAAGATCTTGGCTCTGTTTCTTTGTTAGGTTTTCACGTTCTGCGAGGGGAGCAGGGCATTTGCGCCTCGTTCCCTGAAGGCCATGACGCGCGAGCTTTTGAGCATGGAGCGTTTGTCATGGCCTTGCGCGACCGTGCACGGCGGGCGCCCAATGTTGACGTGATCGAGACTACAGTAATCAATCTCATCGAGAACGAGGACACACATCGCATAATAGGTGTTCATGCCTCCAAAGCAGGTGGTCAGCCAGAGTCATATTTTGCTGACCTCGTCATTGTCGCGGATGGCTCCTCATCCAAGTTCAGAACTGCCGTCCTCGGAAGCATGCCGTATGAGCCTTCGCAAAGGGGTTACTTGGCGGGTCTGATTTTGAAAGACCTGAAGCTGCCACTGCCTCAGTATGCCACTATGTTTGTACTGAAAGGCGCTGGACCAGTCATCCTTTTTGAGCTCCCCAACAATGAGCATCGTATGCTGGTCGAATTGAAGGAGTCGCCGCCAGATCTCAAGGTTCGTAATTCTGCCTTATTGTGCGGTCGTGATCGCCCCCACTTACCATCAATATTGCAGGAGCATATACTATGCGACATTGTTCCTCAGCTTCCATTGTCGATCCGCGCGCCTATTCTCACTGCTCTAGAAACGTCCCGTGTGCGACGAGCACCACATTATTATCTTCCGCCCACAAAGCAGGGAGAACGTAGCAAGGCAGGCGTGTTTCTACTGGGAGATTCGTTGAATATGCGTCACCCGCTAACTGCGGGTGGAATGACGGTCGCCTTGAATGACGTAGTCATCCTCTCTGATCTTCTGGCCCACGTCGAGAGCTTTGAAAACTGGGATGAAATCTCGGCTGTCCTCAAGAAGTGGCACCACATGAGAAAACCGCTCGCATCCACCATCAATACCATGAGCATGAGCTGGGCTGGGATATTCGCGGCCCATGGTACGTCAATATCAGCCGTCGAATGCTTGAAGGCTTATGATCGTAGGCGAGGCGTTTGACATTATGCAGGAAGGAGCATTCAAGTTTTATGGGAAAGGTGCCAAGTATTCTGACGAACCCATGTCATTAGCAGCCGGGTCAGTAATGCATATATCGATAATCGTCGATCGTGCTGATCTGGTTCTGGAATTTCCAGGATCCTGAAATCTCCGTCATCGCTGGCGCGCAATTCGATCGCCATAGCGGTATACTCCATCTGGGTGTTGTTCACCCATCCTAGACCTGGGAATAAATATGCTCCGCAGTTTTATGAATACCCGTTGCTTTTGGTTAAAGCGCTGAACGTCGTAAGATTATTCAATAAGTATTTTGGAACATGTTGACTGATTTTTATGGTATAGATATGGACTATAGGCGTCGTGATGGGGCCGGTGATGTGGGCAGAAATGTGATCCTTCTTGCAATATAGATGTATGAAATGAGTTTGCAACCTGACGGGACGCCCGCAATAAAGACTTTCAATATTATGTATGCCTCATGTACCGCATCGCTTATGATTGGTTTATTCTTCTGACTCGCACACTGCCAAGTCTAACACAGAATTTGTAACTGGCATAAGGCTGTCGATTAACAACCGATCTAGGGCCAGAACGGTTGACACTCGCAAGTCATGTGTGTCAACATCGTCATTGATAGGTGTCATTTGATGTCGACGTTGACGTGAAGTGACTTTTAGGTCACTTCAAGGCTTAATTCTCGACATCCCGCCGACGGCTGTTTCATCAGCATTGGATCGAGCTCCAACGTGGTCATAATGCGAAAAGAAAATGAACCCTGGTGTGGCAGGGGTATGTGCGGTGCCACTCTTCCCGTATCATGGTCTTATCACCAAGCATCGAAGTATATTTTGGTATGTATTCGTTATAAACACTCCCGAGACGAGTAGTAAAAACTTCCAAAGGTCAAATTCCAACGAAACGAACACTGTCAGTCCACCCTCAAGAAATCACCGATAGCCTTGAAGTAATAATCCCTATCCTCGAAGAACGCAATATGACTCTTCGCAAACCTGACCCACTTAACTTTAGGTATTTTCTCAATGAAAGGAGCAATAACGTAGTCCTGAGCTCCCTCTTCGGGCCCATTCGTGACGAGTGTGGGGCATGGAATACGATGAAGGCGGTCGATCACTGACCAAGTTCTCAATGAACCAGTCGAGTGGAACTGTGCGGTCCCTGACCTAAATTTCAGGAGTCAGCTCAGAGTCCTCCGGAATTCGAGTGGTTGGGATGCTTACATGGCATTCGACACGGTGGGATCTTCTTCTACGGAAGCAAACGAAGCAACCAGCTCTTCGGGCCAGGGCATCGTCTGGCATGTGTGCTTGTTCATGAAAACTTGGATGGCTGCTTGATACTCCGCAGATGAGACGGTGCCTTCTCTCTCATGCTTCAACACCATCTCCTTAAACTCTGCCGGAAACGCTTCCAGATATCCCAGCATACTCTCGTCCCACAGTTGCTCCGAGGGTGGAGAGCTGGATATGACTAGACGATGAAGGCCAGGAGGTTGGCGCTGGGCGACGTAGTCAGCAGCCAGCATCCCTCCCCACGAGTGCCCCAGAAGGTCAAAGTCGCTCTCGACACCAAGCTGCACGAGAAGGTTGTCGAGTTCGTCCATGAATAGTTCTGGGGTCCAGAATTCGGCGGGTTTGTCACGAAGATGGGTGGATTTTCCGATGCCGAGTTGATCGTAGAAGATGACTGGGATGCCGTATAGAGAATAAATCTCGGTGTGCGATATCATGTAGATGTGAGACATCCCGGGACCTCCATGGAGCGTGACGAGTGGCCGTTTGCCTGACTTGAGGTCACCGACGATGTTGTACCAGGTTTGGTATGTCTCGTCACCGACTTTGAAGTCGACAGTGCCCGTGGTACTATTCATCAGTGGGGTAGGCAACGTTATCTGGAAATATAGGCATTAGTCTATCAAATGAGGCTCGTTAATATAGCAGCTGTGTGAGAGACATGAGATCTTGAGACGCGGGATATATCATGGGTCCCTTCAATTGACCATCCATGTGGAATTGGCCTAGATTGCAAATATTGCATCTGGAAAGACGGAGGCCGAGGTCGGCCCGTTATGAACCATGACGTCTATAATAGGGACTACTTCGGCGCTTCACGTTGCAGATAGTCGATTACAGTACCACGGTTCAGTGCACCAAAATTATCTTCAACAGCTTCCCCACAGCCTTTGCGAAAACATGACTGACACGAATGACTCTTCTGCGATTCCAAATGCTATCATATGTGTGATTGATCTAGAGCAAGACAATACTTTCCGTGCTCTAGCAGCTACCAGTGGATACCTCAAAGCGCAGAGTCGGAACAAGATTCGCTTGGAATGTACGCAGTGTGAAACCGAAATGGACACAATGTTGCTCGAAGCTTAGTCAGTAGTCGTATATCTAAATACTGTTGTGAGAGTTCATCGAGTGTGACACAATCGCTTTCAGTATTGTATTGCTCACCAGAGGTAGGCCTTGCCACTGGAACGACACTGAAGCTTTGAAGTCTGAAGCGCTGACGCCGTGCATATGCAGTGCCACAAGAAAGACTGGTGAGAGCACTATGATCGATACAGATCGAAACCTTACCCCAAACCATAAGTTCCTATTCCACAACGACGGGATGGTAGAACACAGTAGGCCGCTGGAGCTAGAGAGAGTCATTGATAGTGCTGCGCCTATCATAGTGCTTGTTCGCGATCAAGAGCCTCGATAACTGCTGCGCGAAGGTTGCAGTAAAGGTTTCAAGGAACCATATGATTTTTTAGGCATCCGGTGTTCATCGATGCTATCATTAAGTCGAATGGAGCTGGCTTCGTTGGCACTCGTGGTTTCACGATGTCCACACTAGCTAGTCGCAGAGTACAGTCGTGGCATGACGGAGCGACTCAGCTCGTTAGATGGGTGTGGCCGGGCGCGGACGACCACTGATGCTGATCGGAATGGTAGAATCGAGACTACTTTGCGCTTCACAAATCATTCGCTACAATATTCTTGTATTTTATTTATTTATGGTGCGCATGATGGTCGTTCTCCAGCTCGAATCCACTGCAAGCGAAAGCAAGGTTAATTTTCTTGGTGCACAGTACTGGAAACGTTCCCTTCCTGACGGGGATCAACAATAAAAACGCACCAAGACATGCAGTATCATACTTTATACTAGTCTACAACGAGCTGTAAGGTGGGCGGTCATGAGACATAAGACTTGAGCTTGAAAGTTTATTGGAGAGGTGTGATACTCGCTTGATATCTCGGTAGGGCTTGAAACTGTGAAGACAAATGTCAGACGCATGTAGCCAGTGCAGTCGGTTATGACTGGTTGTGAGTAGACGGTGATGGCGAACTGCCTCGTGTCTTGGGCGTCTATGGAGACGAGGATGGTTAGCGTGGTGAAGCAACATAAAAACGCATAATACACGCACTTCTGTAACTTAGAGAAGGACACCCACAATCCCTCGGCCGTGCTCAACCATCAACCTCCAGTGAAATGTCACAGCTCATTCCAAGCACCACACCCATTCGAACTATTGAAGATCATGAGAAGAACATAAATGCAGTCGCAGTGTTCCCCGATAAACGACGAATGATTACGGGTTCGTACGACAAGACACTTCGTCTTTGGGACTTGGAGACAGGTGTTGTGTTGAAGAAGATGGAAGGGCATAGCAGGGAGGTGCAGGCATTGGCGGTGTCACGAAACGGTCAAATAATAGCAAGTGGTGATTTTGGTGGAGAAGTCATCGCCTGGCACGGAGAAACTGGCGAATCCATCACCCAACCCATCAAAGCCCACTCCAGACAGATCAGCTCGGTGGCGTTTTCTCCGGATGGAATGGTGCTGGCCACTGGTTCATGGGACGAGACGGTCAAGTTTTGGAGTACCAAAACGTGGCAGATGCAAGGAGATCCAATCAAGTGTGGCAGTTCTGTCTTCTGCGTTCGATATTCGCCTTCTGGTGAACTTCTTGCCATCGCAACAGACAAGAATATCCAAATTTATAATCCAGGCACAAGGGAACGCGTCGCATCTTTGACAAGTTTCAGTTTATCATGGAAGACGTCACTCGCGTGGACGCCCGATGGCACACGCCTTCTTTCAGGAGGCGGTAGATCCATACGAGAGTGGGACACATCAACCTGGCAGCAGGTCGGTCATCCCTGGGAAGGCCACACTGATTATATCTACGCCATTGCCATTCATCCCACTGGCAGCCTCGTCGCTTCTGCATCTGATGACAAGCATGTCCGTCTCTGGCGGCTCTCAGATCAACGAACCATCGCCGTCTTCCAGCATTCATCTCCCACGATATGTGTCACGTTTTCTGTGGACGGCAAGCACATCCTCAGCGGAGGTTATGACAATCAGATCTCAGAGTGGGTAGTACCGAAGAACGTTTATTCACAGGCGAGTTTCCATTTCTGACTCTCATTACACAATTCGAGCATCTTTCGTGCAGATCCTTGATATCACAACAGCCCGCGATGCATGTTTAGCTGGGGACTTGTCTATCACTGAAGAGCTCCTCACTCAAGAGATCCACACCAACGCCAACGACGTTATTTCATATGCCCATCGTTCGTTCGTTATGGCCCGGAAGCACGACTGGGACAACGCTCTTGATGATGCAATCAAGGTGAAATTGACTCACCCATCATTGTCCCCCGGCTAACTTTCATCCGTGACACAGTCAATCAACATTGGGCCGTCATTGATAGGCTTCATCTCCAAAGGCATCGCCCTCTGCGGAAAAGGTCACGTCCGGGAAGCAAGGATAGCATTCGACGTCGCATCCATGTTCACCAACCAAGATTCAGAAACCAACCAATTTCTTCTCCTGATCAAGGTACATTTAATTCATCTCCCATGCCATTTGCTTCATCTGGTATTCCAGGCCATCGCACTCTTCAACGCAGATCAACACGAGGAAGCAATGCTGCTCATCAAAGACCTGGCTGTCGCTTGTCCCAATGTCGATCCTCTCGCGCGTCGTGTCGTGGAAGTAAGTATCATGTGGCCACACTCGATCATCAATCCTGATCTTTTCAACTTACACAATAGACATATCTACGTGTTCAGCTCGGAATCAAAGCTTTCGATGGCGCGCGTCACGACGAAGCCGCCGATCACTTCACCACCGCTGTCAACTCGGGCGCTTTCTCATCAAAATTCATGCCTCAAATGTACGAGGACTTGACTATGGTGTGTCAAGATGATGCATACATAATGCTTTCCATAACCTAGTGCTTTGTCCAGCTCTTCGGCTGGGATCTCAAGTCCTTGTTGCTAACTACACACCAGAAACGGTGTCAGGCATTCTTTTCGGCAGGAAAACTCGACGAAGCCCTCGAAGCACACAAATACATGATGGGCGCCATCGACGACATCGCGAAGGCCAGCTGTCTCGATTGGTCCAACGGCAAGTCTTCCGTCGTGTCACCCACGACTATCATGCTCACCCGCACGTCACTCAGAGTTCAAGGAGAAATGCAGCACGCTCGCCGCGGACAACGACCGTATTCTTGGTGTATGTGCCTCTTTCCTTACCTCTTTCGATACTGACTATTATGCAGGCAGAGATCCCCGGGCAAGAGCAAGATGGCTATGATGCAGATCCCAATTTCTTCTATAGAACGCATCAAGTGCGTGCAAGAGCGTATCCTTCTGTTCTCTTACTCATAATTCATCACAGCATTCTCAGATTTCCAGGCCAAGACTTCAACAACGCCCTGGGCGCCTCAAAAGAGTCAGACTCGCTATGACGAGGAGGCCTCAGGAAGCCCCTGCCCCTACACCACCCACCACCTCACCACCAGTCGCTGTCACCATCACCATCAAAACTCATTTACAACACCTATTCTCCCGGTCACCCCATCATGCAACGCCCCCCGTTGTTGATGTTCCATTCACGAAGGCTAAAGAGGTGGGCCAGGTCGATTCTTATCAGCGTATCCTGGTTTTCTAATGCGTAGATCTACAGCGTCATGTTGCTGCGGGTGCTCCTGGCCCAGACCCGGACATCGTACCTGATGAATATTTCGATACTACTGAACCGGACCCTGACACGCAACAGCAACAACACCAGCAAGCAGTAGCAGTACATACAGACCCTGGCGAACATGGAGGCGGAAAGTCCTGTGTCTGCTGCTAGCGCGTTTTTGCATGTCTCTCGAATACTTCAGTCATATCGTCGAACTTGTTATGATATCTTTACTGACTCGAAGCAGTATCTCCATAATTTTCGCCATCTTCGGTTCATCGTTAAGTCGTACCTTGAAATCTACTCTGGGCAATTTCTTTCTTAATTCGCGTGCTATGTGACGAAAGTCAATGTAATTATTCGAGCGGAATTGGCTATGTGACACTAGTGAAAGTACTGATCAATAATCATAACTCGCAGCTAACTTAAACGTTGACAGGACTCCCATAATCACACTACGCCTGGCATTCAAGCAGTCCCTGCAGCCAGGTACTCCGTGCCCATATTATCCTTCATGTGCTGATCTCTAGTGTTGTTTCATCTTCCTTCTGCATCACTCACCCTCTTAGCTCTGACTTTTCTCTCGCATTCGCAACGAGTGAAAATGCAGCAAAGCACTGTGACAGTAGGCAAGGTTACCCATCAAAATGAACGTTTGGCGCATTCGAACACTCGGAGTCCGTTGCGTCCATGTCCTCATTTTATCCGCACGTGAAAATCAGGTGGTTATGGTGGCGTAGAGCGAAGATGATATTCCTTTATGCATCTGGTCGAGATGAAAGCACATTTCACGCCCATTACTGGGCGCTGTAAACCGGTGCAAGACAAGGACTAGTTGAAGCATCGTTAGGTTCCCATCATCGCTTGACTCAGCCTGCAAAAACATGTTGATCTTATGTTCTCAGGAATCCCTATCGATTCTACGCTAATTGCTCCAGGTCTTGATAATTTAGATGATTTGGGTGAGTGATTATTGTTTGTTGTGAATGGTTTTACAAATATTCAAATACGTCCTAGCAAAATGATCATGAACTCATCCGAAAAGACGTCCATGACGTTATACACCAGATCCAAGACAAGTGTATTGAGAGCGATCTATATCACAAGGTATGTGGTCGTCATGTATTGTAGCTATCGATTTGCATCGAGCTTATTTCTGCCAAAGTTACTAGGACTCTCGAGTATTTGATTTCTCAGTACTTCCTAGACTCGATCGTAATGGGCAGGAGAGGCCAGCGCAGCATGATGCAAGAGTAAGTCAACGAACCACTTCCGACGTCGTCCCGGTTCCTTACAAGAACTAGGGCGATTTGATATACCTCGCTCTCATAACAGAACGTATACCCATAATCCCAAAGTTCCTCTCTAACCATATCGACCCAAGCGCACTTCCATTTGTTTTCGGGGAAGTATTTGACGTCCCTCGACTCGGTCAAGCCATAGGGATCCACTTGCTTCAATGGCACGAAGTCAAGGATCCAGAAAGTCGGGTTCTCGATGATGTTGGTTGTTGGACTGTCTGGGAAATCGTTCAACAGCGCATCGAGATTTCTGAACCACGACGTCTCCTCAGCACGAGGATTCCTCTTCCTCCGTACGATCACATATTATGCTTCAATTTTCTTCACTATATAAGCGCTCATCACACACGAGACTGTATTCTCCCGCATGGAGATTTGTAGGCCAACACATGCGATGGACTGCAAGCATGGAAAGATTGCCGATGCGCATGCCCGACGCGCCATGAATGAACCAACACCTCCCGTGAGTGAAAGTTTCGGACATAGGTTGCTCTACAAATCTAACTTTTGATAGTATATATCGATCCATATCATCGGCATGGCGACTTCAACCAGCAATGCGAGGAGTTTCCTGTGGATCAGTGCTTCGCCCCATTGTCTGTCATTGCGCGCAGGATGTCGAGGTGCAAGAGCACACGAAAAGAAATTAATGCTACACGTGTTATTACGACGAGCGACGAAAGGGACCCGGAATGGTGGTCAGATGTTGGGGCGTTGGCGCGGACGTGGGTAGATTATGCAGCGGAACGGACAGAGGAGATCTATGGAGAATGGTGAGCCCATTAGACGTCATGTTTTCATTCCAACTCAAGTTGTGGCTGTTACCAGGCGTCCGGTGTTCATCGATGCTATCATTCAGTCGAATGGAGCTGGCTTTGTTGGCACTCGTGGTTGCACGATGTCCACACTAGCTAGTCGCAGGTACAGTCGTGACATGACGGAGCGACACGGCTCATTAGATAGGGTGGCCGGGCGCGGACGACCACTGATACTGATGGGAATGATAGAATCGAGACTACTTTGCGCTTCACAAATCGTTCACTACATTTTTTTTTCATTTATGATGCGCATGATGGTCGTTCTCCGGCTCGAATTCACTGCAGGCGAAAGCAAGGTTAATCTTCTTGATGCACAGTACTGGAAATGTTCACTTCCTGACGGGGATCAATAATCAAGATGCAGGAAGACATGCAGATACTTTATACTGGTCTACATCGAGCGGTAAGGTGAGCGGTCATGAGACATAAGACTTGAGCTTGAAAGTTTATTGGAGAGGTGTGATACTCGCTTGATATCTCGGTAGGGCTGGAAACTGTGAAGACAAATGTCAGACGCATGTAATCAGTGCAGCCGGTTATGACTGGTTGGGGGCAGGCGGTGATGGCGAACTGCCTCGTGTCTTGGGCGTCTATGGAAACGAGGATGGTTAGCGTGGTGAAGCAACATAAAAACGCACAATACGCGCACTTCTGTAACTAAGAGAAAGACGCCCACAATTCCTCGGCCGTGCTTGACACCATCAACCTCCAGTAAAATGTCGCGGCTCATTCCAAGCACCACACCCATTCGAACTTTTGAAGATCATGAGGACTCCGTAAGGGCAGTCGCAGTGTTCCCCGATAAACGACGAATGATTACGAGTTCGGACGACAAGACACTTCGTCTTTGGGACTTGGAGACAGGTGTTGTGTTGAAGAAGATGGAAGGGCATAGCAATTGGGTGTATGCATTGGCGGTGTCACGAAATGGTCAAATAATAGCAAGTGGTGATGATGGTGGAGAAGTCATCGCCTGGCACGGAGAAACTGGCGAATCCATCACCCAACCCAGCAAAGCCCACTCCAGACAGATCAGCTCGGTGGATTTTTCACCGGATGGAATGGTGCTGGCCACTGGTTCATGGGACGAGACGGTCAAGTTTTGGAGTACCAAAACGTGGCAGATGCAAGGAGATCCAATCGAGTGTGGCATCGATGTCCTCTGCGTTCGATATTCGCCTTCTGGTGAACTTCTTGCCATCGCAACAGACCAGAATATCCAAATTTATGATTCAGGCACAAGGGAACGCGTCGCATCTTTGACAGGTCACGAATCATGGAACGCGTCACTCGTGTGGACGCCCGATGGCACACGCCTTCTTTCAGGACACACAAATCACATATTTGAGTGGGACACATCAACCTGGCTGCAGGTCGGTCATCAATGGGAAGGCCACACTAAGACTATCTACGCCATTGCCATTCATCCCATTGGCACCCTCGTTGCTTCTGCATCTTATGACAAGCATGTCCGTCTCTGGCGGCTCTCAGATCAACGAACCATCGCCGTCTTCCAGCATTCATCTCCCACGAAATGTGTCACGTTCTCTGTGGACGGCAAGCACATCCTCAGCGGAGGTTCTGATAGCAAGATCTCAGAGTGGGCAATACCAAAGGACGCTCATCACCATTCAAAGGCGAGTTTCCATTTCTGACTGTCATTACGCAATTCGAGCATCCTTCGTGCAGATCCTTGACATCACAACAGCCCGCGATGCATGTTTAACTGGGGACTTGTTTATCGCCGAAGCGCTCCTCACTCAAGAGATCCACACCAACGCCGACAACGTTATTTCATATGCCAATCGTTCGTTCGTCATGGCCCGGAAGCAAGACTGGGACCATGCTCTTGATGATGCAATCGAGGTGAGATGGACTGACCTATCATGACCCTTTTACGAAAGGCTAACTTTTACCCGTAACGTAGTCCATCAACATTCGGCCATCATTGATAGGCTTTATCTCTAAAGGCATCGCCCTCTGCGGAAAAGGCCACGTCCGGGAAGCAAGGATAGCATTCGACGTTGCATCCATGTTCACCAACCAAGATTCAGAAACCAACCAATTTCTTCTCTTGATCAAGGTACATTCAATTCGTCTCACATGCTCTCTGCCTCATCTTGTATTCCAGGCTATCGTACTCTTCAGCGCAGACCAACACGAGGAAGCAATGCTGCTCATCAAAGACCTGGCTGCCGCTTGTCCCAATGTCGATCCTCTCGCGCGTCGTGTCGTGGAAGTGAGCATCATGTGGACACACTCGATCATCAATCCTGATCTTTTCGACTCACACAATAGACATATCTACATGTTCAGCTCGGAATCAGAGCTTTCGATAGCGCGCATCACGACGAAGCCGCTGATCACTTCACTGCCGCTGTTAACTCAGACGCTTTCTCGTCGAAATACATTCATTTCCTATACCAGGACTTGACCGTGGTGCGTCGACATGATGCATACATAATGCTCGTCATAACCTACTGCTTTGTCCAGCTCTTCGGCTGGGATATCGAGTTCTTGTTGCTCACTGCACACCAGAAACGGTGCCAGGCATTCCTTTCGGCAGGTAAACTCGACGAAGCCCTCGAATCACACAAATACATGATGGACGCCATCGACGACATCGCGAAGGCCAGCTGTCTTGATTGGTCCAACGGCAAGTCTTCTGTCGTGTCACCCACGACTATTATGCTCACCCGCATGTCAATCAGAGTTCAAGGAGAAATGCAGCACGGTTGCTGCGGACAACGACCGTATTCTTGGTGTATGTACCTCTTTCCTTACCTCTTTTCGATACTGACTATTATTATGCAGGCAGAGATCCCCGGCCAAGATCACGATGGCTACGATGCAGATCCTAATTTCTTCTATGGAACGCATCAAGTGTGTGCACGAGTGTATTCTTCTGTTCTCTCGCTCATAATTCATCACAGCATTCTCAGATTTCCAGGCCAAGACTTCAACAACGCCCTGGGCGTCTCAAAAGATTCAGGCTCACTATGACGAGGAGGCCTCAGGAAGCTCTAGCACCTGCACCTGCACCTGCACCTGCACCACCCACCACCTCACCACCCACCACCTCACCACCATCAAAACTCATTTACGACACCTATTCTCCCGGTCACCCCATCATGCAACGCCCCCCGTTGTTGATGTTCCATTCACGAAGGCTAAAGAGGTGGGTCAAGTCGATTCTTATCAGCGTATCCTGGTTTTCTGATGCGTAGATCTACAGCGTCATGTTGCTGCGGGTGCTCCTGGCCCAGACCCAGACATTGTACCTGATGAATATCTCGATACTGCCGAACCGGACCCTGACACGCAGCAGCAGCAGCAACCACACCAACAAGCAGTAGCAGTACATACAGACCCTGGCGAACATGGAGGCGGAAAGTCCTGTGTCTGCTGCTAGTAGGTTCTTGAATGTCTCTCGAATACTTCGGTTATATCGTCGATCTTGTTATGATATCTGTATTGACTTGAAGCAGCATTTTATTGATAGGTGATTGATTAATCGGTACATCCTTTAGATTATTTAGAGAGATTTTCCTCCGCAACCAATATGAACCTTCCATCCTGCATCTGTAAAGCTTGACTTGCGTATCAGTTGCTGAATGTGAGTTATTGTGCGCGTGTCCAACCAGAGCCATTCCGCATTCAAACATCTCTTGTTGACTGTACAAACTGTACAGTGGCAGGACGTACAGCGGTTCAAGTCTTCAGCGGCATCATTCTATACAACACCTCGTGTCAGCACTCCCATTCACATCGAGAATCTGCCCTAGCGTGTCTGACCTTTGAAAAAAAAATAGTCAGACGTCAATAGCGCGCTGGAATACTAGATCAGCGACTGGAGGATGCGAGGGAGAAATGGTGACCGGAAGTATGTGACTCGGACTTGCGTAGTCACTACGTTAACGTCAATTTTGACACAAAAGCATGCTCTTATCTGGCGCCAAAGCTTGCTGCATATGTGGCTGATGGTTCTGGGAGAAGTGGAACGAGGTCCAAGAGAACAAGCATATTGAAGGTAGAACCGTCTGTGTTGTCTTCCGAAGTATGAGGATGAGCGCGTGATCTTCTGTCAGTATTCATTGTGAGAAGTTCACAAGCCAGTGCAGGCTCCGATCCCACAGAATAGAACCTAACGTTCAACTGTCTGGTGGGCGAGACGCTCATTTCGGCATGATTGGCGTTCGTTGGCGCTCAAAGCTGGTAATATCAAACATTCACTAATGCTGTTAATATCCTTGACAGGTTGCCACCAGAACACACATACATTGTCGCTAGGTTAGATAGCTCTCATCGTGTGTGTTTTATCTCTGCTACGGTGTGCCTGCTCCCCTCTGGGGGACCGGTTGATGACGACGGCCTGCTATATTCAATGTTTTGCATTCTCCATCTTGAGTCATAGCGGTCGACGATGATTGGTTTGAGACCAAGAGGAATTTGTTGAACGTTCTGAAAGGAGAGTTAGACAGAGTCGCACCGAGATCAACTTTACGAGGGATCGATGAAGAGTGTATCGTACTTTGATAAAGTACACATTTCATGATAGGAAGAAACGAGAAACACAGCAGGCACGAGTTACTCACAAAACCAAGATTGTGGTGACAGTAAAGCGCAGTACTCCTTGTGCATCGGAAGCTTCTCAAGAATTATCGTCGCAGACTTTGCATATTCCATGAAGGCTTCGTCAAGTTCACCAGCCTCGGCATATATTCTACCACCTTTGCAGGCGTTGCCCATCCCCACTATGAGCTCCCAGGAGTATCTGACATAAGCACGGGACTTTCCTAGCCGCCGGCATCTATGAATAGATCAGGAACTTCATCGGCACTATGTCCGGATGTGTCAGGTTATTGGTTATTGCCAGGTAAGCTTGCAATTGCAAAGGCACATAGATATTCACATTTGTTCGTACTGGCAGGGAATTGCTGGAAGCCCCTCGACTTAGACCCGACACACCGACACAGTGGTATGTCTAACAGGCCTAACAACGTGGGAGCCTCAGGTGTATCTAATACCCAGGCAGGACTTCTGGAACTGAACGCGTTCAGTTCACTTGCATCCATGGGAAAGTTCACAGCTGAACGTACGCTAACTTTAATAAACGTGCACTGACCAGCAGAACACCGATTCGGCCCATACCAGACGTTTTCTCTTTTCTCCCACCTACTTCTTACACCATCACTTCGCTTACAGTAATCGACTACTCGTGATGAGTGAAGACCATACACCAGATCCTCCTGCAGAAACCTGCGAGGCACCCGTTCGTGAAAACTCGGTATGTAGTCTCAAGGGCTTACTCAATGTGGATGAGCGCTCATGGAATTCATCGCTGCTTCTGACGCTTTCTTCGTCCAGAGCCGACCCCGCAGTGGAGTCAAGCAGACTATTCGGAAATTTGCAAAAGGCGTCACCAAGAGACTTCTTGTGAGTAGCTGCTAGGTTTCCTGATTCGGAATATAGCTGATATTGTGCAGAAACCCTTCAAGTTTTCCGGCAACCGCATTCCTGCGAACCAGAACATAGACCTTCAAGATGCTTCAACCACTGTGGTCCAGAACGTCGAAATGGAAGGGGCTTCATCAAGTCAGAAAAACGAGGTAAGCGCTCGAATTTGCCATCCTAGTCCTTTGGTTTTCTTAGAGGTGCCTCTATTCTTTCAACGACAACAAGCATCTCGCCACATCTCACATTCCCAGCGACTCCGTGAACCAAGGGCTGCCTGGAGAGCCTGCTTCACAGGTATTTTCGTCAAGTACTTAGATTTTCTTCTCTAATTTCGGCGATGGTTCAGGCTGCTCCTTCTGGCGAGGAGGAAGGTCCTGATACTCAATTAGTCGACGCTGAACTTCAGGGTGCCTGCGATAGTGCACAAAGCATGGGATTACTCGGGAAACATGCGACTTCTGTGGCATCCGCCGCCGACAATGCCCCAGCGAGTCTCGATGCCGCGGATAATTTTGAGACGACGTATCTCCAACCCCTAAAGATAATTGATGATGTCCTTGACAAGATCGCGGATGTATGAGTTATTCTTGTCCATTGGAAGCGAACTGATCAAGTTGTATAGGTACATCCTTACGCAAAGATGGCGCTGGGCGTGCTGTCTGCTGCATCCAAAGTATGTTTCATTTCTCCTGGAGTGCAGTCTCCTGCTCACAAGTCATAACTCTCTGTAGATTATAATCGCTCAAGCGGAACGCGACAAATCGATATATAGTCTTCTCAAGAAATTGGCTGAAGTTTATCGCTTCATGACTTTAGATGACAATCTTGGCAAGATCGAATCGATGCGCGGTATCGTTAGAAAAATCGTTCAGCAGACTCAAGAGTGTGCCCGTTTTATCAGGGACTACTCGGAAACAAAGAGCTTTTGTACGTCACCAAGCTATCGCACTTCGTCCATGAATCTTACACTATTATCATAGGGAAGAGAATCGGGAAAAACGTTCTGTCAGAAACTGACGATACCATCAAACAGTACAATGACACTTTGGACGACCTTATGCAGCAATTCCGGGACCGAGTTGATCGGGACGTGGCCGTCTTCGTCCAACGTACGGGTAAGGGGTTTGACATGCTTTTGTCTTTGCATTGATTCATAGCCTTACAGGTGAAACACTCGATCTCAGCGGAATGGTTTATGCAGGGGGCGCAGGGGTAGTTACTGGGAAGCAATGTCTGTCAGGCACTCGCACGGACATCCTCTCCCAAATCACCAAGTGGATCAACAACAGCGAAGAGTCTGTTCCACGCGTAATGTGGATATCCGGTCCTGCAGGCAAGGGCAAATCAGCCATCGCGCACACGATCGCCAACTGGTTCAAGGAAACGGGAGGCCTCGGTTCATGTTTTTGTTTTGACCGGCACAGAGAAGGAGATCGTCGTCATGAAAAGATTTTCTCCACCATCGCGCGTGATCTTGCTGATTGTGATCCAGGGATGAGACGAGCGTTAGCGGATGCGGTCGAGAATGCCACCTCGCTCAAGAACACTACGGACATTATCCAGCAGTGGCGCGAGCTTCTCATGGGACCGCTGAAGAAGTTCCCTGCGTCAAGCGTGGGGCCTGTCTTGATCGTGATCGATGCGCTGGATGAGAGCGGGGGAATAGAGACGCGGCAGGACCTTCTCCGCATACTTGCCGGTAAACTTCAGAACAAAAAAGTTCCCCAAATCACCGAACTCCCTTCCAACTTTCGGATTCTCGTCACCTCTCGCCCGCTTCTCGATATCGAAGAGGGGTTTAAAGGCGCTGGACATATTCTACGGTTGTCCATGGACGATATTTCACCAGAAGTCGCGAAGTCCGACATTCAGGCGTTCGTATCTGAGGAGCTGAAAGAGCTATCAGAATTTCAGGACAAAGAGTTCGCAGATCTCGCTGGGAAAGCCGATGGACTTTTCGAGTGGGCGCGTCTCGCCTGCGAATACATCAAAAATCCCCCTCTAGGTGTATGCCACATGGATCGCTTCGATGCCCTCGTAAACCGCAGTGCCGGAAAGCAGAAAAACCTGCTATACGAGATGTATCTGGTCATTTTGAAAGAAATTATGAAAAGAGATCGATACGACGATGACGAGCAGTATGAGAAAGCATTAGCAGGGTTTCGCTCCGTGATGGGACAAATACTCGGCACAGCTGAGCCACTCCCTTTCAATTCCCTTAATATCATGCGGAAATACTTTCCAGACCGAAGCAAGCATGACAACATGAACATTATTAAGCATATGGGATCTCTCCTCAGCGGCACCACCAACTCGTGTACTCCCATCCGACCCCTTCACGCATCTTTCCACGACTTCCTGACAGACAGGTCATCCAGCGGAGCCTTTTTCGTCGAAGTGTCCAAGGTACAGCGCGACCTTGCATTTGCGTCGCTACGAGCGATGGAACATGGCCTTTGCTTCAACATCTGTGGTTTGAAGTCATCTTACCTCCCTAATTCCCAAGACACGGAGCTGCCCGAACGAGTCAAAACATCCATTTCCCCACATTTGTCCTATTCCTGTCGATATTGGGCTACGCATGTTCAGACAACGGACTTCGACGACGAGCTCACAAAGGAAATAAGATCACTCTTCGACGACGAGCGACTGATGTTTTGGATCGAAGCACTCGGACTTCTCGATGCAATCAGCGGTGCAATTTCTGTGCTTCCACTCCTTGCGAAGTGGCTGAAGGTGAGCACATGCCTGTGAGGCAGGGTCGGACGAACGGCTCATACATATATACAGGACCATTCTGGATGCGAAGATTTGCGGTCCGCCACGATGGATGTACAAAGATTCATGCAAGTGTTTGGTGGCATGATTTTGCACAGCACACCCCATCTGTATTTATCAGCCCTCCCATTCTCACCCGTCAACTCTACGATGCCTACCAAATTCACACCCAGGTTTCCGAATACCCTTCGTGTGGTATCCGGCCGCGATTTGAACTGGACGGTTGTTCAGGCCATAATCACGGGGCACACTGGCGTGGTTTTGTCAGTCTCGTTCTCACCGGATGGTACTCGCATCGCGTCTGGTTCATTCGATAAGACCGTGCGGCTGTGGAATGCAGCGACAGGACAGCCATTGGGTGAGCCCTTGAAGGGGCACACTGGCGCGGTTTACTCAGTCTCATTCTCACCGGATGGTACTCGCATCGTGTCTGGTTCATGGGATAACACCGTGCGGCTGTGGAATGCAGCGACGGGACAGCCATTCGGTGAGCCCTTGAACGGGCACACTGGCCGGGTTTACTCAGTCTCGTTCTCATCGGATGGTACTCGCATCGCGTCTGGTTCGCAGGATAAAACCGTGCGGCTGTGGAATGCAGCGACGGGACAGCCATTGGGTGAGCCCTTGAACGGGCACACTGGCGCGGTTTATTCAGTCTCATTCTCACCGGATGGTACTCGCATCGCGTCTGGTTCATTCGATAACACCTTGCGGCTGTGGAATGCAGCGACGGGACAGCCATTGGGTGAGCCCTTGAACGAGCACACTGGCCGGGTTTACTCAGTCTCGTTCTCACCGGATGGTACTCGCATCGCGTCTGGTTCGGAGGATAACACCGTGCGGCTGTGGAATGCAGCGACAGGACAGCCGTTGCGTGAGCCCTTGAACGGGCACACTGGTGCGGTTTACTCAGTCTCGTTCTCATCGGATGGTACTCGCATCGCGTCTAGTTCGCAGGATAAAACCGTGCGGCTGTGGAATGCAGCGTCGGGACAGCCGTTGGGTGAGCCCTTGAAGGGGCACACTGGCCCGGTTTACTCAGTCTCATTCTCACCGGATGGTACTCGCATCGCGTCTGGTTCATTCGATAACACCGCGCGGCTGTGGAATGCAGTGACGGGACAGCCATTCGGTGAGCCCTTGAACGGGCACACTGGCATAGTTCGGTCAGTCTCGTTCTCATCGGATGGTACTCGCATCGCATCTGGTTCGGACGATAACACCGTGTGGCTTATGAAAGTGCCGCCATCCCCCGAGTCCACAGAGTCAGATCCCTCTGCATCTCCACCGCATGGAAGTGCCGCATCTCTTACTCAAGAAAGTCGTATCACCCCAATCAACACTTATGACCATCCCCCCATTTCCTTCTCTCCCTGTGTGAAACACGCCTTGCCCAACTCTGCTGACTTGCTCGAACCCACCTCTGATCATCATTCTAATTCATCCCCTTTCTTGCTCCAGCCCGATGGATGGATCATGGGACCCAAATATGAGCTCCTTTTCTGGGTACCTCCCGGGGCCGCTTCCCGACGCTTGTTTTATTCTCCCGACACTGCAATGGTGATTCCGAGAGGAGGCGTTGAGCTTGATTTGAGCTCCATGGCACATGGCATGCGCTGGTCGAGTTGCCGAGACGCGTGAGTTTTTAATCTTTACCATCTGTCCTCGCGGTTGCTAACATCAATCTCTCCAGTTCCACGTAACAATGAGTTTATTGCTGCAAAATTGAGTGTACCATTTAATTCTATGATTGCCTTCCTAAGTATATTGAGCACCGATCCTGAATTTATGGTTGTCCGACTGAACGATGCACTGAACAGGAGACTGCAATGTTGCTGCTTATTCGTAGCGAAAACGGAAACGCCCTGTGTCACAGGTGCTTCGGTATTCCTGATCTCATCACCATCAATCTCGATCCAAGTGTGTGTGATGAAGCGGCTCAACCCCGCACATACAAAGACATAAGGACGTGCTGGCGCATCGGCAAAACTTGGCAAAGTGGCCTCAACCTAATGATGATGCTACCTGCGACAACGCCGCTCAGATCTACCCCACTGACTAATGATGGAGCCTATGGATATTTAAATCATTGTGGGTTTACGGGCCGTAGATTTCACACAGTTCCATAGCTCTGCACACCCGCTTCTTGCTAGTGAACAAAGCAATGTGCATGCCATCCCTTCAAGTGTTTCGTCATGCGAACATGCAAGGCTATGGCTCTGATCGTGGCCCTTGACGTTATCGTCTCTTTCCAGAGCACGAGCTACGTGCCCAGATCCTGGTACGCTGCATAACTAATATCTCAACCGACGGAAGGGCGCCACCAAGGAGCCTTGGCGCTTCTCTCCAGCCTCACGTTAGTTCAGTCAACGAGGCCAGGTATCTAATCATGGATTTAAGCCTTCCAAACGGTGTCTGGAACTTGAACTGTGTCTTCGATGGTGCGTGTTTAGTATGGGCCACCACAAATGCATCTTCCCCCTCGCATCTCATTAAACAATACAACATCTCCTATGCAGGGCATGGAGGGCATGAAACAGCTGACTACCTTGTCGCCGAATTGCCCTCCCTTTTAATGGCTGGATTGTTGCCTACAGTGACCAACTTGGAGGGCGTTTCAGATGTTCTCACCAGAGCGATTTTTGACGTGGATGAAGCAATAAAACGGGACTTCCTCAAAATATTCCCTGAAGAAGTCGACGAAATCGCTACGATGTCAGACATAACAGTCAAAGCGCGGGTCAACGACCAGTTTTCCGGAGGACTAAATCATCAAAAAGCCCTACGTTGCTTGAGGGGATCTACGATCTTATTAACGCTCGTCGACCCTACAAAGAAACATCTTTGGGTGCTAAATCTCGGTGATGGCTTAGTGGGTAAGCCGAGGTGAAGGTTCAAGCGGAAATCACTGACATCGACTTTGGAGCAGCGCTCGGAAGTAAACGAGACGCGAGTTCACAATGGAATGCATCCATCTTGAGCGATAATTACAATGGCAACAACCCTGCTGAGGCCGATCGCATCAAACAGCAACACCCTGGCGAACCAGAATTCATCTTCGATGATAGAGTGCTCGGTAATCTTGCTGTCACGAGAGGTAAGTCTACCGAATGTATTAGGCTAGATCAGCTGATCTCACTGTGATGCGGCGTCAAGCTGTTGGCGACCAGAGCTTCAAACTGCCTCGCATCTACACTGAGAAAATATTTTTAAATGTAGAACCTGGATTTCGTGTCCCTGCTGCGATTGAGTCTTTCATTCGACGAAATCTGAGCCCACCATACGTCTCGAATATTGCAAGCGTTCGTTATCTCGACCTTCATGAGCAGTCAAACTGCGACTGCTTTATCTTAATGTGTTCCGACGGGCTGGTTGACCTTTACATGGATGACCCAGATCACGTCGAATCCCTAACATCTCTCGTCCAGAAGTGGGTGGGAATAGTAGGTGACGTCGTGAAAGACGACGTTCAGGAGGCAATGCTGCGCTTGTTAAGACACGCTCTGGGCGCAGAAGACATCGACAGAGTTCTCATGTATGCTTAACATAGACATGCCTGTTCCTTACATGGATGATACGACTGCCATCTTACAAGTGCTGTAGTATCCGATACCAAGACGTGTGCATGTATGGGGTAACGGATGCGGATTGTACAGATGCCAAGTGTCAGAAATGCTGCGTTTGTAAATTAGAGATAAAAGTCAGGAAAACGTCTACGCATCATCGCAGATCCACGATCTCCAGCGGGATGTCTTTCATTTGCACGTGCCCCTTGTCTGCGTCCTAAACAACTGATCAATAGCTGTGGACGAACCACTCCAGAAGCTACGCACTGTGTAGATCGGCACCTCTGGGTGCGGGTGGAAGGCTTCCTTAACATTGCAGTCTAAAATCGTTTGCAAGCCTGGGGGGTCGGTGAGGCGGAAAATTCCAAAGCTAACCGTGAAAAGAATTAAGACACGAGTGGTATGAGCAATGAGGTACGCACTTGGGAGAGAATTTGGGGGCGCAAACAACGGCAAAGGACTCCGGAAGCATACGCTGAAATCCAGAATGCGTATGTAGATCAACCGACGACATAAAGCCTTCGTAAAGGGCCAGTAAGCAAGAGGTTCTGTGCTAAATTGAAGGACCCACAAGATTGTGAAGGATGCGTGTGAATCTAACGAAGATAGTTAGACGCAGATACACAGGACAGCCGGAGGAAACATACCCATCCCAAGGTAATCAAAGATCGTTCTTCCGTGAATTGCAGGACGAGCTCTTCCTCATCCATAGTGCAGGTATCGCTTGTCGAGTGTTGCCTTGGAATCAAGAGTGTCGTGACAGTAAATTTATTTCCCTTGTCTTTTCCAAGCAATAGTCCACAAGTTTCGCGATTTCGCACCGTATTCAGCGATGCGATAGACAGGAACCGCGGAAGGCATTCTCGTGGCAAGCTCACAGTCTTCAGGTCGGGTACTTGGACGGGATCGCTGGCTTTACGAGTGATCCGTGCAGACTCTTGTGAAGCAGTCCGGTACCGGTCACCATCGATATGACGTACGGGAGCGGGTGGGGGTGGAGGCGCAGCCTGAGGAGCTCGTGAAAGAGAAGAATACGAGGTTGCAGAATCAAAGTAGACATCAGAAGTCGACCGCGTCGTATTCTGAGAGTATGGGTATGGCGCCGGCTGACTCGGCAAGACGACCACGGATGGATCAGGAAGTTGATTAGTAGAAAATTGAGAAGATTCCGGTACGAAAAGTAGGGAAGATCGTACAAGATTGGTGGGCTTGAGAGTGGGGTAATTAAACATTGATTGCAGAGAAGGTGCGTAGCCTTGCTTGAGCTGGTGTTGCGACATGAGTTCTGGGTATTGAATGTGTCCATCCGGTGGAACAGGTGATGTTGTGGTTACTGGTGCAGGATAAGACGGGCTGAAGGGATGATGAGATACGCACAACAGTGACGAGGAGATACTCACGTCTTCAAGCTTGTTGGAGTCGTAGCGCGGTTCCTGTATGGCCAAGTCTATAGATGTATAAATTCAAGATTCGAGGACGCTGACCTTGTTGGGCTCTCGATAGGCATAAGAAGAGGAGCAACGTCTTCATAAAATTGTGGATCGATAAAAGATGAACGCTGGGAGCTGCCTGCGGATGTTGCAAGCATGGGAGAAGGAACAACGCTACGGCGAGCCTCCCGCGCAGCAAACTCTGCTTCCTCTTGACGTTTTAGAATACCCTCTTGTTCCCGCCTGCGTCTTCGTCTAACTTCATCGTGTTCGTCTCTTCTGTGGTCTTCATGCTTCCTGAACTCGTCGTGATCTCTCCGTTTTTCCACAGCGCTCACAGGGGTCACGGGCTCAGGAGGGGTGCCTTCGCGATTGTAGTACGTCGAGTCGGACAACTGTGCGTTTGCAGCGCGCCTAGCGGCTGTCAATGCGTCTTCCTTTTTCTTGCTCCCGGTATCAATCTGTAGACGCGGTGGCTGTGTCTCGACTGATCGCATAGAATAACGTGCCTCATCTCCCCTTCGCTTTTCCTCACGCTTCCGTTCAGCATCTCTACGAACTGCTTCTTGTGCTAGCCATCCAGAATCGTCAAAGGGGGAGCGTCGACCATCATCTTGTCGCCTATACTCCGTGTGCCTGCTCCCCTCTGGGGGACCGGTTGATGACGACGGTCTGCTATATTCAATATTTTGCATTCTCCATCTTTCATAGCGGTCGACGATGATTGGTTTGATTTCACCCAGATCAAGAAGAATTTGTTGACCGTTCTGAAAGGAGAGTTAGACAGAGTCGCACCGAAATCAATTTTACGAGGGATCGACGAAGAGCATATCGTACTTTGATAAAGTACACATTTCATGATCGGAAGAGACGAGAAAGGCAGCAGGCACGAGTTACTCACAAGACCAAGATTGTGGCGTTGCGTGGGTGACAGTAAAGTGTAATACTCCTTGTGCATCGGAAGCTTCTCGAGAATTATCGTCGCAGACTTTGCATATTCCATAAAGGCTTCGTCAAGTTCACCAGCCTCGGCATGTGCTCTACCAGCTTTCCGGAAACCATCTGCTTTCTTGAGCCATTGCTTGAGACCTTTCGAAGGATCCCAAAGGTTGGAAAGAGCACGTTCTGAGAGCTCTGCAATTGTTGAAGGCCTCCGACTAGATGGGCTTGGTCGCGGAGAGGGTCGGGGCACATTTGCATAAGGCGAACTCATGATGGAACGAAAGCAAGAGCATCTAACCACCACCGCTCGTAACGTCCCGATATTTCGTACTTACCATATTTGGAACGAAATGCCTCCGTGTGGCTGTTCTGGTTCGTTGATTGGCCCGAGATTGGGCTTCTGGAACTTGGATGGACAATTGACCAAGTACTACATATATACACATTATCATCATACAACAAGATCAGCTTCTTGCGCAGCACGCCCCTTAGCTCCGAAGTCGATCTAACAATAGCTAACACCTTATTGTCAGCGACGAACAAACGATGCTAGGAGCATAATAATTTCGAAATGTCTATGTGAACATGGAGGGCGAGTGTGAAGGCAGAAGCACGTACAAATCTCTGGGAAAGCGTAGACTCTAGGTGAGATTACATTTTGCAAGGTTTCTCGAAGTTCAGAGTCAGCTGTGATAGTCGGTCTTTACTAGTTCCTATTCCGTAGACTCAAGTACAGTCGCTGTGGGTAAATCATATGGGGCACAGGGTATTGTAAAGGGTCCCCAGGTCCATTTCGCCGCAGCGTCGCTGTTCAGTCTCATTCGTCCAGAAGATACATGCTTACATTCTTGCCTCACAGGCCATGCGGTAGTTCTTCAAGCAAAATACACCAAGATCGAAATGCTTACGATGACGCATTTAAGCAGACACGTCATATCACTCGAACCGGTTTTCCGTCAGCCACATTTGTCGGGTTGTTCGTGGCACCTATTGATAGGGAAAAGCCTGGTCTCAGTGTCAGATGGCTACTCTGGTCAGTATGTGCTGTACATCCCTTAAACGCACACTTTTCCCTACATGCTACTTCCCCTTCTAGTGCCTCCCTCGATCTTGCAAGTCAGACTTGAATCCTAAACCTCTTCATTCGAACAGCCTCTGCTAGCAGAGTTTTGATCATACAAGCCATCGTAGTATGTACCCCTCAATGTCGGCGTCCCAGTGGGGTTCTCCCACTGCTCCCAGGAAAGCTCTGCTTATTCATGGGTTAACTGCATGGTCGGGTTCATGGGAGGGCCTCGCTCAGTTATTAGTAGCAGAAGGTCAGGTTTTATGATACCACGGCGATGATGCTCTGTTTTCAACATGCTCCATAGGATTCTTTGTCGTAGCGCCGAATCTCCTCGGGCATGCATGGAGACGAGGGACCGACTACCGTATGTCCACCCTTGCAGAGGATCTCCGACCATACTTCGTCAAAGACACATCCTACGATGTGATTATAGGTCACTCTCTTGGAGGCCCAGTGGCATTGTCGCTCTTGCAATTCTTGCCCAAAACGAAAGAAACGGCTATCATACTCCTCGATCCCCCTCTCGAGCTCGAGGGGACTGAAATGATTAAAAGTTGGATTCTGAATGAGGCTGTGACTATCAAAACCATCAAGGAGCTAGCTGATGATCGTGGTTGGTCACGACGTGACTGCATGTTACATGTATTATCAGTTTTAATGTGCGACCGTACCACGGTCGAGGGAATCTTCTCGGTAAGATTGCAACTTGTGGACATGGTGAATGTTGCTGACACTTCTGATGTTGTTATGAACAGCATAACGAGCCATGGTCTTTCAGTGGCCTGCTCAGAAACATCCCCCCTCATGTGAAGATCACCGTGCTGGCATCAGATCCGAAGGTCGGCGCCTTTTGTGATCCGGAGCACATCCCTTGTGACGTTGAGAGACTGAGTGTCAGAGTTCTTCCAGGCATCGGCCACTGCATCCAATGCGAGGATCTAGATGCTATCATGGACTCAATCCAACTACCAAAAGCGAAGCTTTGAGAGGTGCGAAGGAGAAGCGTGTTTCGTGGTTTCATGGCCAATTCTATGTCTAGGACTTTCTGTTGGAACCTAGTCTCGGCTCGTACATGAGGGATCGCAAAGCATACAGTAGTCCAACTATCCCAAGATATCAGTCTCATGCTTGAAAGAAAGATACAATGTTCCCTTGCTATTGCTGCAGTTCAACTTCGTCGAGTTTACTATGGGTCCACGTCAAGCGGTATCACCTTGGACCGCTTTCGACTCGATAGCATTGTATTTTTGATGACAACGTTCTCGCTCACCATTACAACCATGCGATCGCTGGTATAACATCCCTACCACAGACCTTACCGACAATCCCCCAAGGCTTGAGCCTGTGAGAGAGCTTCGACAGCGAGTTCATGCATGGAATCATGTAGTACGATACATGCATGTGAGAGAGAACAGTGTTGATAATAACACTATCGGTCACCATCAGACAAACCATGCCAAAAGTTAGTAGCGCCATATCTCTGGCATTCAGCGGTAACAGCCTCCATCGGGAGGTATGAGAAGTGGAGGTGCAGCTCGACAGTTCAGTCTCACTCAGCAAATGACATTAGATGATAGGCGATTGATGTCCTGTTGTAGGTCAAAGAACAAATCGTATCCAAAAACATGAAAACAAAAAAGCCTGAAGAAGTGTCAACCCCTGGTATGGGACAGGGTAACCATTGCAATACTCACCGTATAGAGCACCTTCCAGTGTTGATCACATCGTGATGGCACTATCCCTTGGCATGCCTGTTGAAGCCATGGCGAGAATACTGTCTACAGGCTGGGAGATCATTGAAGGTGCAAGAATCTTCATCCATGTTATCGTAGATATCGTTATGATACGAAAAGAACAGGCGCCCGGCACCGGCTGATTGGAAGAGCCACAACTTCTTGTGCCTAGCTTCGAATCTATTATTGACTACCCACGGCGAAGATCATCGAATCTAGTAATTGCTCGGAGCATCAATTTCCAATTGTCCATATAACAAACACGTCAAAAACATGGCAGAACAGGCCTCGAGGGCCGTACGACATTACGAAGTCATGGTGTTTTGCGGGAAGGAAGTGAGCTGTGCAGCACTTCCCGTCAATTTGAAGTTGGAGGTCAAAACTCCACTAGTATCGAGCGCAAGCTCATAAGTGCCAGGATAGAGCCAAAAGTTGCCGTCGGTATCTGCTCTTGCGAGATTGCCAAGTGTGATCGGTAGTTCAGCTGTTGCAGTGGTGCCCGGCGTAATGCCGTGAGAGCGGGTGTAGCTGACAAGAACCTTGTTAGGGTAGGGAGCATCTCCGTACATGCCACTGGCGAAAAGAAGGGAAACATAGTCAGATGTCCCTGAAGATAAGGAAATGAGATGGTAGGATGAGATAAATCATAGTCCACATACTGTTTCCGGTGTTCGTTACACTAACAGCAAGCGTAGCAAATGGTGCGACGTCCAAGTACGCAGCATACTCCGCTCCATCAATGAGAGCCTGGATGCTGTATGATGTTGCAGGGGCTTGCACCCATTCGTAACGAAATGTAGTGTAGTGCTCGCCATATCCGAATTCGTAGACAGGCATGCCGGTGTACCAGATATAGGTACGGCCTGGACTCGTTAAATTGGGACGGAGGTTCATATTCGTCATGGGGATCTCATTGACATAGCTTGCTGGGTATTGCGTGATAGGAAGGCGCCCAGCAGGCGCAACCTTGCCACTGAGGGTGTCGAAAACAGCCTGTCCACCACTCTGACCTGGGTACCCTGCCCAAACGAGCGCATTGACCTAAAATAACTATTGAGCAATTGAACTAGAAAGAGGAATTGATTGCTGACAGAAGCATTGCCTTTGAGAATGGAATCATCAAGTTGTCCGCCACCAAATTGCACCACGACCAAAGGCTTGCCTATCATCTCAAGCTCAGCAACAAGGTCGAGCTGGTTGCCGGGCCAAGTAATCGAGTAGCGATCCATGTCCTCGTTCTCGACGGTAAGATCAATACCCCCAGCGTAGATGACAGCGTCTGCCTCCTTTGCAGCCGCAACAGCAGCAGCGAATCCACTCGTGTCGTTAGATATAATGTTGGTGCCCAACACGTAGGTGACATTATAGCCATCATCCATCGCGCCCATGACGGGGCTGATGAGATAAGGAGCAACACCAAAGTAGTTGCCCTGCATCTGGGTGGTTGCGTTTGCCCACGGGCCGATCAAAGCAATGTTTTTGATGCTACTTGAGAGTGGTAGAGTACCGTCGTTCTTCAGGAGAACAATACCCTCCGCGGCAACTCGGTATGCAAGCTGTTGAGCGATAGGTATATTGACATTACTCCAGTTGTATGTTCTGTAAGGCTGTCGCTCTTCTGGATCAAAGTAACCGAGACTGAAACACTGTATCAGCAAAAAAACATTGGCATGCAGGACGGCGCCATACCGGACGAGCGAGGCGTATTGGTGAACCAAAGCTGTGCGTAGGTCGGTCTCTGCGATAAGAGACTCGTTGTATGCGATTGGCAACCACTCTCCATAGAAGGAGCCACAATCTAGGTCAGTTCCTGCCTTGAGTGCATCTGCGACAGCCTGTTGAGGGGTAGCATAGTTATGGTGAGAGTAAATACTCTGGACGGCACCTGGAAAGTGAAACTTGATCATGAGGCCAAGTAACTATCCAGACTCTACTCACCACAATCACCGGTGACCTGTTCGCAAGTTGTCAACTCACTATACACAAGTAAAGTAACTTTGAGTATACCCATCGGTCTTGTGCGAACCCGTAGAAATCACGGAGAATATCTTGAAGCAAGTACGCATCTGCGCAAGAAGGAACACCGTTGATAGCATTGTACGAGCACCTGCGTTATAAACAGGTAGAATGGGTCGGCAAAATAGTACGGCGCAAGGAGTTGTGGTAGTACGTACATGGCAGCACCAACTTTGGCATCTCTATAGCAACTCTGGAATGAGGGGAGGTAGTATTCCACGAGATCTTGAGAAGTGATCACTGCATTAAAGCCATATCGAACAGTGCCATCCCAGTCCTCGATATCATAGCCCGCAAAGTGTTTACACGTGGAAACGACCTGGTAGTAAGGCTTTGGGTCAAGACCACCTTGCAAGCCAACCACGAGGTTGTACACGTATTGGGAGAGGTGGTACGGGTCTTCTCCAGGTGTTTCCTGACCTCTGCCCCATCGAGGGTCTTTGAATGGATTGATGTTTGGTGTCCAAAAGTCCAGACCCGCGCGCCCGTAGTTATTGAAGGCGCGTCCCTCCATACCCACAATGTTTCCAACAAACTTGATCAACTCATCGTCAAAAGCAGCACCCATAAGGATCGGCTGGGGAAACGACGTCGCATAGCTGAATTCGCCTGACGTCGAGAAGTTAACACCTGGACTGTTTGCCACTCCGTGCTGGACACAAGCAAGTCAGTTTCGGCAGACTCCGAGATTCTGTTAAACATTATCATTCACCAAAGCTTCCGACCACCACTGGTACGCTGGCAAACCCAGACGAGGAACCCCAGGAGACTTGTTGACAGTATTATTGATCAGCTCTGGAACAGTGAACAACTCGACCAAGGAAGTTGCCCGCGTAATGGGGTCAAGAGCAGTGTCGCAGATTGCGTTGCTTGCTAGAGGTCCACTTTCGCAATCAGGAAAGACATAACCAGTAACGCTGCCTGCTGCGAGGGCATGAACAAGAGCGACGTGCTTTGAAATCTTCATGGTGATCATTTGCAGTAATAGATCACGAAGGGTTGACGTGTTTCTATTTTTACGAGCTTGTTGATCCGCGATCTAGCACCATTTGCAACTCGGAAGGCTTCTTGATTTCAATTATCGTTGGCAGGATTGTCGTGTCTCAATGGCGCGCAGATAACGACCTCGGCTATCATATGTCATATATCATGCATTCATGAGGCAGATGCAGCTCTTTGGATGGAAGAACTGAGCTCCCGAGGAAAATATCTGTATCACTTCGTTCAAGGCAGGAGCATATAGTATGTCTGTCTGCTCAAATAATAGTTTTCCTGAGTCTACCCCAGTGGCTCTTGCATTCAATAAGACACGTCATATTACTGGAACCGGTTTTCCGTCAGCTGCAGGGCGCTTCCTTTGATGAACTTCGGGGTTATTCGTGGCACCTATCAATAGGGTCTCGGTGTCAGACGGCTCCTCTGGTCAGTATGTGCTGTACGCCCATTAAATGCACGCTTTTCCCTACATGCTACTTCCCCTGCTAGTGCCTCCCTCGATCTTGTAAGTCAGACTTGAATTTTGAACCTCTTCACTCGAACAGCTTCTGCTAGCAGAGTTTTGGTCATACAAGCCATATTAGTATGTACCCCTCAATTTCGGCGTCCCAGTGGGGTTCTCCCACTGCTCCCAGGAAAGCTCTGCTTATTCATGGGCTGACTGCATGGTCAGGTTCATGGGAGGGCCTCGCTCAGCTATTAGTATCAGAAGGTCAGGTTTTATGATACCATAGTGACGATGCTCTGTTTTCAACTTGCTTCATAGGGTTCTTTGTCGTGGCGCCGAACCTCCTCGGGCATGCATGGAGACGAGGGACCGACTACCGTATGTCCACCCTTGCAGAGGATCTCCGACCATACTTCGTCAAAGACACATCCTACGACGTGATTGTAGGTCACTCTCTCGGAGGCCCAGTGGCCTTGTCGCTCTTGCAATTCTTGCCAAAAACAAAAGAAACGGCTGTCATACTCCTCGATCCCCCTCTCGAGATTGAGGGGACAAGCGAAATGCATAAAAATTGGTTTCTGAACGAGGTTACGAATGTCAGATCCACCGAGGAGGTGGCTGATGATCGTGGTTGGTCACGACGTGACTGCGTGTTACGTGTATTAGGACTTTCAATGTGCGATCGTACCACTGTCGAGGGAATCTTCTCGGTAAGATTGCAACTTGTGGACATGGTGAATGTTGCTGACACTTCTGCTGTTGTTATGAACAGCATAACAGCCCATGGTCTTTCAGTGGCCTGCTCAGAAACATCCCCCCTCATGTGAAGATCTCCGTGCTGGTATCAGATCCGGAGGCTGGCGCCGTTTGTGATCCGGAGCACATCCCTAGTAACGTTGAGAGACTGAGTGTCAGAGTTCTTCCTGGCATTGGCCACTGCATTCACTACGAGAATCCAGATGCTATCGTGGACTTAATTCAACTACCGAGAGCGAAGCTTTGAGAAGTGCGAAGGAGAGCGTGTTTCGTGGTTTGATTTTGATGGGTCAATTCTGTGTCTAGGACTTTCTGTTGGAACCTAGCCTCTGCTCGTGTATAAGGTATCGCGAAGCATACAGTAGTCCAACTATGCCAAAATATCAGTCTTATGCTTGAAAGAAAGATACAATGTTCCCTTCAGCTCAACTTCATCGAGTCTATGGGTCCACGTCAAGCGGTACCACCTCGGAACACTTCCGACTCGATAGCATTGTCTGACTATAGAATTGATCTCACTCACCATTATAACCATGCGATGGCTGGTATAACATCACTGCCGCAGACCTTCAATCGACAATTCCCTGCACCGAGGTTTGATTTTGTTTGAGCTTCGACAGCGAGTTCATGTAGTATGAGACATACATGTGAGAGAGAACAGTATCAATAATAGCATTATCGATTACCATTGGACAACCCATGCCAAAAGCTAGTGGCCCCATGTCTCTGGCACATCGGGAGGTATGGTGCGGCCCGGCATTCGTCATCTATTTTTATAAGCAGCGATGACTTCGAGATCGACTTCACGATGCGGTTGCTTCTTTGCTAGTGACTCGATCATTGAGAAGTCTGGATCGGGATAAATTTCATCCGCAGCGTAGTTCCCAGCGACATCGTCCACCATTTCCAGACTACGTGGAAAGATATCAGTGAAGATAACAAGGAAATGGTATAGGCATTGTGTGAATAAGAATGGGATTCAGATACAAGCTAAGACCACGTCCGCTTCGCTGGCAAGTGATATCAGCGTATGAGAATCGCCACCAACGTCGATGCTGCAGGAGAGCAGTTATTTGAAATGGATCAGATCTAGGGTGAGATAATAGCGATCCAGAAACAGCAGTAACCTGCGATTCATAGTTGAAACGTTGACAAGCTACATTTCTTGACACATGAGCACACCGGACAGTCTCGGACTCACCAATAATAATCCAGTACGCATTTAGGCTATCAGTGTGATTTGAATCACCGCAACTTGGCCACAGTATATCCACGTGATCTATAATACCAGAAATTGTCTGATCAAACCCAGTTGTAGAAACCCCATGATGTTCCGAATCATATCTAACTCCACCAGACGCCTGAACAGGTATAAGAACGCGTTTCAAAAACAAAGCTGTGATCAGCGGACTCATTGACGCCTACATTTCCATTTCCATTATGACCCAGTCTTCTTTTGACGAGAAGCGCCAGACGAAAGACAAGACGCAAGATGAGTTGTATGAAGTTAGAGGAAACGCCGCTGGAGATATTTCGCAATATGCAGCTGTAGCAGAGGTCGAGAAACACACCACTTGGTTTGTCTGGCTTCTTGTGGCTTGTTGCACTATATCTGGCTTGTTATTTGGTATGGGCCGCGTGCTTCACTTTCATGAAATGACTGACCATACGATGCATAAACAGGTTATGATACTGGTGTAATCTCTGGTACTCTAGTTACCATCAACGGAGACCTTGGCCCGGCTCAATTATCGGACGGACAGAAGGTGGGCCTGATATCCAAGACCCAATTCCATGATCACTTGACCACCTCATTCTAGGAATTCATCACGTCAGCCACCACATTGGGCGCATTACTCGGGGGCCTTGCTGCTGGTGCCATGTCAGACTGGACGGGCCGTCGACCCGCCCTTGGCATCGCAGACATCATCTTCGTCGGCGGAGCTCTTGGGCAGGCAGTCTGTCATACGGTATGGAGTATGGTATGTTTCCTTCCATGCGCCCCCATTTACCACGCACTGACCATCAACTTGAATATTGCCAGATCGGCTGCCGGTTCCTCATCGGTATCGGCGTCGGTGTTGCATCGTGCATCGCGCCTCTGTATATACAAGAGCTGTCGCCTACACGCATGCGCGGGCGCATGGTCGTGTTGAACGTTGTAATGATCACTTTTGGGCAGGTAGTTGCTTATGGAATCGATGCAGGCTTTGCAAATGTGAGTGGTGGTTGGAGGTGGATGGTGGGACTTGGTACCGTCCCAGCTGGTATTCAATTGATATGTTTGGCGTTCTTACCGGAGAGTCGTGAGTTTCTTTCCTCTTTGGTTATGTAGCGTCATTTACTGGGGTATGGCTAACAATGGACTTCGTCGTGCAGCAAGGATACTTATCCGAAAGGGTAACATAGAGGCTGCGCACAGAGTGTTAGAACGTGTCTACTCGGAAGCCACGGCTGAACAGATTGATTTACAGGTATTCTTAGCATTTGGTCAGTCGAACACAGGCAAATAGTCTGAACCACCTCATAGCTCCAGGTTCTCCGTGCATCGGTACAGCAGAGTATCGACATCGCAAATTCCACAACCTTCTTTGAGCGCTTCAACTCCATGATCACCGTTCCCGTAAACCGTAGAGCACTGAGTAAGATACACCCATTGCTTACGCAGTCTTGCCGTACTGACGTTGCAAAGTCATCGGATGCGGCATGCAAGCGTACCAACAACTCTGTGGATTCAATACGCTCATGTATTACTCTGCATCGCTCTTTCAGGAGATAGGGTTCAACCAGCCTACTCGGATGCGGCATGCAAGCGTACCAACAACTCTGTGGATTCAATACGCTCATGTATTACTCTGCATCGCTCTTTCAGGAGATAGGGTTCAACCAGCCTACAGCGGTTGGACTGATCATCAGCGGGACAAACTTCATCTTCACACTTTTTGCGTTGAAGTATATTGATATCGTGGGACGACGGAAGATCATGGTGTTCTCTGCACCTGGCATGGTTTTTGGCCTCACCCTTGCCAGCATCGCGTTCCATTGTATGTTTTCCATTAATTGCGCGATAGGTCAGATGACGGACCGGATTTGGTAGATATGACACTGCATACAGGTGGCGATCTAGTCAGTGGCGCGTCTTACTCCAGAACATGGTCAGCGATCGTTCTTCTCTCGATGATCATCTTCGTCGCATCGTATGCGACGGGCTTGGGAAACGTCCCGTGGCAGCAAGGCGAGCTCTTTGGTCTCGAAGGTCGCATCGTTATTTCTCCTACCTGTCAGTTCAGCACTGACATTTTCATGCAGTCCGCGGTATTGGCACATCGCTCTCGACTGCGACGAACTGGGCTGGCAACCTTCTCATCGGCTCTACATACCTCTCCCTCATGGCGAAAATTACTCCCGCCGGTGCATTTGGGTTCTACGCAGGGCTGTGCTTGTTAGGATGGCTATTTTGCTTGTTTTGCTTCCCTGAGACTGCTGGGTTGAGCCTCGAGGAGGTCCAGAGCATCTTTCAGGATGGTTTTGGGATCCGAGAGAGCCAGAGAATGAGGAATAAAAAGCAAGAGATGAAGATGCAGCAAGAGATCCAAGCAGGGCGGGGGGATGCATGATGGGCACGTTATGATCTCATAGTATGAACTTGACTGGTTTGGTTGCCTCCCGCTGAGTTCTACACAGAGCTGAACCTGCTAGGATGGCTGTTCAACTTGTTTTGCTTACCTGAGACTACCGGGGTGAGCCTCGTGATGGGTGCGCAGAAATACCTATCTCAGAGCATATTAAGAGCTACGATGTGATTGCTGATACTCTAGATGAGCGAACAACGAATACACGCACGTATCTTGCACAATCCATCTGAACCCGATATCGACCGAAGTTGCTACCATTTTACCTGCCACACACAAGGCAGCACCATAGTCATGCGTGTCATTCAACAAACGAGAGAAGCTCATGGTGCATCTATCGTTAAGCTTTCGTCGCCGTGAAGAAAGCAGTTTTATAAACGTATCCCAGCATAGACCGGGAATTACTCGTGTAAGTCGTGTCTATCATTCGCTCATCCTGATGGTAGATCGCCCTCGTCAGATTTACACAGCGGGTGCGATATAAAGACTTACAGATATCACAAAGCCGATTTTTCGAGCCAGTATTTTGACTTCTTCGAGATCAAGTTCGATAGATGGATCATTGGTTGTATTATTTTCGAAGTGCCAGAGCAGCGGACCTGATATGTGGTCAGCAGGAGAACTGAGACGAAACGAGCGTCCTGACCCATGTTAATCCACACTCCACCGGGTGCTAATATCCTGTGGATTATACGAAGGTAGTTGACAATATTCTTTGCCTGAAGGAGCTTCATTAGGATAGAATACACCTGGACAGAAACGAATTCGCACAGTGTCAATGAAGAAACATGTCATAACAGCGTTCCATTGCCCCGCCTGTGGTTCGACATCGCCTTCCTCGTATTCTGCTCCATAAATCTCCTCGAAATCGCCTGAAACGTTGAGAAGCTACGATACTAAAAGGACCTGTCAATACTCATACCCGCAACCAAGGAAAAATTCGAGCCAGTCGGTAGGGCCGAGGGAAGGACATCAGGTATTTTCACTGGGTGTAACATCGCGTCGCGGTCAGGAAGGTTGGAGAAAGAATGGACGTAAGGGTATATGGTGTATTGTCCAATTGTATCAGTCCTGCGACCAAGATCAAATGTTTAGCCAGTACACTCAGATCCCTGCTTTTCTCACCTGTTTAAAATAACATAAGATGCAAGAAGCATATAGTGAGAAAATTCATTTCCCTGACAGGCGAACCCTAGCGATTTGATCAAGTCCGATTCAGAAGAGAGATACATGAACTCTGCAAACCTAAATTCGCAACATCATAAGCCAACCGGCCAAGACCTGCACCAGGAACGAGCACCCGAATATTTTTCCTGGTGGAGTGATATATCTGTATCGTCTAGAGGAGAATTTGGAGCCTAAGCCAACCTTAACTCCGGAGATGGTTTGTCCGAGAAATGCGCGACCAGCGCGTCTTTCATTGGCGTATAACACGTTTCCCGTTCTTCTTTTCCCTGTAATGCAAGCCCAGGTTACATACGCTGAAAAGGGGCAGAATTATAAGTTTACCTCCTGACTCCAGTCTCGTACAAATTGCTTCAGGGTGCTTCGCAACTTGTCCATATCGAAGTCCGTAGGTTTGTACTTTCGCTGATGCTGACTGACATTCGAATGGTCATGCGAATGATTGTGGGGGTGCGGGTGACTATGAGAATGTGAATGCGCGTCACCTGCATAACATTGACAATGTTAGGCACAAATCGGATTCTTTCTCGTACAACTACAAACCATGCGAATGCTCGTGCAAAGTCCCACAGACAGCCTTGTCCTCATCTGCGTCTTTAGGAGAATCGAGATCATGGCCGAAGATCTCGGGGTTTGCAACAATCAGCTTCAAGAATTCTGCATTGGCCAGAATGGCTTTATCCACTTCTTGAAGTTTTTGTCGGTACCCAAGGACATCGAGAAGATCTTTGTCACCCTGAGGAAGCGTGTGAATGTCTTTTCGTCGCCTATTGTTGGCTGCTAGCTAAATATGTCGGACGAGCAGGCGATGCATAAGGACAGTGCGGTGCGTGATGATTAAAAACACCTGCCGAGTATTGGGCATATTGCTGGAATGTTGCGATGACATTAGAGAAATGTTTCTGCTCCTCTTCGATTTCAGCATCCGAGAATGTTTGGGACATTGTTCGAGAAACAAGTGTAAGTACCACTAAGTAAGATCAGCGTGATTCGAAGCAACCGAGTCAGAAAAGGGTAATTATAGATGGATGAGTCAGCGACTTCCGAATTCAACAACATCAAACAACTACATATAGTACTAGCGGTTGCCACTGAATCAACGCTACGATATAACCGGTCTCGTCAGGTATAGTAACGTCAAGGGTTAATTCCCGCTGGCTTGCTCACCGTATCCTCGCCTAGGCTTCTTAGGGTAACGCCGAGCAACAGCCATGATAAGTGGCTTGACTACCGCTGCTTGTCATAGCACAGCTGAGCACCGACCATGAGTAAGCTTTACCTTTTTAGTTAAACTTGGCGATATACGATGCAAGATCATCGTTCCTGGCACTATTTTTTGATGTATTCTATGGCTGCTGTAGTGCGCAGCTCAGCATCCAGTTTCCTTGCAGCCAATAGTATCATAATAGCGCACCCACTCAATGACAGATTGACGCCTTGCAGAGTCCTTATGCTAATGTAACTTGCGCACAGCATACGAGGCACATATGAGTATATAATCTGGGTCGATCTAATGCGCTAACCTTGCCTTCAGAATGTCTGAAGCAACCATAACTATTGGACCAGCGGTGGTCGGATCTATGATCGCCGGCTACTTATTTGGCTGCTCGACGATGCAAACATACAATTACTATAAGCGTTTTCCAGGTGATAGAAGAGTATTTCGAATTTTGGTGCGTTATGTCTGCCTTGCTTCTAGTCAAAGCTAATTGAACTTTGTAGGTGGCAGTTGTGATGTATGTGTCGATGCATCTCAATATCGACCTCAAGGTCTGATTCATCACAGGATGCTGACATTTGGACATATCATTTCCATCATGTATTGGACATGGACCCTGACCGTTACAGGTTGCGAGGATCCTGACGGCGTGACCATATTCTCCAGTTCTCGGGACGCAAATATCGTCTTGACACCCCTGATTAGCACTCTTGTTCAGGTAAGTAACGACCGATTCAAGCACGGCTCCATTCAACTTAATTATGCAGATGTTTTTCATCTACAGATTGTTCAAATTCTCAGGAAGCAGGACGGTCGCCGCGTTTTGTGGCATTCTCAGCATATTGAATCTTACCGGCACTTTGGTAGATGCAGTCCACGCACTGACCGTTCCCACGAATAGAACAACGAAAAACACACGAGATTGGTTGACAATCCTGACTCTCGTTGCAGCCGCTGCTTGCGATTTGGTAATTACGATTGGTCTGGTGTATTTCCTGCAGCGTGAACGCAGACGAACCACAGTTCACCAGTAAGCTGCACCATTTCGAGTGTCTCTCTCCTCTAAACGATTCCCTTCCAGAATACATAATATCGCTGACCGTCTAACTCTTTGGGCAATTGAAACTGGTCTCGCCACCAGGTACGCAAACTTTTGCATACGAAGGTTTTACCATGAGGTTCATATTCACAGCATGTCTTCTGTCTTAATTATTGTCTTCGTGAGTCCTTTCAATAACGATTGTGGTGAGTGCTGCTAATGACAATAGTTTTGTGCCATGAGGGATACTTGTGAGACAGTTCGTCATAGCTATGGAATCATATTTGAACATTTCCACTCTAGTCTTATGGACTGCTGTTTACAACGTTCTGGCTGATGGTGAGCATCACTTTTCACGTCTTAATTTACGTATTTCCTCAATTTCAAAATAGTTTATACAAATTCGCTCCTAGCCGCGTGAGTCACTCTGCTCAGGCGGGTCAAATAGGGCTAGAGCTAACGCGGACACAGACTCAATAGCCGTAAAACCACTCGCATTCAGGAGACTCGTGTTATCGATTTTCCCAGTGGTTGCGACACACCACCTGACCTTGTCAGCGAGAAACCGGAGACTATTAATTAGATTGTTGGTTTTCCCTGTCTATTTTACACAGCTCTAAAGTTATTGTTATGCTGGGTAGACTCACGTCCAATCATAGTGACCGACGATGAGTTGACAGTCAAAGTAGTCATCGCTTCCGTGAGCCAATGACTCCGCTTAGGTTCGGCTCCACGCAAATCAAACATGCTCCGCATTAGTCAAAGTCAGTCAAGCTATTGACTCATTTTCTCAAACATAAAAGCCTTGGGAGGCCCTTTACTCAGACTAACACTGCACCAACTTTCCCCCCTCCTAAATACAGCACAAACATGCCACCTCTCAGCGCTAGGGCATGGGAGAAAAAGGTATGCAGTGATTATCTTGCCCTGGGAAGCGCTCACTAAATAGGCTATGTCACAGCATTCCCGAAAACGCGCTAATGGATCCATCCTGCGTCGAAATCCCGGACGCGGCGATGGCTCCACTTGGAAAAGCAGGGGCTACATTTGCGCGGCTGCGGTCGACGGTTGTTCGGTCGATAATGTTCACGACGCCGAGGAATACGACGCATCAGAGGCTTTTGTCCCTGTGTCATTTAGCACAACGTTTTCCCTCTCTGATAGCGCGGAAATTTTACCCTCCAAGCACCAGCGCACAGGTGAAGCGCATTATGTTCATCATAACCTTTGAACGAAGTACTGAATCAACATGAACATAGCCAAGAGCCGACTGGGGGACTTTGAGATCCTTGATCCGAACCCCAAAGTCATACCCATCAATGATGACTGCAGTGATACCGACGAGGATGAGTGGGAGAAAGTAGATGTACTAGATATTTCTGGCAGACGGCGCATGACATACTCGCAAGTGCTCCGGAGTTCAGACGAGGGCTGACTCAGTAGAAAGTCAGCATAGCTGGTGGTAGCTTATTCGTCCCCGTACACTAGTAGTATTCATATTTGATACATGTCACCCTAACACTTAACATACGCAGTAAGGTGATTAGTACAATCGTTTGGCAGAGAAATTTAGAACAGACGACTAGACCAACAAAGTCCAGAAGTTCGACACAACCTCACGCTCGTGACCTCGTTGCCCGCGTCGTGCGCTTCACCTCCACCTCCTTCTTCCGCTCACCCTCATCTTCCTTCGAACTCGACGGGGTATTTTCTTTATCCACCGCTGTTACTGCACGCCTACGGGTCGTCGTTGTGCTCTTCGCCTTCCCAGGAACCAAAACATCGATGTCTTCCTCTTTCACAGGTGCGGTCACTGCCCGCGTGCGTCTTGCCCTCTGTATGGGAGCTGGAGCTTCAGGCTGCGCGATCGAATCGAGAGGGTCGTCCCCATCAGCATCGTCATCGTCTTCCGTACTACGCATCTTGTTCCGTGAGGGGGCACGGCTTGTCATGGTTGCGACCTTGGGCTTCGCAAGAACTCGTGGGCGTGCTTTCGCAGGCTCAGATCGAGCGACTGGGACGGGGGTGACACGGCTGCGGGCTGCCCGGGTTTTGGGGGCCTGTGGGAGTGAAATGAGATATGGGATTGCGATAAGAAGAAGGAAGAAAATTTACTGTTTCAACAACGTCCATTTTCATTTTTCTCGCTGTTGTGGTACTAGCTACACGAGCCCTAGGCTCGGTACTGGCATCTCGCGTCCTTGGCGCAACAGCAGGCTCTTCGTCCTAAATAACAACTTATGATTAGCTATCCACAAGACCAATTAAGAAAGAGGATGCATACCGAATTATCAGTTGTGATCCCTTTGCGCGCACGAAGCAGACGCGGTCTCGCAGGTTTCTTTTGGGCGATAGATTGAGGCGGAATCTCTCGAATCTCATCTTCTTCTGCTTCGTCTCCTGCATCTGGTTTAGGTGCTGGCTCTGGTGCTGGTTCTGGTATTTTTGCTTTTGCTTTCTCTTTCTCTGCACGTTTTGGAAGTACGATTGGTACCCTTTTCGTGGCCGTTGCCTCCACACGCGAAACAGTCCTGGAAGTCGGTGGCTCCCTCTCCTTGGAGGCAGTAGCCCCCGTGGCCGTAGTAGTTCTCGTGCGGCGACGAGCTGCTGTCGTCGTAGGCCCAGGCCCAGAAGCAGGAACAGGAACAGGGGTCTTGCGGGAGGTAGTTTTCACAGGTTTGCGTTGCTCGTCCGTCTCTCTCCTGTTCGCTTGCTCCTCCCTTTTCATGTCACCCTCCCCTTCATCCACATCCTCAACACGTGCTCGATACCCCTCAGGTGTAACCATCATCTCCCCAACACCCTCCAACATATCTGTTTCCATCTCCATCCCGATACCCTTGCCAGCTCCGCGGAACAGCGAACGCATGCTCTTTACTGCTGGCGTACTTGGCACCGGCGCTGGGGGAGGGAAGAGATGCTTGAGTGATGCTAGGGCAGGTGTCTGGGGCCCCGCAAACGACGGTGCATTCTTGTGCTGCGGCCGGGAGGTGGGACGCGTGAGCTGGGGTAGTGGTGTCCTCTCCAGTTCGAGATCAAGGTCAAGCGCGATGCGTGTGGGCGAGAGAGGTGCAGGCATGTGTTCGGATGAGTCAGTCGTCTCGAGGTCAGGTTCAGGGTGTGAAGAAGACCGAGGCTCTCGGAGCGCGGATGCAAGGCCGTTCTCTTTATCGCTGTTTTCTTCTTCTTCTTCACCTGTTTGTTGTTCCTCATCGATGTCTTCTTCTGCGTTCTCCTCGACATTCATACGCTGTTCAGCGTCCGCCGTGTTATCATCCTCACCATCCTCCTCGTACTCACGTTCATCCTCCCCAGATGGACCCAAACTCCTACGTCGTTTCATCTCCTCCACAGTTCGCTTCATCCGATCCAACAAACTTCGCGTGTCCTCTTCATCTTCCTCACTATGTGGCGTCAGCGGTGCCTTCAAAGGCGATGGAGGGCGCCCGAAAGGCGTATGCGCATTCGCAGGCAATTCGAACGATTTCACAGGAGAAGAGAAAAGCTTCATAGGGGACGAGGGACCTGCATGGATGGGAGCTTTCGTAGGAGATGTACTTCTCCCCCCAAATTTGGTCGGCGATACACTCCTGTCGCCTGATTTGGTGGGAGATGCACTGCGCTCACCAACAGTACGGACGGCAGAATCAAATAGGGAGGGTAGTTTCCGTTGCGTGTTACTGTCACTCGGGGCAGAGGGTGTGGGGGGTGCGACAGACTGCCGTCGCAGCCCTGGTACCTGTGCAAAGAAAGGGTCGGGGGTAGTGAGCGCTGATTTACGGCGTTCTTGGATGGCCTGTATGTTGGTGGTTAGCTGGAAGACGCATCATTGGGAGAGAAATGTTACAAGGAAAGAAGGTCAAGAGGGACGACAAAAGACACGCCAGGAAGGCGGCAATATATATGCGCCCTGTATTATCACAACAATCCGAGCTCATAGAGGGGCCACTCCAAATGAAACTCAAACTGCGCCCTCCGTGCCATTTCCCAACTTCTAGAAAAGTAAAAGCAAACGCATGTACTCACCTTCCTCTCCTCCTCACTCACCCGCGTCCTCCCAAATCCTGTCCCTTCCTTCTCCTCTTCCTTCACCTCCTCCACACCTCGCACCTCAATATCTCCAATGCGCCACTTCGGCTCGACGCGTACTCTCTTAGCACCTCCCCATGTCTCTACAGGACCAGATGGTGCAGACACTTTAGAAGGCGACGGTACGCGCAACGCTCCACCAAAAGAGTTGCGTCCCGCACCGCGGCCAATTCCAGTGTTGATGCCTGATTGTAGGTGCGATACTTGGGGCGTCATAAATGAGCCCAGAGGTCGTGCGGCTCTTGCAGGTGTAAGGTGTGGTTGGGCTTGGGGTGCCATGTAAGTAGGAGGTGGGGAGGAGGATGGGGGCGGGGGCTGTGCATCCTGGTCGATGTCCATTCGAGCGTCCTGGTGTTCATGGTTAGCATGACGAAGAGAAACAAAGGAGAAACTTACCTCGTCCTCATCCTCATCTTGCTCGTCATCGTCATCATCGTTTTCTTCGGGCGCAGTGGAACTCGAGCGGAAAGGCCATACAACGCGTGCACGCACGGCATTGAGAGATTGGCGCCATGTGCTTGGTTGAGGAGTAGGTTCCTCAGCGGTGTCTGAGTCTGCGCCACTTCCATCTTCGTCAGATTCCTCATGCTCGATCCCTGCACTTCCTTCGTGCTTGTCATTCAATTCTTCGTCGTTACCATTCTCATTCTCCTCGCCCTCCTCTACAGCCGTCTCGCCTACAATCACCTCTTCGACTTCTTTCTCTTCATCCTCTTCTTCACGTGCCATGACGGCACGATGTACACTGCGAATAAGTACAGCACGATGCAACGAGGAACGAGTACGCTTGTTCGGAGTCTTGTACATGTTCATACTTGGTCTTGGCCTTTGCACAGATGGGGTGGGCGGAAGGGCTTGGACATCGACATGCTCGAGGATAACAAGATCCCTATCCTCCTGTACGACATGTGGGGTATTAGACTCCACAAGCACGATTTCCTCTTCTATTTCCTCTGGTTCTGGGATGTGGGAGTTCTTTAGCGCAGAGGGCTTGCGCGGGGAGGGCACAAGTTGTTTGAGTGGGCTCTGGAGAATTCGGAGGTTTGCAAGTGGATCTGAAGAGGGTTTTCCACGAGGGGTGAATACTTGAGCGCTGTGAATCATGCTCATTCGTAATTTTCTCCGTCCGCCGCCACCACTTTCAGGCTTGACTGGTGAATCGATGTTGTATAGCGGAGAACGTAGCTGCTTGGGCGGATAAGAGAATATGAAACGTTTCTTGTGTATCTCGATTTCGCAGTTGTTAGAGACGGGAATTGTTGTGGGAAGTGAGGCGTTGGTGGATGGGAGCACGGGGCAGCCGTCGATGGTGAGGCCTGCGTCGCCAAGAACGACGAGAAAAGCCTGCTAGCGAGTTCCAGCGGTTCAGTAAATTTAGATGAACAGTTCACGGACCTTTCTCTCCTGAAATACAATTTTTGCATGCAGAGCACTGATCTCTGGGTAATAGAGACGCACACTGCACGTCGGGTCGCGTCCAAAGGTAACTGCCTCCTCGTCAATCGGGAATGCTGCTACCTGTTCATCGGTAGTCCGTTTCATCAGCCGCAGCGTACCAAACAGCCCCATTTCGCTGCCGTCCATAGTGATGAGCGAAGTTCAAGTTCAAGCAAGACTTGACGGCGTTTGTTTGGTTCGCGTCATGCCAAACGTGCAGGTCATGTGATCGCGTAATTTAGGCTACGAGACTTCCCAGTTTGCCTTAGGCGGATGGATAGGTCAGCATGACAGCATCTGTCATCCGCCCAACAGTCCAACTACTTATCCCGTGAGAGACACTTCAGTGATGCCGGTACAATTAACGAAGCTGAATAAACCGAATTCAAGAACTACCATGATATCAATACGACGAGTCCTTTTTATGCCTCTCAATCTGCATCTCATCAACTTATTCACCAAGCATACTTTACACACCTGGACAGGTTTTGCATCTGAACCTGGTACGCACTCGTCCGACTACATTCGGTTCAAAATTCGAGCAGAAGGAGGAGGATACGATGTCACTCTTTACGTTCGGGGCTTTTTGGCTTGGTGGAATTGGCCCTGCTGATCATACGCATCGAGATTGTACAGTGGCACGTAAATTTCAACGCCATCAGGTAAGTACAATGGTCCTCAGTAACTTACTAAATCACTCTATATAACTAGCTGGCCACCAATTGCGACCTTTATCGTCTCCAAGGCCTGAAAGGATATTCCGTGATTAGGGTGACATTCGATTCAGGCCGTGGTCAGCCTCGCATGTCCTGAGGTGATAATCCCTATCACATTGTTGATTTCTCAAACCTTTGCTGTCAAGATGCTAAACGCTGCACTTCGAGCACCCGCGCAGGTAAGCCAGTCTTGCACATTCCGGAGCTCACTCAGATTCCTCCAAAGAAGGCCGAAACCGTAGTTGTGACAGATGGGAAGCTCATCGCAACAGTAGCAGCCCATGTCATGAGCTCCGACAAGATGGCAGTTCTAGCGGGAGCTTTTTTCCCGTTCCTTGACTCGATAACAGGTCGTGTCTGTTTAAAATCTCTTTGCGAATCAACCACTCAGGGTACTCAACACTCTTACTGGGAAGCTCTTGGATGTAATGGCCTTTCATCTCAATCGGGGTGGAACTAATCCCGTTTCACGTATATATCCCTCCGACCTGGTTAGAATAAACTGGTTTTATATCCTTCGCCAGGACCAATGGTGGATTATCGTCAGAAAGAGGAAACAACCGACGAACAATCAGCCAAATAATCACCGATTTTCAGATCGATCGAACATCGTCGGAATGAACCCATATCCAACGTTTTTTGATGTTTAAGGGGCGACGCTGAAGACCGCAAAAGCGAGCGTCCCGGACTCAAGCTGGGTGGTTTCGACGTAATAAGGCGCACCCGTAGGATGATTGATCCCTTGTTATGGTGTAACATTTAGTCCTTTTTGTTTAATGTACACTATGGGTGTACATAGGAGGTAAACATTTGTTCACGAGAGACTAGGTCAGATCGCAAAACGCAGCAAGACAAGACTTCTAACGTCAAAATGTCGTCAACGCAGTGTGACAAAAGACAGACATCTAAAACACTCACCGAACGACCAATAATAAAGTATCGGAGACAATGCATTTTCGTCTCCCTGGTACTTTCTTTATCAATGTTAATTCTGTAGTAATAAAGATAATTGTCCAAGTGACGATTGGGGAGGTTGGTGAAGTCGTTGTTCGTGCGTAAAGGCGGCAATTTAAACTATTGAGAACATGTCATTAACGTGAACAAGAGACGATAAACATACTAATGTGCTCTGGGTCTTTATCCTCACGGCCCCACGCCGGGATCGGAATTTGGTGGTACAATTGTAAGTCGTTGAAAGGTTGTGTCTTGTCATATATCTACGTTGCGAACATAAGCACTGAGTAATGATCGAAGTATTGACATTATCATACCCAGTGTGTGCTTTCAACCGGTGACCCCTCTGGGTGACCGAGGACATCTCGGACTTCGACTTTCCGCCCCATTCGCCCCATTCGCCCCATTCGTGCCATTCGTGCCAAAGATTATATAATCAAATACATGTGCAAACAACTTCCTGCACCGTACATGCAAAGTCTATGATGTAATCACACCACATATTACAGTGACCTATCTCCGTATAATACGAGGGAACGGACATGCATAATATCCCGTATGATACGGGCCAGCGGACCATGGGCCCATGATAAAAATATCCTCGACTATGACGGATGGGCCGGGAGGCAAATTATTCCCGATGGAGACGGGTGGGCCCATGCAGGGAATATATAGAGTAGATGAGTGGGCCGATGTACATGAATATTAGGTAGACGGGTGGGCCGAGGTAGTTGGATATTATGCAGATGGGTGTATTAAGGTAGATGTGTATGAGATAGATGGGTAGGTACTTGTTATCACATTCACGGGTGGGCCCAGACACATATTAAATTAGACGGGTGGGCCGAGGGTATTATAAAATATTGTATTAGACGGGTGGGCCCAGACGCATATTAATTAGACGGGTGGGCCGAGGGTGTTGTATGGGATGTTGTATTAGACGGGTGGGCCGAGGGTGGTATAAAATATAGATGGGTGGGCCCATGTGTATCATAATTGTAGACATGATGGAGCTGAGGTAGTTGTACATCAACCAAATCAGAGGAGGTAATAAATCAAAGTTACCAAGTTCCCGGAGCAGCAGGTGATCTCCTGACATGGCCTTTGATGGTGCACAGGTTGTCTTGCAGAATGTGGAATCCGGGGTGCGAAGCTTGTGTTGCCCTACGAGAAGCCAAGTTCCGACCACCAGAATTTGAGTCAACTGTACCGAGTTCCGAGTTCCGGGACCCGGAACTCAACACATAATTTAGTTAATACTTTCCGTGTTAAATGGCCAACCGAAGTTGAGATGTTTCTGAAGAGAGCAGCAGGTGCTCTCTTGACATGGCCTTTGATGGTGCGTAGGTTGTCTTGCAGAATGTGGAATCCGGGGTGCGAAGCTTGTGTTGCCCTACGAGAAGCCAAGTTCCGACCACCAAAATGTGAGTCAACCGTACTCAGAGGAGGTAATAAATCAAAGTTACCGAGTTCCCGGAGCAGCAGGTGATCTCCTGACATGGCCTTTGATGGTGCACAGGTTGTCTTGCAGAATTTGGAATCCGGGGTGCGAGGCTTGTGTTTCCCTACAAGAAGCCAAGTTCCGACCACCCAAATTTGGGTCAACCGTACCGACTTCCGAGTTCCGGGACCCGGGAGTCGACAAATGAATATCTGATGACCAGCACACTTCCAATCAGGTAGTATTTCATTGAGCAATGGATAATAATACATCTTTGACAGCCAAAATTATCTCAGGCTCCCTTATCTGATCCTCTCTATCTCCACCCCCTTTAACACCAAAGTCCGGACATTCAGCATTCAGTGTCTGATTTCCCAAGATTAACATCCAGCATGAACGGTTCTTCCCCTTCCACTCCTGATAGTATAAACATCTGGCGCACTTGGGCCCTGACTGTGACTTATGAAGCAGGGGAATATACCGAACAGAAATTCAAGGCAGAGAAGACTGGAGGAGGCCCAGTCATACCTTCCCCCAACCTAGACACTGATCTGGTGATGGCGTGCGATCGCTTGGCTGATGTACTCATAAAGGCATATAAAAATCCCAGTGGGTCTTCCTGCAGATTCGGAAAATTCGTTTTATCATTCAAATTCCTGCATGACAGTTCAGATGCAGGTGGATATTGCAAGATATAGCAAATTGATCTCCCCGAAGGACACCGGGCATAATGAACAGAGAGAGGCTAGGTTGCTTGAGAGGTGTCCTCCTGGCCATGAAGGCAAAAGGTTGGTCGACGAACCTGCCACAATTCTCGATGCATCCGGTGCCATCATTGCATGGTACCTCCCAGACGCCCTGACCGACACCACCCAGGTGTGTAATATACATTGTTACTCAATGGATATTGAATATCAAATGGAACCTACAGAAGGAAATCAGGGAAGCCACCAATTTGCTCGCTCCAAGCCTCGAAAAAAGTGTAAGGGCTGATGGCAATTGGCGAACTAATCAAAAGTGGTTCAACCGGGGCTCGGAAGATGTTGGGGCAACTCCCGGATGCATCAATTTATCTCCGGCATGGTTTCAACAGGGACACGAGGTAGGATCTGATGAGATGGTGATTCCAGCAGTCATACTCACCAATCCCAAAGAATGTGTCCGATCCGGAGGTATCTGCATCATTGAAGGGACCTTCCTGCGAGAATATCCTCAAAGCCATTTCAAGGCCAGCAGCCATCGCGTCCGCGGCACTCAGAGTCATGCATCCTGAGCAGTACTGGGCAGGGTTGCGAACCTTGTCAAACCTCGGACATATAGCAGTAAGCAAGGATCTGCCACAGATGCCGGAGGCCCTGCAGTACTGGGCATCGGTGTTTAACACCCTCTCCATCATTTCCAATCGGGAAACCCCAAATCATCGAGACCATTTGTCCATTGCTGAATGCTTCGACATTCTCACCACCAGTGGGGAACTATTCTAATGCTCGGATGACAATGCCAAGCCTTCAGCTGGAGTTCAAGTACAATTCCGGCTGTATGATTGCGTTTTCCGGAAGGATTGTGAGACATGGAGTTTATGATGTGGAAGGGGATCGGATTGCTTGGGCATGGTATATGAGGGATTCTGTTCACATTTACGCTGGTGTTCCATCATGTGGATGGGCTAGTGTGGATGGTCCATACAGTGTGTGAAAGATCAAACAAAGAGCATGCATTGTGACCTATATACATTCCAACAAATGAATACCATGTACCAATAGTTATCTGGACCTCAATACTCAATTGTGAGCATTTGCGAAGTGATATATGGGACTGAATAATTTGGATGCGAGCCTCGGTATTCGATAATCGGAACTCGGGACTTGACATATGGGAGTCCCGAGTGCTGGGGTACTGAGTCCCGACACCCGGACCTCAGCACTTGATATTTGAGACTGGGGGAAGATGTATCAATATGCTCAAATTAACATTTGTTATTGCCGTACACATTTGACAAAACCCTGAACCCCGACATTGTGAACTCGGGACTCGACACTGTTCTGAATACCGAGTCCCGGAAGCCCAGGTCCCGAGTCCCGAATTTCGGAGTTCGGGGTTCGGCGACCCGGAGCTCGGCAACTGTGTTGGGTGTCAGGGTATGCGGAGCATTGGAGATAGCATGTGTCAGTATTTTGCGTTTCATGGTTCATGTTTGGCTGACACATGCGATCTCCAATGCTCTGGATACCCTGACACCCAACACAGTTGCCGAGCTCCGGGTCACCGAACCCCGAACTCCGAAATTCGGGACTCGGGACTCGGGCTTCGGGACTCGGTGACCCGGAGCTCGGCAACTGTGTTGGGTGTCAGGGTATCCGGAGCATTGGAGATAGCATGTGTCAGTATTCTGCGTTTCATGGTTCATCTTTCGTGATTATGGAATCTTTCGTGATTATAGAATCGGGCGTCAGGGACTCGGTATTCAGAACACTGTCGAGTCCCAGGTCACGAACTCCGAGTCCCGAGTCCCGAAACCCGAGTCCCGAGTCCCGAATTTCGGAGTTCGGGGTTCGGTGACCCGGAGCTCGGCAACTGTGTTGGGTGTCAGGGTATCCTGAACATTGGAGATCACATGTGTCAGCCAAACATGAACCATGAAACGCAAAATACTGACACATGCTATCTCCAATGCTCCGCATACCCTGACACCCAACACAGTTGCCGAGCTCCGGGTCGCCGAACCCCGAACTCCGAAATTCGGGACTCGGGACCTGGGCTTCCGGGACTCGGGTGCAAGATTTTTGAATGCATAGAATATTTTACATCTTGTATACAATGAACACTGAATGGGACTACACTCCTTTGCCTTTCCTCAATTTCTCTAACATGTCAGTGTACATCTTCACCTCTGCCATCTTGGCTTTGATGCCCTCATCTTGCTCCTCCATCAATGCTTCCATGCGTTCTTTAATCCACCTCAGTCCCATAAGTGGTGGAGTCGAAGTGTTTCTCAACTTCTCTGGAAGAACCAAAGCATCATCCTCAACATTAAGCTAGAACAGATAAGTCATCAATCAAGGCAATTCAGCTAACATCTTACCGCCCAATACTGGTAGTGAGAGACGCAGGAAGCCATTATTTCATCCCACTGCCATGGTTGATCCTGGGATTGTGGTGTTTCCCATCCACCATGGACATGTATATGCAAACACAATCCGGGACGGATGTCCTGCAATTGCCTCATCATCAAATGAAAGGAGGTGGAATGAAAAGACGTCGTCCGGAACCGTGTTCCAGGTTAGCATGGGATACAACTTAAGGATATAAGCGACAGGGACCGGAAGAACCGACACGATATTCTGTGAAGCTGAGTACTGCAGGAGTGGTGTGACAAAAGTCTGCTCAAATTTTTAGCATTGACCAACAAAGTCATCAGGGCAGTGGTAACATACATTCATCTCCCATTGCAGCCCGGCTTTAAAATACTTTATCCGGTCAGAAGATAGACCATTGTTGGCAGCTTCCGTCTGATATTGAGAGATGCATGCACGGACCCGCGATCCAGCCATTGCCAATGTGCAGGAAATAGTTCCAAGGCTCAGCTTCAGGGGTCGGTAATGGCTTCCGGCATTCAGAGTGCCAGAAGTGGATGCAGGAGTTGCAGGCATGGCTAATACAGGACTATGGCGCTGGCAATGCAAGTGAAAGATGGTGAAGATGTGAAGATAAGAATCACTGATGGATGGATACGAAATTCAAACTCCGACATGGGCTGACCCGGACAATTCCCGGGCCTCAATTATGTATGTGGAAAAAGGGACTTCATGAGAAAACAATGTTCATTCATCTCCAGCCTCTATCAACACGTTTTGTAGGTCTTGAAAAGCTGCCTGCGCATCCTGTGCGAGCAATGAATACATTCGCGATTGCCTTCCGGCATAGCATCCGTGACCCGGAAGGTGTTTCTCCAATGATTCCTGCATGTGGTCGCCCCATTGGGTTGCTTTCCACAAAAAGAACTTACATGTCCAATCCATCTCCAATTTGACCAATATCATTTCTTCCCTCCATCGATCTCGTAGTGCCTTTGCCCGCAGCCAATGGACTCGGTAAACTTGGCATGGGTCCAGTCAGGTAACCGTGGGATATGACATGCAAGCAGGAACTCACATTCCTCATTCCACGATTGATCGGGACCCCCGAGGTCGACTTCAACAGACCAAAACCAAGCCAAAGATTCATTTCGTTGACCTCGGGCATTTGGGTCACCCACTGCAGTGCTGATTTTGAGTTGCTCGCGAAGCAGGGGTTTGTATTTCTGAAGCTGGTCTTGCCCCGCCTCAAGTTTCATCATTTGCTTCCTGGTCTTTGTATATATGCTGGCATGGAGGGAGACTGCCTGCTGCACCGACGTCACCTGGGACCAAGCTCGAGTTTTCAGGGCCTGGGATTTGGCCTGCCGAACGGTTGTTCGGAACAGGATGGCCTTGTTGCAAAGGTAAATGCGGAGATTGTGAAGGGCATCATTGGCCTGCCCTTCACGAAGAGACATCTCCAGGGGAATCAGATCCTCTGCCATGCATCGTCTGCATCTATCAACACCCAGGTTTGATGGCAACGGGATTACAGTGAGCTCGGGAGAGTTTGTCCATGTATGAGATGTCTCTGTGAAATCCGCCGGGTCATCATCGAGATCATCTAGAATGTCTACGTTCAAGTCCTCAGGTTCATCATCTGCATCAAATCCCTCCCCGAGATGTGTTAGAGCAGACCGAGCAAATCCATCTATCTGGCCTTGGAGCCGATCGCGTTGACGGGCAATGTCTAATCTCTGTGTCTCAGTGGATCTTCTTCCGATCCTTCGGAACCTCGATGAGCAATGCAATCTGAGCCTCTTCAATTGCTAACCCTGTTGATATCCACGTCGCCACAGATCTGCGAGAGGGTGCTGCATTGCGGGCGTTACCCTCCTCTAATAATCTAAGCTCGATCTCCTTTTTGCTTGGTGCTGAGTGCAATATTAATTCAGACCTCGATGGAGACAATGGAACTCAACTGTACCCTTTTTTATATTGATCTCATATTCATCCATCGCCGCAGGATCATTCAATCTGCTTGACTGAGCTATCCTCTCCCTGGCTAACCATTCTGTCTTCAAATGTGAGGGTGCTGCTTCATCGAGTCTGTCGAATGCCTTTCCACTTTCCGAGATGCCATTCCTCGCCAGCTTGTATTTCCGGCATAGAGTCCTTTTCATGCGAATCATCTTGCAGAAATTGGAGTCATTCATCTGATAATCAAGGCATTCCTTTCGGTGCGGAGATGACATTCCCCGAGCAGCAGGGGAAATCAGATTGAGCCAGTGCCCATAGCGTCTCCATGATCTCTCCATCGAATCCGACCAATGCCTTCAATAAAGTTAGAAGCATATCGGACATAGCAGCTGA